TTACTCATTCACTAAACAAAAGTTGTCTAAGAAGTGGAAAGAAAAAGCGAAAAATCATCCTAGAATTAAATCAACTAGGCATGCACTTACTACTCCATGCTGATAAAGTGACGAAGTGCGGATTGGCGACATTAGCGGTGTATTTATGCAGAGTCAAGCCGTAGTAGGAACCGCCTGGCACAGCCATGTGCTACCAAGCGTATTGGGGCACGCCCTTGCTGTGTGAATTCACCGTCGAGGTCGATTCTCACATTTTTATCTCTCACTCTCAGTTCACAGCTTCACGATTTTTTTGGCGCAAGACATACCTAGCAGTCCTTCGATTGGCAGTCGTATGCTAGCTACCGACTGACCCTTGGTAATGCGAACTCACTTGATCCTAATGTGCTTTCATTACTGGAGTAAGTATCTTCAGTCACTCAAAGGTCGTAAGAAAATGACAGTTGAGAGTTTTGCGGTCGTAACAGCATCAGAAAGGAAAGCATGAAATGAGCTGAATTGGGCCTCTCTGAGCCCATGCTTGCGCAGAGGAGATGCAAATTTGGTATCACCTAATATTCATAGTGATTAGCGGTGCTGATGAATACAGTTTAAGGATAAATCACAGAAGTGGCATGACAGTGAAATTGAACCTTGAAGATGTTCACAAAATCACTGCAAGCCTATTTGGGTGGAAACTGCACTTTTAGGTATCAGTTTAAGAAACTATTGCATGTTCGTTGAAAGAGTTGAGAAGGAAACCTCCACTCTAAAAGTCTTATTCATCACAAATTGTGTTTTGAAAGTGTTTGCTGTAGTTTACTTTAAAGGCGCCATTTGTAGCTTGCTTGTCGCTCAATGCTTTAATCGAATTTCAGACGCTATAAACAGTTGCAATGAATTTATTAGCCCCAAAGAACTATATGTGGGCCACAAAAACTTGCATTAAAGCACACACTGTGCTTTCCGAATAGACTTGCTAAATGATCAATCTGAACGCTGCGGCAATTGCTGGTGCACAATCTAGAGAGCAAGGAAACCTCAGGTTAACCACACTAAACCTATATTCATCGTAATTATGTTTTGTCACGTCGGTCTTAATGTTCTTCATTAAGCCGAGAAAATGTGTGTTAATGTGATTGTGGCTCCTTGCCGCCGCGCAGAATGGCACGACCCGGCGTTGACATTGCCACGTGCTATTGGGCGTGGCTTGAAGCGAGGCCGTACCACGCGCACTCAAATTGTTAGTTCAAGTGAACTTGATCCATTCTCTCCACTGTCCATCGGCGTAGGCAATCTGATTTCCATTGCAGACATTCAAAACGATTTTGTCGAGAAGGCTTGTCTAGGCAAGGGAGGAATTCATCACACCTGCCGTACCGAGTGTGGCCAGTCTGCTATTCTATCGGAGCGCTTGATCAAAGTTATGAGAGTGGATGCTCATTCACTGAGTACATGTGTCTACGATAAAAAAGTGAAGAATAATATTCGGATCCCAAGAGTCATCCTAATCACATGCACAGGTAGAAAGCATTCAGTTATCACGTAGTCTGGTTCTCTTAAGTGTAGTCTCAACCATTCGTCTTGTTCAATATCTTGTTTCATGCATCAAATACGATCACAACTTAAAAAGCATCGGTGAAGAAGGCCGTGGGACTAATGAGTGGAAGCGCCTCGCTCTCAATTGAATACTTTTTAATCATCGACTTTGACGCCGTTCAGCTAGAGGAAGCAGAGATGTGTCATTTATTCAAGCAATTTTAAGTAGCATCAGGTAGGTATCGAGAATAAAATTGGCAGTAGCAGTAGCTCCATCTACTACTTACCTTACCACGTGGAGGACTTGAGTCACTCAAAAACGCAGGTCCATTTGCTCTGAGGTTATCATCCGCCCAAAAAATAGTGGAGAAGTGCCAGCAAGCCACAGACATTACACGACCACCACAGCAGGACTTTTATTTGTGGGGACAGAAAGGCCCACGGGATTCAATGCAAAATAAAAACGTGCACATTTCATTGCATGCAATTTTTATGAGTAAAATTTATCGTGCGCTCCCACCATTATTTTTAAGAAAAAAAAAGTAATAGACCTCGCGAAGTTTCAATGCGACTCATTAAAGGAAATGGCCGTAGCATCACAGCAACAGCCAAAGATGTTGTTCATCCAAATGAGTGATGTTTTTGAAGTTGAAAGCTTTAGATTGATGATTTGGTGCGGTGTTAATCGAATGGCCTATTCCATTCCAAATTGTACTTTCCACATTAATATGAAAAAGGCAAGATATTATAGGAAGGAAATAATGCTACAAGATACCCATTCTTCAGAAAATATCAGCACTTCCACTGACACGGACTGATCCACCGGTTTTAGGAGTTTCGGCTGAACTGAATCTTTAACATTTAACACTGCCCAGCAAAGACAGAAATGCCTACTTGTTTGTATTAGTAACTGTAACAGAAAAATGTGCTCGAGATGGGTCGAACTCTCGTACACCTCCTGCCTCGGAGACGCCAGATGGTGGTGCATTCGGTTGGATAACTTCAAAGTTATTCAACTTGTTCCGAAAGATGTCCAGAATAAACAATGACTCTGAAAATGGCACAGGAGTTTCAGTTCTTGTCAAATGAATTACAAGTCACATTTAGCCTTAGCGGCGTCGGTTCTCTCCATCGTCAAGCAATCTGGAATGGACAAATGACTTGATTTGGTTTGATTTCGCAGTTTGATAAGGAAAAGTAGCTGTTAAGGTGTATGGGTCGACCGAAACATGCAACAGCGAAGCTAAACCAGTTCATTGTAAAAATTATGAGGATGAAAACGAAACGTTTTGGTGCGCGTTGATTATCAAGCAATTCGCCTTTTCTAAAACACCACTGCACCTTTTATAATTCATGGCTTCGGATCGTGCATTTTGCTACTTCGTGCCGCTGAAATGGGACCTGTAAGGTTCTCATTCGCAGACTTCTCTTAAGTGGATTTGCTCAAGTTAGATTTTGTTTGCTAGCAGACTGCAATGATGTAAAATTATGCATGTCGCAGATTTTGTTTCAATATGCCTCAATCGAACAGTCCAGAAGTCTACTTGATGCATTGTGTCAGCAAAATGCCATCCATTCAGTCCTATTTTTGTCAGCGAACGAAAGGTCTATTTTCACCGCAATTTCGGGTCCACAAATTTGTATTTTTAAAGGTCATTCTCAGGGCACCTACTTTGTGTCATTGCAACCACGCTATCACAACAAAAACACGATTTCCATTCAAAATGTTCTTTTTATGAGCACGGGCCTTTGTCTTGCTCTCATTTACATAGTCGTGTCTACTTCAAATTGTTGTTAATTGCGAGTCTGTTTTTGAAATAAGTGAGAATGGTGGCAATTAATACCTGACAGGCAGATGACCTAATCACGAGTAGGAGTAGGCTTTGAATTCCAAAAAAAAAATGGACAAAGGTGACTTTCGAAATCATTTTGACCGAATTGATTAAGCAATGTAAGAGGATATCTGGGCAAAATAAACCAATAATTTTGCGTTTTTCTGTATGAATTGAATCATTTTGTGTGAAGGAGTCTCATAGTTGCACCAATGCTTCGTTTGGCTTCGTTTCGTACAAAATACGCGTCCCCCTAAGAGGCAGCACAACTCTACACGTACAAACGTGCCTACCTTGATTTCCACCACCGGTCCGCACTAAGGAACACGAAAAAGTGATTCCAGATGGCACTTCTGCTTCTATGCACTATTGGATCAAAAGGCAAACGGCTTGTGGCTGCAAGGATCCAACGGTAGCACTTCAATGGCTAATTTAAAATGCTCTAGGTCTCGCAAAACTGATAAATACGCGAAATAAACCAACGTCAGTATGTAAATCAACTGAACATAGATTTTAAATATGGAACTTATGTTCACTGATTAGCAAATACATGAACAAACGCAGGCGGAAGTAATTTGGCAAGCTGCGTCTTGGAAAACAGTCTCTGTACTAATTTTAGCTTAGCAATTAATTATTCCAGATCGGAAGCAGAGATAAACCGTTACTTAACTTCGTCAGCCCCTCGTTTCACACACTAAACTACTATTGACAGCTACGGATTGCAAGATGAGCTGCTGCTCCAGTCGCTAAATCGACCAAAAAGTAGGGTTGAGACCCGAAACTTCCTCCCAAAGCCAGCAGTTGTCTGTTGGAGCACAGCCCTTTGGCATACCTTTCTGTTTTAGCTCTAGTAGTCGGTTTCGTAAGCAAAAATCGCCCCATAAACTCACCACCAACGTAAGTATCCTTATGGTTTGTAGAAATTATGCACAGAAATGACAAAGCATGCAATTGAATTTAAAAATCTCCGCCCTTTTTGCACGTGCTATCATGTTTCCTCTTTAGTGTGGCACTGTAAGCACTTAAACGGGTTTCAAAAATGAAGCGTTTGTCACTCATTTAACTTGCAAATTGCAGAGCATTGCAAGCTGGTTCGTGACTGAAGGAGGTTAGTGGTTTGTAAGAGGGAGTACGACATCCAATTTTTTTGGATGACTGGTTGAACAACGCCAACGCTTGATGCTTGGTAAGGTTGGTCATGTGATACTCACTATGAACAGGTCATTGTGAAAGATAGGAATGCCCAAAAGTCCCATTTTGTGCTCGAGATGTTGAAATTGCAGCACCTCAAATTGGTGAGAGTAAGCAGCAAATGCCGAACGAGGTACTAAAGGATATGGTGTAAAAGCGTCTATATGTTAAGTCAACTGATTGTGGCATCGTTTTAACCTTTACACCGTCTCATTATTGTCCACAGGACTGAAAGTGGCCTCCTTTCTTCTGCAAACTCAAGACTCATTCACCCACATTCACGCAGTGCAATGCACCAAATTCCCTCCTAAAATGTGCTCCAACATCTCTGAGCTAAATTATAACTAGCTGATTATCAGTAGGACATTACACATTGTGCTCAGGCTTCTGCCATGGCGTCGACAGGGTTGAGAAAAAATTGCCGACCGTGATGTTTACCTCTGGTGAGGTCGTACGTGCATGCACGGAGCAGGTGCTTTGAGATCGCGGTAAGCCAATGAATGAAGGCCAAAGTGGCACAACTACACGCCCACCTCCAATTTTGCGCCAGTTACAGAACTCTACTGCTACGACTGGTTTATGCCTGTTCTGTGAACGCGTATAAAATTCCCAACCTCAGGGAGTTCAAAGTTTCTACACCGACCACTGCTATTCCATCACCACGACGCGCATGCTTGAGTATGTTGTCTTCTCTCCTATTCCAACTTTTCTCTTCACTTACCCATCTTTTCACTCTGTAGTCCAAATATCGCTCGGGAAATTTTGAAGCTTCTTGATTTCGATGGCTCGGGTACCGTGAAGACTTCTGATCTTCACAAGGCCTTTATGGGAACTGGTCTATCAGAAGCCGATGTGAACGATTTCATTCGAAGGCATGACAAGGGCAACAAAGGGGAAATTAACTTGGAAGAGTTGACTGCTATGCTCAACAATGTTCATAGAAAAACCAGTAGCGTCTCAATGGGCGGGCGAAGCATTTAAGATCATGAGAACCTTTCACTCAGTCCTTCATTTCTTTTGTGGCATACATGTATTTTTGTATTGAGGTTTTTTTGTTTCACATTGGATAATGGATGTTGTCAATCAGTTATAGGGAAATTCTCCGATGCATGCTTTTTTATCTTTAGCTATATCGTTTACTGGCCTCATCGCACCATTTGTGCGTTCAAAAGCAAAGTGATGTGTTGCTAAATGTGACAGAAGTCTTTGGGTAACCGAGAAAAATATTTACCGTTAAACTTCGTTATCTGGTCGAATTATGCGGTAATGAACCGATGAGTGTGGGCCCTCTTAGATGTGATTCGAATCTCGACTATGTCCCTTGCTGGCAAAAGAACAAGGCAAATAAGGGCTGATTACTTTATACCAGTGTTGCTACAGTTTACATGACTATTTTTAAAACTAAGTTTGCGTGTTCAATGAAGTGGAAAGCAGTTGGTGTTTTCAGGAGGCACAACCATGCTTACCACATCAACAACTTCTGCCTCAAGCATGGCAAGAAAGGCTAGTGAAACGAAAATCCTTCACAGAAAGAACTTTATTGCTACGGAAACTGTGCGCGGATTGTTTTGCTGGATTTCTACCCCAATGCAGTAAGCAATACATAAAGGTGAAAAAATAATTGTCTGTTTGGAGGTCCAGAAACAGAGTCTACAAAGATAGTCGAGTGATTATTTACTGTTATTCAGATTGATGGTAACTGAAATTTTGCCTTTCACTCGGGTACTGTGAGGCGCTTGGGAGCAAAGACTGCACAGTTATATGTTATCTCGTCTGTTCATTTTTACCGACCTCCGTTTTTCTCACACAATGTTTGTTGTCCCGCAATATAATTAATACTTTGTTTAGGTACTAAACTAAGCTCAGGTTGTTATTTTATCAATGCAGGAAGTTGGGACAAGGACTAATGTTTCAGCTTAAACTAGCTAAACCTGGCTAAGCCGGATCACATTAATTAAGCCAGAGATGGCCAAAGCTTTCTTAAAGGGCACAGAACTGCCTAAACGGCCAGATACAGCGTTCCACGTGCACTCAAACGGCGTATGGCACTGTCGAATGACTTGATAAGTCATAAACCTCGTAGCACAGTAGAAAATGGGAATTTCTTATGTCAGGGTAGTTTATGTCATCGAATTTCGCAAGCCCTCTTCAACTACTGTCTCAAGGGAGGATTACAATTATGCATACACTGCAACTGCGAGCGCCTCTTCAACATCAACAATACTAAAGTATCCGTTTGAAAAGTACGTCAAATACTGCCCTTTCTGGCAAATGTGACCTGACTGCTTACAGAAGACGTAACAATTCAAACAACTCATTTGTTCATTGCTCCGAGGCTTTAAACAATGTGCGAAAGTGTGTGAATCGAAGATGCAGCCTCAGCACGTCTGTCTGGTTGCACAACACAACGGCATCACTGTGAAGAAGGGATAGAAGAATGAATGCGTAAATAAAATGTCACTCCTGGCAACTTGTCGTCAATACAGGCACAATCCAGAACGCCAGAAGCGCACATTTTCGCGTTGTGAATGAACCCAAAATCACCCTCAGAGGCGAGAGAGCCAATGAGACGAAATCGCGCGGGATTTCAGGTCAGATTAACACGAAGACAAATCAATCTTTGAACTGAATGTTTGATGGAAGATAATAGCTTTGCGCAATGACACAGTGCACGTTAGCTTTCTAAGAGTCACTAAGCTACAGAAGGAACCAATCCTTCAATTTATTTTAAGCCAAATTCATTGTCTTCTTGTCTTGCATGCTTCACCTTTACTTAGCAGTCCATGAAACAGCATTCCTTCTAAAAAATTATTTTTTTTGCTAATCGGGCAGTCAAGGCATCTGAAATTTAAACTTTTTATTTGCACGTACTTTTGACTGCTTTTAATAATATGTTCTGCCCTCTAACACCACTGATCGTAAAGGGCCAAAGTCTTGCTAACATTGACGCACACTCTGGTAAGGTGTTTCTCCATCGTTCACTTTAGTGGCAAACCATTGATGAGGCGAAGCCGAAGCCAAAGTGATACAACTACTCAGATCTTTCTACCGTTGTGCCAGAATAACCAAAATGGAATGCTGATTGCTGTTTGCATTGAACACTCCATGTGAAACGAACAGTGAAGCTCACAAAGCCAGCCACTTTCGTATACATACCACCATCGATGTACGTTGACTTTTGGAGGTCAGCTTCTTTGAAGACCTTGGCAACGCTTGCTTCCCATAGGCGATTAAATCTGACAGTAGTTAAATAAGGCGGAGTAGGAAATTGCAAAAACTCGAATTTTTGTGATTTTGCAAGTGCGGCGTATCCAGCTGTACCACCTAATTCTGTCAGAACTAAAGTGATCAGTTATTTTATTCCAGTATTCTTTCATAACTCAAGAGGGATGTTCCTTAAAGTGGGCAGATGGCGTTTGAAATGGAAGATAATACCGCTACTACTTAGCATAACGGAGAACGCTAAAACCGTGTATTATGTAGGGAGGTTTTTTACACTGTATCCATTGGAGAAAGCGACGAGCAGCTTCCGAGACAGCACTCAAGGTCACTAAAATGTCGCGAATTCATATAAAAAGTTTGTCGTGTAAAGCGTGGTAGTCATGACGTTGAAGGACTGCGCCACGACTACCAGATTTAACTATTTTAGCATGAGCACGATCTCGTTAACGGCTAAAGCTCCATAACCATCATTTCACCTTCGTTGAACTGCCTAGAAGCGACTCCCTCCTAGGCACTTTTTAATTGCAGCTTCGCTTTTTACCATTTTGACCTTTAACTTTTCCTCTGCACTTCCTTCGATGATATTTATGCTTGATTTTGCACAAATGCTTTTCAAAAACTGGTAGAATGAACTCATAATTCGGCTGCTTTTTCTCAAATCACATTGTGATTGTCTCACTGTGAACGCGGCGACAGCTCTACCTCAAACGATTAAGTAGTAAGAAGTCAACTATACAAAATAATTACCCCTCGCTTATTCTTTATCGCGTTTCTACTTTTGATGAATTGATGCGTTGATCTCTCAATTTATTTAGTAGCATTTTGATTTCCAGGGTAAATATTCTGAATGGCTATTTAATTTTTTATGAAACAATAATGAATTGACTGCGCAACGTCTTATGCCCGGTGGCTCTTTTCGTTGCTGTGGTGCTCTATACAGCCTTTGACTCCAATTGGAGGCCACCCAGTGTGTCAAGGAATAAGCATGAAGAACATGAGGATTTGAGGGAATATAAGGGGACAATATGTAGATGTTTTGTAAGGCGACAACTCTGGGTAGTTTAAAGGTAGATCGCACATAATCTGTACTTCAGCCTTGCATTTGGCCATACAAAGAATTATTTAGAGGTGCAAACATCTCAGTGATTGGAAGGAGAACACAAGTGAGTCTCGGGCACCTTGAGGAAGGCCAACAGTTTCTGCTGTAGCCTTTTATTGGTGTCAGCAATTAGCTTAGAAATTTTAAGGTCTGAAAACATACCAGAGGTTACCCTGTAAAAGGCGAAACATTCCAAAAGTGGGGTTAAAATCTAGTTTGGACTAGATTAAACGGCAATGCGATCAGTTTATTCGGAGCACATAGGCGGGATTAAGGGACGATAGTGCGGAAACGGAGACCAATGGGCGAGCTATTCTAAGGAGTCAGGACTTGTGAAACAATTCAGAAGAGGTGGTTCAAAGATTTGCACAGCTTTACCATTCTGTGCCCAACGACTATTATGCACCCAGCAAAACAGAAGACAATCGTGGTCAAACGTTTCAGAGGAAGCTAACACTCTGGTTTGTTTGTGCTCTTTGAAGGAGAGAAAGTGAAAAGCTTAATGTCTGATTGGAATAGCCTCACGTTACTGTGGTGCTCCAATGTTTCACCACCTCCGTGTACCCACACCAAAAAGACGGTATAGAGATGAGAGTGCCAAGTGATACGAAGGTAATATCGTAAATTCAAATAAAGCTTCACATTTTGAAGCACTTTTTTCCACTTCTTTCAGTGTTTGACTGCACACTTCGCCAAATATTTTTCATGTTTGCCATTATTTTTTAGGCATTGCGTATCATGAAATGTAATATAAAATCGAAAAAAAAACACACCTTTTTCGCACTTGCAAAAGAGGATAAACAAGAACTTAGAAAAGGCGGTAATCTGCCGCAAAATGCCAACTTAAAGCTTTGGCTCATCATACTTGTACGAAAGACAAAAAAACAGACGCAGAAAAGTTGCTGGATGTAAAAGTTAGTAAAGAAATGCGATGCAATGTGGACTCTGCTGAAGGAGTGCTTACCACATTCCTATCACTATGCGCATTCAGAAGCCAAGCAAAGGAGGGAGATCGGATTGTTAAAAAGCCACTAGTGAAGCGTGATACTCCAAGTTATTATTATGCTTCAACTGTAAGAGAATGCATTCCATCATGCCTCCTCGGAGAGCACAATCAAATGCCTTTGAAGATGGCATGGGGACCACGTGACACAGCATGGCACGATTGTACTGGTGTGATCCACTCCTATCACTTTTTCGGTATAAATAAGGCTCAAAAAGTGGTTGAGCAACACAGTAGGAGTTCACACCTTGATTTCTTAAAACAGCACAATTCTTCATTCACTTAATGTTCATAAATGTTCGAAAACCTTTACTCAGATCAGGGGATCAGAGGCGATGGCTCACCGAAGTCTTGGTTTTCTTTGATGACTCGATTCGAACTTGAGATGTCCTAAGTAATAATTCTGTCATGATCCCAACCACAAAATTGGTGTATCTTCAGCCTTTAGTGTACACGATTCCTTTAAGGTTGTCGGACCTTCTGTGCATTGAGGTACGTAGACGACAAGAGATCAACAGTGTTAGGTCACCAATACCGTCTTTGTCGGGCCTGACAAGAAGCCCTCAATAAAGGTTACGCGATTTTGTGGTGGCTTGTTGCATGAGCTGCTATATTATTCATATGTTTTGTTTTCTTTTTGAAGACTGCTCTATGCTGTGTTTGCACACCTCTGAACCACATCAGTGGTAAATGCAATGTCAGAGACCAACGGTTTTGTACTTTTGCGCTAGCCTTGACTCCTTTCGTGCCCCGTTTACTTACGTCTTTTTAAAGTAAAAAATTGTTTACCTAAGAACCAAGTCATAATTTGGCAGCCTCGGTTTAGTGATGATATGCAAAAAGACTTGGTTACTCAATGATGAAGTTAGGACTGGATTTCCAATTAACTTACTCTACGGCACTTACTATTTCCCCAAAATTATTTCACCAGATTTTTTTGGGAGCAAGTCAATTCCGCACTCAGAAGGAAACACTTGTAGAATACTTTGGATCGGTTTAAGGAGCACGAGAGTGATTACACACTCCAAAAGGCGCTTACTAAATGCAACAATCATGAGAATAGTGCGCAATCCCTATTGTTGCCTAAAAGCGGAGATGCGTTAAAATTTTTTTAAAAGGAAAGCGAAGTTTGCCTGACCCTCTGAACGCATCAATTAGCCTGCGCTGCCAAGACTAGGAAGGAAATGAGGAAGAGGGCATACAATGGCATGCCAAAACTTCACCAAACAAATTGCGTCAATGTGATTTGCTCGCCTCTAAACCACCAGCCATTTCAAGGCATATAACACCCTTTGATTACTCACTTTTAACTTGCTTTTAAGCCTCCTATCGCTGCTTTGGCTCCCTAATGGGTATAAATGTTTGCGGCAGCTTACTATAGCCGTACCAACTCCTTCACTTAAATTAATGAAGCTTCTGAATCAACAAGCGTATTTTGATTCGCGACAAACCGCGGTACTAATTTTGGGTTGTTGCAATGTGGTAAGCGAGGAGGCTAGTGTGCGACAGCGTGGCAGGTGTTGAAATTCCACTGGCACTCCGCATGCGCTGTATCATGATGGCTTGGTGAATAGGGATTTGTGGTTATGTTGGCATAGCAGCGATCGAGTGTCACCGTGTCTTGCAGCTTCGCTTGAGGAGCGGCAGTATGAAAAATGAGCTACACTTTATGCTGATGTCGTTGCAAAATTTATAGTGTCCTCGGCTTGTGACGCAGAATGTCGCAGCATGGCTTCACAAGCGCTCAACTAAACGTGGCCCATTGTTTTGGGTGGCAATGAAAGGTGCATTGCTCTATTGTAAAGGCATCAGCCATTCAACAATTTTCGCTTAAAAAATCGGAATTGGCTATTTAGGAGGCAATGCCATTAAACACTAGTTCGTGCACTTGAAGAGGAATAAGTAACACAGCTATGGAGCGCTGATGGCATGCCCTGCTTTCCAAACTCGGCGTTCATTGACTAATTGTTAAAGCCCTTTGCATCCAATCTGCCTTTGTTGTTCATGCTGCACTATGCAGTCAACCGCTCGACAAAAGCTCTGTCATTCCCATTGCATTCTCCTCTGCTCTTCGCCTCTTCGGCAATCTTACAAATCATGGCCGATGACAATCACCAAATGGCGGGTACGTTGAAAACAGCACTGCTTAAATTTAGTGAGGGGTTACACATGATCACCTACCTGCTCCCTTTTGCTCCGATTTTTAAAAATCAAATTGAAACGTTATTTCCATAGCATTAGGGAAGGAGGCTAAGGAATTGCACTGCAGCGTTTTAAAGTTGCACACAGGCCTTGGAATAGTATTCTTATGTCCTCTCCAGGCAAATCACATTGCAACGTGAAGAAAGTAAGTAGCAAGCAGGCGAGAATGATGTTCTTGGAGAAAATTTGCGAATTTGGCACAACTTCACATTTGGCTAAGTTGCTTCAATCTACCCACATCGGTTGTGCTGACTGCCACAAACGATTGTTTTCCGCTTGCGTCACCACCAAAGTGATGACCATTGTCAGATTTACAACAATAACGCTTTGGTTGCTTTTCGAAAACACTGCAGTCTCCGCAAATTTTATCAAAACATTTAAAAGCTATAGTTTCTACGTCTCCTTGGTGGTTTTACGGTATAGCACAAACTACCACAAATCGCTGCTCTCATCAAATACTGTCGGTCAGACAGGTGTTGTTGGAGGACCAAGCAAGCACAGCATTCGTTGAGTTCGCTGAAAGGAGTGAGATATTGCGGAGAGGTGCTGCACGATTGTGGTGATATTCATTCAACAAGATGTACACTTAGTCGTGATTAGCATCACGAAATTCAGCGTGCTCAGTGAAACATCCTAAACCCTTATCAGTATACTTTTTCGTCTTTATAGTCGGCATTAATAAAATGGCGTTTTTTACCAATTTGCAAAAGCACGACGGTTTTACCCGCTAATACCTGTCCATTGGGACACGCAAAGTGAGATGGATGTGCTGACGACGAATGGCAGGGCAAGACGCACGTCACCTTCATTACTGAACTGAATTGTGCACAAAGCGCCTGCGAGGTTGCATCCTGTTGCGTGATATGGCGTAAGCCACCGTTTCAGCCCCCCACTAGCGTTGCTAGGGCTTAGTGAATGATGTCTACTGTCGGCATTTCTTGAACATCATGAAAGAACATTTGCTTTGTAAGATGAAGAACGACGGTAATCCCCATCTTTTAAAGCAAATTGTCACTACCAAAAGCGCTAACTGTTTTGCGATTTTCTACATTTATTGCATAATTTCAGAAACCATTTAGCTTCCAGTAGGCGGTTTCTACACATTTTTAAGTGAATAAAAGAGGCTACAATTAGTTGCTTTAGTTAGTTTGCCCTTAATGATTGGGTGAATTGACGTAACCTCAAGCCAGTACCACAGAAGGAGTACACACAACCGTCCTTTTTACTTCATTTTTCAAGCAGAGCTCTGACTCGCTCAGTTGCAAATTGTCTTGCAACATTTTTCAATTCAGACAGCCTCAGATGAGGACTGTGGATTTGAGTGGGTCTTGCGCCTTCTAGACACAGCGAAAGTTCGAGTTTGCGAAGGCGCGTGAAGCCAGGTCGACCCTTCCCATTAGGCTACCTCTTGGTGATGCCTACGATTATCCTTTATGCCCTTGGGTTGAAAAAGTAGCAATTTTGTCTCAAAAGCCTTTTGCATGCTTAAGTTGCATTTGTTGATGTGTGCTACAAATTACTACTTCAATTTAATTGTTACTGAAGGTCTGGTGTTGGTTCGGAGACGAGTGGCTAGTTTGAGCATCAGCTTAAGGCGTGGTGCAGAAGAGGTGTCAAAACAGGGTGACCTTCGTGCGCGCAATGATATTGAGGTTGCAGCAGAGGCAGGAGAGAAATTCACGCTGTATCCCCTAACATGTTAACGTTCGGGAGTATGAAGCAAGACATTGGTCCTTTCAATTAAAATAATTCATTAGGCATTATTATTAATGAAGGTCTGGAGTGTTAAAGCAGTTTGCCAAATTATAAGCATCCGCAAGCAGCAAGGAAGTCCCGGAGTTCATTTAAATTGAGCTTTCCATCATGATCCTTGTCATGTTCATTGATGAACTCTTGCACTAGTTTTTCATTAAGACCAGAATCACCGAGAGCCGCCAACAGCTCCTTCGTGTCAATTTCCCCAGAACCGTCTTTGTCTACTGATTGGAGAAATGCTTCAACCTCTCTAAAAATAAACCCCCAAAATTACAACGTTAGCAATAGAATTTAAAAAATAATTGTAAAACTGTTTAAGGCAAAGTCGAGAAGTACCAAGAGGCGCGGAGAGAAGTGAGAGCAAGTTTCGACTTACGAAGGCATGTTGATTGGCGATGATAAGTCGAGAGAATTTCGCTGTCGTCATATTTATATACCGTTTTCGTGAAAGAGTCGGATCACATGCAAACACCCTTCTTCTAACACCATTGGTCGACTTACTCGTGCGAGTGACAATGTATGCAATCTGACATTGACGTCATATTTTCTGCTGGTTTAATCGCAGAGGCGAACCGGTTTTGCTTCCCTATCAAAATGCATGCATTTTGATAACCTTGTTTTTTGCTTAAAAATAACTTTTTAGTAACTGTTTTATGCAGCAATTTTTCTTAATTTCGGCTATTGGTGCAGACTACACCCAAGTCATGCAAAGCATGCGGACATCCTTATTTGTTCCAGTGTGTTTAGTGCATGGATGGAAGCAGGGGACTCACAACTCCGGCTGAAGCAGTCATTGACTTGTGGAGGCATCCACACGCCTCGCAGTGGCTTAGCACACACTCCGCTTGCTCGCCTGGTTTCCTCATATCTTGCAAGTGCAATCGGTGCACTGTCTGTCTTACAGTCGCATCATCCAATTTCTCAGTTTACCCTTACCCATGGAAATGTGTTCCTACTAGAACTCATAAGTGGATGCACGCACACAGCATTACCGGACGCCTAGACGTCTATATCAGTTATTGAAGTTTATCTTTACCAAAAAATGACGTTGGTCGAACTTAGGTCTTAGCTAATTGCTTAACTAAACGATGGTCAACTAGCCAACTTGTTTTTTTAACATCTCTAACATTATTATCAAACACAATCAAAGACAACAATTGGACTGCACTTGGAGTAGAAATCCGATGGTGGATGAATTAGAGGGAACCAGAGCATTCATACAAATCGGCTACTCATTGGTTAGTTTTTGCGTGTTCTTCTTACCCAACATTGAATATAGTAGGCGACCAATGAAGTGTCGATAGATGGTAGAGTCGACCTCCTTTAACCCATTGTGCATTATTGAGAGTTATAAGTTGTTTTGAACTCATAATCAATCTTCAAAATGCCCTGGCAAGTGCTGTTTGTGACATCTTGTCCTTTCTATTGTTGTCACATCTTGGAGGAGTACTGAAATCTTTACTGTTTTAGCTCTCAAACCGTGCTAACTTTCTTGAAGAGTATCGACAAGAACAGCTCCGGCACAATTGATGCACGGGAGCTCCTCGAGGCTCTGGGCGATTCTGACATCAAGGAGGAACAAGTTCAACATTTCATCGAGCAATACGATAAGAATAAGGATGGAATGTTAGATCTTAACGAACTCATGGATTTCTTTGAGAGTATTGGTTTGTAAATATTTTAAACTTGTCCTAAGTGGAAAGTAATGGACCCAAATTTGCAGACCTCTTGCATTTTTGTGCCCTTCTGAGGGTGTGGTTAAATGGAAAGTAAAACGAGTATTTGCTCACTTTGCTTTCACTGTTAAACAAACCAAATTGACAGCAGCTATTCCAAGAATGGAAGTAATTTTGCATGATTTATGGAATCACTTATCTTAAAAGTCCAACTAAATAGTATTTTATGCTATTCCCATCCCATCATTTGGTGGTGAGGCTCGCGTAACTACTTCGAGACGAGTGATACAAATCATATCAATTTGCAGCCAAACGGACTTCTAATTGTACCTTGCTACAGGCACGAAAATATGGGCACCAAAATAATACAGCAGTCGAAAAGCCAACACAATCATGCCATTTGATGAGCTTTTGAGCGTGATTGAAATTTTTATACTTTCAAATTGGAAGCTCTGTGATAGGGGACGGGCAACAGCAATGCCTTCTTAATGAGCATAAAACAACCTCAGCGTGAGCGGATAAAACTAGTCGCTTCACGCATCAGGACTGCTTCGTGCTCTCTCTCAAGCACAGGATGGGACGTTTGTGAGCACGCTTTCTTCATTCTTTTCACGACTGTTCAATCCTCGATTCGATGCATTTAAAGACATGTTCCTGCATCGTACATGTTTGCGGTTCATAAATTAAGTAACCTAATGCGTTGGATGTTTGGGCTTGCACGCACAACATGCCTCTGGTGGTCTTTGGCCCAACGACCTTAGCAAAAAAAGCTTGTAAATCAGGTCAACTGTGAGGCCATACACCGCTTTTGTTGCTCCACAATGGCAGGAAAATCCGCGATAAGCAATACCAAAGGGGAGGAGGAGAACAAGGACGAAGCATCATGACCCTATAGTTGTATTAACTTCCTTTTTGCGGTGATGCACACCGTCCTACAACTTGCATAATGCAAGCGCAAGTCCAAACTGGGCTTTGAATCGTGGCTTCATTTAAATACTTTCTAGGTCATTTTACGAACAGATTAAATTGCACATCCTTTTTGCCTCCTCTTCCCTTTGCAAATGAATAGGAAGTGTTAGTTAGAGACACTATTTTGGTTCCAAATGGTGCTGTTCCTTGATGCACCTTGGAGAAACGGTTTCATTGTTACAACATTTTGCCTCTAATCCAGTCCTCACCAGACGCCCTTAAAACAACCATCTATGGGTTAAAAACAACACGTTCAAGTTCTCTCTGATGTCACAGCAAGCCAAAAGAGTATGAAGAAACATGTATTAATAATTTAGTGAAGGATTGAAAGGCAAAATCCACACGATTTAATAAAAACACTGAGATGGGTGGCCACACAAACACCAAGTATTCATTGGGAGTGTTAAAAAAATAGTTGACGTACTATGACGAAAGGTGTGTATGCTTTATAGGCCAATACTACTAAAAAAGTCCATCAGTTCATCAACATTCAGCTCCCCATCACCGTTCTTGTCAATTTTCTTGATAAATTCTTTCACCTGTTCCTCCTTTATATCGTCGCATTGCAGTCCAGCTAGAAGTTCTTTGGCGCTAACTGTGCCTGACCCGTCCCGGTCCAACTGCTTTAGCAACTCCTTGATTACTTCCGAGCTAAGAAAAATATTAGAATTTAGCTAAAACGGTGGCTCAACGTTAGAGTAAAATTGTCGAAGATTACCAACAAAATGCACAATAGAAAGACATGGTAGTATGAAATGAGTCAAACTTACCAAGGCATATGTGTGTATGGTGAGACCGCCCTAAAGTCTCGCTCTTTTAACTGCCAAAACAGGTTTGCACGTTCGACAGCCACCATTGGCTTGTTTGATCTCGTGCGCAGGCCCGTGAGTGGTGGCGTGCGGGTCAAGGTGCTAAGAGAGGCGCCTCATGGTAGGATTGCTGGAATTTCCTTGCAACCATGTCTTATCGTCTCCCATGACGTTGATACTTTAAAAGAAACACATTTTTATGTCTTCAAAAAGTGTGCTTTCCCTATAACAAGCAAAATCGTAGGAGCTGCTCATGTACTGAAGCCACTTCAAACTATGCAAATTCAAAAACGGACCACGTGAACTTTGTAATGTCTCTGAGGTGAGTGAATGCGCTGTTTGACAAGCGTTTGCTCTTTCCTATCAACCCACTTGTGCACTGCAATGCAGTTTTTGTCAGGAGCGATATTTTTGCACGTCTTGAAAGATTCTTAGCTGCACACCTTTCTGTGCAGTAGCGATCGAGGCTTAGAGGATTACCAAGAAAAGTGAACAAATTCGTGCCCCCTTTTAGGGCTTTTTGCAACATAAAACTGAAACTGATTAAAATGCAGGAACTTGAATTCCATATTAAACCACAAATTAAAGGTTCTGACATGCTTAGTAAGTCGTATGTGCGTGTTGGAGTAAAAACGTTTTAATTAATAACGTCCATGAAATTATCAAAATGCGGTTGGATTGTGCAAAACAGCACTTTTGCGTCAGTTTAATCAAAAAATGTTAAGGTTTTAAAGGGCGTACTCTACGTAGCCATACCATAAAACAATTTGCTGCGATGAGAAGAAACACTTTTAGGTGTTTAGGAGGCACACGGTAGAAGAAGAGACTCTCATTCCCACGTAGACCAAGCTTTTCACATCGGTTTTTGGCTTGTTTCGATGAACGCTTTCACTTGGTTCAAGTTGAAGCTCCACCAAAACCATCGCTCTCTTTGATAGGGTGGTGGACTTCATCAAAATTTTAAATTTTAAGTCCGAATCTATTCACCATTCAATGTATAAACGTTTACTAGTATTATTATTGTGAGCTCTAAAAAGAGGTTTGAAGTCGTTCTTGAATGACAATGCGTTGCACATCACGTGATTCCAACGACTTTGAGACCTGATCATTTTACAAAGGCCGCGTTTAGTTGCCCCCACACCTCATCGCGGCGATTTGTTCGTTTTAAATTGCACAATTACTGTATTTACTGTGAAATGTACTTCCACTCTTGTAGTCTAACCTTGGAGTCATTCCATGCCACATTGGCCTGTCGAGGCCTTGGGAGAAGGCAGAAGCACGGCTTCGATGCAAACAGTTAAGAGATCGCAAGTTAAAGCATTATCCTTCCCATTGGTAGACGTTGACGAGGACTGTATTTACTGATGGAATTAAGCACTACCTGGAAACAAATCAGGTCATGTGTTTGCTTCAATTTTTTGATGATGACAGTGTTTACCGAAGGCATTGCACAACTTGGTTTCACGTCTTACAAACAAGCCGATGAATGTGGATTTCACCCACATTCTAGAGCAGCTCAATGATCACACTAACCCTCGAGAGTCAACAAGTTATTAAAAGCTTAAAGTACTAAATCACAAGTCTGCTTGATGAATCTGAAATGACAAACCATTCATTACAACATTGCAATGTTCAGCTTTGTATGGACTGACAGCTTTTGTTTCATCACTAGCAGTTGGATCACAGTCTATTGACTACGAGAACATCTTGATGCTGATTGCCTCAACTGTAAGGGGTATTCAATGGTGGGGATTTAGGACACTTGGAGGTTGGGTCTGGTTCTGAAAAAAAGCACAAATTTTAATTGATGAAAAAAAGTGATCTGAGCAACACAAGATCAAATGTGATTGCATTTTTGAGGGTCAAGTTGGCATGAACCGCAACTGATCGTATTCGCTGGGATGATCCTTAATTCTTCCAAACGCTTTCACCTGTCGGCATTTCGGACAAGTGACCTAACGGAGTCAGCATTAACCTCTAAGTTGCACTGTGACCAGAGTTTTTGCCTCAACCGACTTTCCAATTGCCGCTTCTACGAATGTGGGCCAAAAGTGCTGGCCAAATAGTTTGCATTGCATGCAAAAAATTAAAGGAGGTGAGAGCTGACACAATAAAGCTGCTTAAAAGCGATTTTTCGCGAAGACTTGCTATGAATGTAGTCGAATTTTTAGTGGATCCCACTTTTGCCTTGTTTGGTGAAAAAAGTTGGGATTCAAATTCTACAATTACTCGACGGCTGGTGAATCCACCGACGTCGAGCTCTGAATGCCACACCCATCCTCATGTGATGCCGCCGTATTCTCTGTTGGTATGAAAAGAAGAACTTTCCTTCAGAATGAGGCACCGTCATGCTGAATTTGGCAAACAAAAGGCCAATTTCGGCAATCGTTCTTCGCAGCCATAGCAGGTAGGGAAGTACTTGATACCCATAAATAAGGCTTAAAGGTGACCAAAACCCACACCAGAATGACGACGCCAGGTGATCCTGTTACTGATATTGTATGCCATCTCATGCACGTCCGGTGGAGCGAGCTTCTTGTGCACCAAAGCCTCCAACTCCCCCTTCAACACAACTGTGACATTTCACATTGTGTTGCTATTACTCAGACATGAATGGAGACCCCCCTAAAAGGCAATAGTAAGGGATAATGCAAGGGACTTCTGTTGATGATGTGTCTTCAGTAAATCAGGTTGATTAACGGCCAAGACTTACAAAACCTTAAATTCCCTTCGTAATTTTTGTAACTTGATTTACATTATTTGCAGAGTCTCGACCTGAATAGTGTCCGTTTGCCTAGTTGACCAATGCACATTCAACATTTGAGCTAAAATTTTTGTCGTTTTCCTTACTCTTATTTGCTCCATTTTTGACATGCTCTTAGTTGCAGATTTCGTGTCCCATCCGAAGAGAAGGAAACATTACAAGATCCTGTCAATGGATGACCACTTGTAAGAAAAAATTGGTAGCAATTTTATTTTTCAATTCGCTGTCGATATGATTAGCATGCCTTTGTGTTATGCCGCCCTCATGTGAACAATAGTTCGATGTAATATAACAGGGAAGATTTTAACAACAGGCATTGAAAGGCCTTCTCAATTGACATTTTCGGTTTTCCCGTTCGAGCTGATCTGCATTAATCAAGAGATTACGGCTTTCTAGATTGATTTGGAGTTGAGCGGGGCAAGACTAGCAGATGTGATGGTGGAAAGAAGGAACGTCATCAACAAGCCACTGATAGACTAAGAGCAAAGTCCATCAGGCAAGTAAGGGGGAATCAAGCGATTCACTTCTAGCTTTATTTCGGTTCCACCTACTATTCTTCTATGTAGCGAGGTCAAAACCAATAATCACCTAATCATTCCCACGGAGAGTGGCCAACCAATTTTTCTTCAAGTTCCTTGCCTTCTGAAAGGGAACAATCAGAGACTCACTGCAGTGTCCATAGCCTTGCTAATTCCTCTCAAAAACGGCACAGTTTTCAGCAGTATTTTGCAGTTATGGATGCCAATGTAGTTAACGTATTCGAAGGTCGACGTAAAACTGCCATCCCACTCAACCAATATCGGCACAAGTATACCATGGCACAACATATTTTTTTATAATTTTTGCACCACTTGCAAAACTCAAAAGTGAATAAAGTATGACAAAATGAAAGCCTGTCACTGACGTACTTGACGGAGTGGTCAATGACCTCACGTTTAACCCAAAATAAACAACAGTCATATTATGAAAACCCGACACACATTTTACTTATAAAAAACAGTAGAAATTAATTTTTTGACCTCTGGCTTCAAGTTGACAATTAAGCCAAAGACCAACTTTTACACGCTAAGAGGGTTGACGCATCTATTCGCTTTAAATCGGCATCATCCACCGCTTCCGATTAATGAGCTCCAATGTCCGCACAGTCATGCTCATCGACACCGTACTCCCGAAGTCAATGAGATAAAGTTGGAGGTTCTGGTAATGGATGAAATGTAGCTCTTTCGCCAATTCACTAACCGCTTGAACGAAATGCACCATAAATAAGAAAACATAAGCTGTAGATTGCTGTAAATGAAAGGTTTCGATACGGAGGTACACTGCATCGCCTTATTTACAAGGGTTGGAAAATTAAACATTCGATCACCTGTTTTAGAAGTTGATTAGCGCTTAAAAATTTTCTAAACCCGTGCACTCATTCTTTATCAATAATGCATATCCACACACAATCACTCGAAGTCTCGATGTTCCCACTGGGGAAGGCCAATAAGTGCTGAGTCCTTCGTGACGGCACCCTAATGGGATACCTTTTTCTAGGCAACTTTTAGGGCCACGAGAACTGTAGTCCCGCAAAAGCCGATTGCAAGGCCAAGGCATTGTTCTATGGTCATCAGTGGAGCCATGGTATAAGGGATCTAGTTACTCTGAGAATAATTTACTTCATATCCAAGTCTGGTTGGACCGCTTCTTCGCCAGGTTCATGGGAACAATTCATTCGAAAATGGAAAACCTTAAGGTGGAGGCCCTGGGAAAGCTACTTTTAAGCTTGCCTTTTGGTTTTACCATAGCAAATAGAATCAGTTCAGCGACCTTCATACACCTTTTTTTTCTTCGAGTATCCTATCAAAACAACTTTGAACCTGGCACGCATATAAATCTAAGAGAAACTGCTGCTTTCGTTGGAGTCAAGAAGCTCGGCTTCATACCAATGCAAATGAAAGGTATCATAAGTTAGGCAAGTGCATTTTTATGCTCTCATTTACTGCCTTTTAATGATTAAAGCCCATGCCATTCAAAATGTCAGTTTTGATAACCCTCTCAATAAAGTGGAGGTGGGGTGTTGACGCTTTGCTCTTACCATTTACGGCACCACGACGCCCACGCAATTCTTGCTTGCTCAGACCCATGGATTGCTGTTGTGACCTCTTCTACTTCAGCTTATTCTCTGTTTTTGTGTAATATTCATCATAGCAATACATTTGGCAATGAAGTTACAAAAATACCACCAGATGGCTGTTTCACGGTCGTCTGACGGAGCAGCGATTCCTTTTTCTATGAATGCACTTTTGCGTCCAACTTTTATGTGTGCACTCTTCGTGACAAATAAATTCCATCCATTCCGACCCAGATCTTAAGCTTCCCCTAATTTTTTCCAGGATTCCTATTCTTCTTTGTAAATAACCATTTTGTGCATCTCTTCTCTCTTACGACGTCTTGTTTGACTCATCAGGAAGAAAGTACAAGACGACTATGCGTTCACCACTTAGTGGAGTCAACGTCATTTTTGTTCCGAATTCGTAAAAGTACGGTTGTGCGGTCAGATTACCATCTATTTTCACTTGACTTCCAATTATGCAATTGTCATGCGCATAAAATCCCTTTAAAATTCACGATTAAGTTTAATTGGAAACCACGAATAAACCAAAAGTATGAAATCGTCAACCACCTCCTTGCACCGCTTAATTTCAGAATGTCTGCGGCCTCGTCGCATCTTTAGTGTATTGCTCGTTGTCGTTGCTTTTGGCTATTGCTATCAGTGGTGCATGTTTCGTTACTACGCATCATAGGTTAATTGTTGTGCTAAATCATCTCCACGCAGCAATGGGGGGTGGGCAGACTAGGATTACGGAATGAGGCAAAAGATGTTTGATATGGAAACAATGTAACCTACTAAGGCAAAATATCATGCATTCGGATGGGCCAAAGTCCCTCTGCATGTTTAATTCGTTCCCTAGAAGAAAGGCAATTCATCACATAACCAAATTCAAGGAAATCGACTTACGTATCTCAAGTGGTCAAGCAAGTACTGTAAGTTTTTAGAAATATCCTCTTCTCTGGGTTTCTTAAGTTAACCGCGCTTGATGTAATGAGATGCCCTTTACTAGGATGACGAAATTCAATGACAGACTTGTTTAGGGCACGATAATGCATACATTCTTTTTCCATGTTTAGCGCTTAAGCAGAAGCAGCCCCTCAACCTTGAGCAGAAGTCGAGGTCGCTACCTCTTCTGTGATTGGCTGATTGTGAGGCATGCGGCTCTCTTCACACCCACTCGCGTGTGAGCTTATAAATTGACGGTGGATTTGGTCGCCACAGTACCACAACGTGCAAACCTCAGTATGCCTACGTAAGTAGCTGCGATTGGCAGCTTAATTGTTTATGCTGATGATAATAGCGCTTCTTTTCTATGTTATTCTTTTGAAGATCTGTCTTCTTATTGACGGAATTATTTTTTCCAAGGTCGCAGTATACATGTGGCTTGCAACCACGCAATAGTCTGCGCGCCAAGCTTTAAGCCTTGGCAGCTTAAATGAATAGTAAATGACTGTCAATAGAAACACTGTTTTGATTTGTGTGTATACGCTTTATCTACTGCTATTGTAGTGGAACCGAAGTAAGAACTTTCCTTCAAAGTCTTGATGTGGATCAGAAGAACGCCGTCTCAGCAGAGGATCTCCTCCGAGTCCTGGAGAATAACGTTAAAGGTGCCACTCTGGAGGATATGCGGATCTTCATAAAATCGATAACGGGGAAATCGGATGCCCTGCTCACAGAAAAGGATTTGTTCATGTTCCTTGAAGAGATGGGATTCTAGGATTGTGTCCAATTCATTGGATCCGAAAGCATTTACTGAGATCGCATGATCATCTTGCATTCCCCTCCATCTGGCTTTAAGTACACCTCTTTACCGATCCCACATTATTTTGTTTTACAATCACCATTTTTGGAATAAAGTTCTTTAAAGAGTAAAACTGCTTCGTCTCAATCTCATGGTCGCATTAGCGGCCTTATTTTGGATACCTGTCATAATGCAGCCACACCTTTAGCCCGCCTGTAAGTGAAACAGTCACAGGATTGTAGACACCATGACTTCGATGCGAAATAATGTCCTGCCATTTTAAAACTCTTGCTTGCTTGCTTGCTTCTTATTCTCGTTACTTTGCAAAGGCAAAATTTAGAGTGGGAAAACAGAGGAAGCTCATCTGGCAAGTGTGTTGAAAAAAAGGCATCTTCGTTTACCTGCTGAGACAATCTGATCTTCACCCCACAACATTTTGCTCAAATTTCGCCTTGAAACATTGGCGAATGTGGCAGCCGATTACTTTTCCTTTCCCATCCTTCTGTTCGGATAGTGAAATTCAAAGCACTGATGATCAAGCGATACGTTTACCTTACTTTTAAAGTAACCATAGTGCTAATTTTGAAGTTTTGATGTGAATCTTTTAGTACTCGTAGAAGGTGATAAATGCGAGGTAGCATTTATGCCTAGCAGAGGGAGGATTTTAAATCCACTTCTTTAAAGTGCTACGTTAAGGTGTAAAGAGATTACACATCCCTGCTACGTGTAGCACCTTCACCACTTCCATTCACGGAATTTGATCGGGTTTGGATGGAATCGGTGAGTTCTCTACCTCCTTGGATCATTGGCGATTTTTTTTCACTTAACTAAGTGAAAAAGAATGCAACCAGTTTTTAACAGTAAAATATGAGTTAAGCTTTTGATCGTAAAAATTGCAAATCACCAACTTATGATTCGAACTAAATGCAAATCCGGCATACTTTTGCCATCCGAAACCGTAGCATTGTTGGAGGGTTTTACCACTGCCGGTCCCCGCTGATGATGATCGTCAGCTCTGTCTGAAGTAGGCTGATTTAAGCATTCTTGACTATATGTTTGTTGTCCCCCTCAAAGTCACATTTCCCTAAGACCACGACGCGCAGCAGCCGAGTGTTCTCTCGATCGTCGGGCGATTACTAGCCCCAAACCTACAACTAGAGCCAAATACTTTCTTCCCATTCGTCACCTTAGTACCTCATCTCATGCTTGCAGCTGGTGATGGTTAACCCTTTTATCACTTTAAAAGTTCGTACTTGTAAAGTGCATGAGGTTACTCGATTGAATTCGTTTCGAGACGGAGTCGTTGACGCCGCGATTGGACCCACAATTTTGCTAAGGCAATCAAGCGACTTAAAGACTGCTGTCGCAAGACAACTCTGACAAAACTTCATATTTTATAAGTGAAACTTTTATTTCCTTTGAAACAATTGAGGACAGGACAGATGAATTGACAATCTAAGGAAATTTATTATATTTGACCTCAGTGCCAGGTTTGTTGGCAAGACAGGATAAATAGGTGTAAGAACCACTTTCCAACCAAATCTTTGACTCCTTTCTTATCTCCTCGCAAAATTCAAAAATCACATTCTATTTGACTGGTATATTTGAAGTGCCCATCACTTCCCATATTTCCATGATTTTCCTTTTGCAACGTTGTTGCGCCGAGAGAAACTTTACCGAGCATTGTTTCCTTTTTTGGGAACCGAGTCGACCACGTGAGAAGACTCGGCCGAAGACCTCGACCGATTCATTCATTCAGTTGTTAGGGTGCTTTCACACGTTTTCGCCTCAGTGGCAGCCAAAATGTGCTATCAGAGACAACAGTTTCACCGTAATCGTTGGTTTGACTTTTCAGTAACTTTATTCCTCATTCAAAGGTCCAACTTTTGGGAGTGGCACACTTCCCACTCGTCTCTGAACGCAGTAATGTATGCTGATACAGACACCCAACGACCCTTTAAACTCTGAGTAACGTCAATTTTAAAGAAATTAATTCACACAGGTAAATGGTGAAATACTCTTAAATATTTATTTAATGTTCTCCTGATTAGAAATTCCTATGGTTGCTTAGTGGTCTGACCTCTTCACTTCACTAACATGAAAAGGGGAATTGGCTCACCAAACAGAAGATTTAGCCAATGTTTGCGGAGCATTTCTGGAACTTGAGACCATTTTTTTACGTATGTAAGAGGAGCACACACTCTCAATAGCTCTGCCCATTGCCACGACTCCTCAAGTGTCAATGGCTGCTCAAACCTTGTTTCAAGCCATGACCTCCTAAGACCGACCACAGTTTAGCAGATCTTCTTCTACATTTTAATGCAAGAAAACTCCTCCATGTAAGGTTTCAGACCCAACACTGCTAGCATAAAACTCGATTAGATGGACTGAGCGACCACCAGTCCAAGGCAAATGGATAGGAGTCTACATACCTGGCTTACAAGAGTAAGTTTGGATCACCTCCCGCAAAAAAACTTAAATAATTACTTTTATAGTTCATGCCAAAGGTAGAGATTATGTTAAAGTAAATAAATAACTCAAAATTCATCAGTTTTTCATAAATCTCCAAAGTTGAGCACCATAATCAGGAAAAAAGTTCTTTTGAATTATACTCGAATTCAAAAGGGCGCCATCGATGGATGTCGATCGACTGTGAAATGCAATCATCCTCAACACATCCAGCATCAATGAGTGAATGACAGAAAGTGCCACAAAACTGTCCTCTAGCGGATAGTGGTAGTAAACACTTTTAAAAAGGTCCATTGTTCAGTTGAAAATGGCCTTTCTCCTTCGTGCTTCCACGTCTTGAAGGCTACTGGGTCGAGCATCTCTTCGGTCTGCGCAATGCCCATATCACATGACCTGGCAACCGCTGCACTCTGTTGGGTCCACTTGCATGATGTTGTTCACCAAACGGTCCAAACCTTGCCCACTATGCTGCCTATGTAGTTGCACCAATTGAAAAGCAACCCTAGAAGACATCTATGATTTTCCCATAAGAATGCAAAGTTTGAACTCTGAAGAGATTGTGATTCTACGACACGACACAGTTTTGATTGGTAGGTGTCAGTTACACCAAATTTTGCTTCCCAGGCAAAAATTCTGTAGGAGGCGTCATGCAATGGCAATTGGGTCTGTGTCTTGACCAAACAATTTGTTCTACTCGTTTCTTGCTGACACCTCCAGATTAAGCGTAGAGTTTAAGAATGTAGCAATAAATGTTGCTGCTCGATAAATACAGTTTGCAATTTTACGCTCATGTCATTCAATATAGGCAAAAAAGCCTAGCACAGCTTAAGTCGCCTTTTAGTTGAAATTTATTTGATAGTGGAATCAACTGGTGACATACTAACCAAAACCCGGCGTACATGTTCACTTTAAATACCGTTATCTGAAACCTGCTAAAATTTGTGGTTAATAAGAAATACCAACATCAATGCTTGTCACGATAGAAGTTCGGTCGATTTTTATGATACTCCCAAACCAAATTGGTACTTTTTCTCAATCACGCCTAAATACCGTTTGTGTTGGTTTCTCCAAGATTTTAACACCTTCCAGACATGTCAAACCCTGGCGTCGATTCCTTACTGAAGCTTCACCCAATTCTGCTAGCATTATGAGCCACCCAACATTGTAACACCTTAACCACCTGCAAAACTCGTGAACATTTAGCAGACTTTCAAAGCATTGCAACCACTCGAAGGACCAAACTGTATTGTTTGAATGCCCGGATTCCCGTACTTGGTTATTAAAAGGACCTTTACAGAACAGCACTGTAAGTTTGGTGTGGGAGGCAAAAGTGTGGCACTTTGGATTCCCACATCTCAAAATGTCCTAGCATGGCTTTAGCCCTGTTTCGCCGCCTCGAAATGGCACGGTAATGGATATCGCAATGTTACAACTCAGCTGGGCAGATACCCACCTGCTTTTGACAAAAGAAAGATGATGAAAATGGTGTATTCCAGTAGGCTCTCGCGTCCCGCATAACAAGTCTAAAGAGATGAGATAAATTTGGTGGTTCCAGCAAGATCCACCATGCCTCCAGAATCCTTATGCTCCTTCAAGTAGCGGTCGACAGCGTCAGTGGATACCCCTAGGCTACCAATGGAGGCCAGAACATCTTCCACCTTGATCTTCCCATTGCTGGCCTTGTTCTTAAGTGCAGCTTCTACTTCCTCGCGTTTGGGCATGTTTGGTGAATACTGAGACGATACGAAGGTGTCTTGGTGTGAGACACGTGCTTATATAGGATTCATTTGCATTAAAAGACTATTGTGGAACGATGCTATTGGAAAACGGACAAGGCCATAATTGTGTCTGTCCACGCGACTTTAGGACCTTCAGTGGTGAGTGTGGTCACCAATCCAGACAGCTACAACCGCTATTGGTCGATGAAGTTATGCAGATCAGTGCTAGATTGACAGAACTTGTAGCTCAGTCGAGTTTTAAATCGCAATTGTCAACGATGTGTTTGTCGCCTGAAGATATCAGCCTTTCTTAAGAGTCGGTTCTGTATCGCCTTACTTTAAGTTTGGGGATTCAGTTGGATTGCGAGGAGTCAACATTTGCTAAATTGAAAACTTTATAAAAATTATAGAGTTCTCTCTTTTAACCTGATCGTCCGATGGCTACAACATCTAATAGTGATGCATTTCGTGACCACACTTACTATTCACTGACACCAGAGCCATAAACGAATTTTGAGAAAAAGGGACTTCTATATGGAATTTACATGTTTTAAGATTAATCCAGTTGCTGTGATAATGCACGAAGGTGGTGCCTCTGGACTTTTCCTAACACGCAAAGCGTAGAGCTTTTGGCCTTTCAAACCAAATCGCGATTAAAACTTGGGTAAAGCGCAGCCATGCCGGGGCTCCACTGTATCATTGTAGGCGAAATGATTTTACTAACTCAGATTCTTTTGAGTAAACGGGCAAACAATCAGAGTAGTTTATCTCATAAATACCTTTATAAAACTCCTAACGAAAAGATTTTCCTTAAAACACACCCAAATTGGATTTATGAGATGTGGAGTTATGGTACCACGCATTGCAGGCTTATCCGGACTCACACTTTTAACGAGATCACCGAGACTATTTGTGGGGCTCAAGTTGTCAAGGGGCAAACCGCGACACGCAATTTGTTGCTGCCTTGCACCCTTCCCACTGGCATGACAATCCAACATATGTATTGTTTAAGCGGGACAATTGTGATTGAGAAATATCATCATTTACCGCTGAATATTTGTTTTCTCCTCTGGAGAGTTTAAATTACGATGGAAATTTTCGTTAAGCAGTGTATGCGAAGAGGGGACGCAATTAGAGTGACTTGTGGACATCGTCTTTGGACCATTCTGAAAAGAGAAGACAACAAAGACTTGTGCAGAATTTAGGTATGTATTCAATTACCAAAAGGGATCGAGGCTGTTCTCTCGCCTTGGACACCGAAAATTATAAAGCTTTTTAAGTAAGCGCAACTTTGACTGACGGCCACATGGGGACCACTTTTAGCCAAGTGTGACCAGAACTGTTTGTGACTTACACTTTTTTCAAATTTAAATAATCGTGGGTGTGTTGCAGCCTTTTCAGCCTATTCGTCGGTTGCATCACAACTTCATTTTATTTGGTTCTTGGGTTTGTACAAAGGTATAAACGTTAAATAAGAATGCATAAAGCATACTAGTGGAGGTACTTATATTTTTAGGCGAAACATTATTAAATAAGTGCTATAAATAGTAACGATTCTGTGCTAATTTGATGCAAATAAGGTGGAGCTACGCCAAAGGCTTTCCAATTATACCCATGCAGAAGGCTCGCATTGCTAACTCTTAAAAATAATTTTCAAATGGTAACATCGCAAAACCCCAAGACAAAGCTATTTTGTAGCTCAAAGCGGTATCCAGTCTTTTAGCAAGACGCGTGGAACCACTCGGTATTGCCTTTTGAACAAAAAAGTCGCATTATGCAACACCGCTCAATATGTATAAAGAACAAGGGCGTCGAAAGTTTAATTTCCCCATGAGCTGTGTTTCCTGTCAAAATATTAAAATACTATGCCGACTTTTGAAAGTTTTAACTGCTTCTCTACCCAGTTTATCATATCCCAGTCTTTACATGCTCACGGACCCGATCGAAATGCTCTGCTTTGGCCAAATGCTTATTGGACCGGTTGAAGCATTCAACCTTCCCCACAAACATGCGATGCGTTGTTAACTGTTCACAGGAATGACTCCTCTTGGTGAAGCTGGAGTCACTACAATTCGAGTTGTTACAATATCAAGCCATGTGACTTTTCTTTGGCTCGTTTCTGCCGTTCAAGCACACCACGGGAAGGTAGCCATCGCCTCGTTACATGCAAAGACCTTTGTATGGATAAACACTAAAAACGCTTAAGCCTTTTCTGGATAGAAGTGATACCATCGTACATCACCTCAGTGTTAGCAGCACCACAGTCGCCTTCAGCCTTAAAGAATGGTCCGGTTAAAGAACGACATAAATCACAAGCCCTTGTTTATAAGGTGGAAGCGTTGGCAAGGCGTAAAGCAAACGCTAAAACCTCGTTGCTAAGTTCCTAATGAACACCACTATTTACTTACTCCTTGTGGCTATAAACATATGCAAACAAAAGGCGATATGAGTAATGCCCTCGTGCGAATGTGTAAGCATTGAAGCTGCTGGACCGTCCTTGGCCTAAAATCGCATCTCAATACACCACTGAGTGCCACTGGCTTCTCGGTTTGTTTATCTCCTCTTTATCAAATCAAACACGCAGCTCATCATGATGATAGATAAACTTAAAGCGAATTGCCCACAAATAAAAAGTACCCCTGGGTAACAAAGGGTGGGTGGTCACTTTGGTCTTGGGCCAGACAAGCACAATAACACGATCGTGTGGGAAGGGGAAGGAAATGCGCTCGAAAAACGTCGTTACATTTTAAGATTTTCCAACTTATCCAACTGTCGTTGCAATCAACACAGATGCTCGTAATATTCACGGGTGCATCAAACCGCCGCTTCTCCTAATACGGTCTTTAACTGGTGCTGTTCTTTAGGATTACTCGTATCATTCATGTATGCCAGAAAATATTTTTAATGCAGTTAAAATGCATGCATCATTTGTTTACTTCTTAAAACTCCAGATTCTTTAGCATTTGTAATGAACAGAACCTGTACTTTGTAAGTTAATACAAACGGAACAACATTAGGTTATTTGTCACGCCATAATAATGAAGGCAAGCCACGTGAATAGAAGTTGACATCTCCTCATTCCATTTACCTAACACAATTTAAACGTCTTAATACAGATGTCATTCATCCTAATTCTCTAGCATTTTGAGACCATGTTTTCTCCATGCACTTATGTTTGTGGACATTTTGCAGCTACACTTTGTAGTAAATTTTTATATTGCAATGTAACATCTCACTTGTTTGACTTCTGCCTCCGCGTGTGGTCACTTGAGGGGCTCTGTTGTCTTGGCTGGGTAGGCTGGCCTTTGAGCCATGTCAAAACTTAATCTCTTTCCTCTTTCACTGAATGTATGCTACGCTAAAGCTACTACAATGAAACTCTTTATTTTTTTGAAGAATTGACTTGTAGTAATGAGCCTTCAAACAGGGGAACTCTACCCACAGCACTACATCCACAAGCTTTGGACCAGCCTATTCACATCAAAAAATGTAAAGTCCACAAAAAACCGCTGTACTGCCTTTCCACCTTCAAGCTTTAGGAGTTTGACTCGAGAAACTCAATTTTAGTTTGGTAGTGGAGTATCGGTTTTCGCTCCTATGTCTGGAGTTAACCACATATTTTGATCATGAGGCAAGTCCTTCCCATATGTACCACACCAAAATCTGTATTTTAGTCCCACATTTCTTCATTTCTTCGTAGACCTCCTTTTTAACCACTTGCTATCCCTTTTAAAGTTATGACTAGCAGCACATGTAATGAAATCGTACTACCTGTAATCCCCTCTTTTTCGCCTTGGTGGGTAGTTTAAAACATCAACTATCAACATTACTGGCAATTCCCCTTATCGGAATGAATGCAAACCTGAAGGCGATTAGTCAAGCGCGCTATTTTGCCCTTCTGGTCAACGTCATGTAATCTACTGCAGCAATATCTTAAGGGAAGCCAAACAGACGATTTTGCAGATCCAAAATCAGCAAAAAAATTAATGTCTACTTAATTGTTGCTAAGCCGATGGTAACAAATAATCAGAACTGCATAAATGCCTCACCACATGGAAAAGGCAATGGATTAGTGAAAGCTAGCACCACCCCGTATGTCAACAATGGAAGACAAAATTGCATACTGTGCTAATTAACATTGCACGGTTTACGGAAATAATGTAAAAAGAACACATTTAAAAATGTTAAAACAAACTAAGCAGGTGCAATCGACTTTACCCTATGCAAGGGAACGTCTGCAGCAGCGGTGTGGGCACCGCCCTCGCTCCATCATGCAATGAATTTTTGTGCGAAAGTGTTCTGTTGGGCGACGCAACCCAGACGATCACGAGCTTGGACAGCAGACTGCGTGGAGTAATTTGTTAGCGTCTCCTCCGATTTAGCCTTCCATCTTAACCCCTGCTCTGACCTCCCCTCGTCGCTAACCTGCACCCAGTCACACAAATTTTGACGACTACGCGTAGCACAATTGTGGCTCTCACAGGCCTTGTCAGTCTGACTCGTAAGTTTAGGGTTCTGTACTTACCAAGGTGGTCTGTAGTTCGCCCAGTTGCACGTACGCGCAACTGCTGTGTCAGCTAATCACAAAACGGTACAACGAAGAGGGTAGAGAGACCTTTACTGGGAAGCAGACATATTCCACAGAATAGGAGCACAACCTTTACGAAAATGAGCCTACGACTCACTACAGGAAGATTCCTTTTTGCACAAATAACAAGCTTGGACTGTTGATCATCTTTCACCATCAGGTAACGCAGAACACGGAACCACATTTTCCTGTTACTTTTAAGTGAACACTTTCTTTCTTCTTTCTGAGAAGTTGTGAAGTAGGTCAGATTACAAAAGATATACAAAATGAGGTAGAAAGATAGGTACGACAAGGGAAGAGGCATGTTATTTGCAGCAGATTGGATGTATATTTCAGTTTATTACTGCAGCAGTGGTTTCAAAAGGCGGTAGAAGTGTTCACATTAACCTTCAAATCAATCCATCAGCAGAGTACGGCGATGCTGGGATCCAATTAAAAGTACACAAACAGTGTGTTGGTTCATAATATCAAAGAAAGGGAAATGGTCTTAACGCATAAACTTGCTCAAAAATCCACAAGCATCATAAGCCAGTTTCTATTATTTTTCAAGGTGAATAATTACGAAACAATATACCCACCTTGCGTTGATCTTGAGAACCGAGTTTAAAGTAATTTTGCTAAGTTTTCAAAAAGGCGGTCTCTGTGCATGCAGGGCCACATATGAGTACTGAAAAAATCGTTTGTTTAACGATCACAATGCAAACTCAGTAAAGAGAGCATTGTAATTTTTCGCTTCATGCTCCCCGAACACTCCCCCTCCGGTTTCCCAGAAGACGGCTTACTGTGTGAGAGTTTATTGCACATGTTGAACCGAAAGCAAGTAAGCACGAGACTCAAAATGAACTCGCCCACAAAGGACATTTTAGGCACTTAACGTGCATTACAGATTTAGTTATAAGTCAAAGAGGGCTTAATCGTAAATTCGGGTTTTCTATTAGAAGAATGGTCATTGCTAAGAATGGACTTCTTAAACTTGCTAAATTAAGGTACCACAAACCTCGTCAATGTACAATTTGCCTTTTTGAAAACTGATTCAGTGCAAAGTCGTGGATGCCAAGGTAATCTATATTGATTGAGTGAAGCCTAAGCGAAAGACCAATTAAAAGTTAATTCGTTTGTTTATGTTGTAGCGTCCCTAGACTTCCTAACCGGTATAAGAAGTCAGTAAGTGCAGCCGGATACATGTATTCCGAAGGTGACAGAGCAAATGGGGCTGGACATGGCTCGAAGGCCAACCACGTGTACAAGGGCCAGACAAATCTTAAAGTAACTGCCAAATTTTATGTAGTCTCATAAACAAAACATTACATGTGCGAATACCTGTAGGTCTGGAGGCAACATGGAGCTAACCTTGCAATTCTGCACATGGACTGGCCTTCAAGCCAAGTCAAGCCCTCATCCCTTCTCCTTCTCCCCACAATACATGTATTCAACCCAACTTAATGCCTTCTTCAAAGCAATGGGAAGGCTCGGAGCCCTACACTATTGGCAGAGGAATGCAAACCCGACATTTCTCCTAGCAACTTTTATTCAAATTTCCATCGTTTGTGGTATACATCGACAATGCGAAGGAAGTTCATATATTTCAAATGGAAGAATCGCTGTTCTCTTTACAACTTAAGAGTTAAAAATGATGCCCACCTTGTTCCCATTTGTCGGAAACTCTACTAGAGCATTTTCGTCTTCTCCAGATAGCCATGACCTCCTTCCCGCTCAGGTGTCAAGTCTTCATTTTCTTCGGGATGGCCTTGGTCCTCTACATCTGGCATAAACAAGTATGGAAAGGATAGGAGCAGGTGGCAATGGAGCACAAGTGCAGCACTAAAAACTTAAGTGATTGATTATGAAGCATTGCGATGTTCATTGTGGACGGTGCTAGGCAACATAAAGGCAATTAGTTGTCTGTATTAAATTTAGGAATTAACAATCAAACGGTCAGACAAATTTTCGCAATATACTCAGAACATTTATGCTAATTATTATTCGAGAATGTCTATTAATTGGATTTAGTGGGACTCTTAGAAGTAGTGCCCAATTAGGCTTAGTGTCATTGAGTTTAACCACTTGCGTTAGTGTTACCACGACGTCCTGCGGCCTTGAGTCTGAATTTTAAATTCGTGTGATCATGCCGGCTGAGTTGGGAGTGGGGAGGGTGGTAGCACTGTCAAATTGCATAAAGAATAAAATCGGCACGAACTATAGGATTTCAGCCATTAGCGATATCGGGATCGAATTTATTGAAGAGGTTTTCGCCTTTATATCGCCAAACTATGGTAACTTTAGTATGTTTACTCTAGCATTGTAGTGAATTCGAACCAGTCGGCTTACAAACGCTTCCAGTACATTCTTCAGTGGTTGTCAGAGTATCTCGACACGCCTCTTGATCATATAGGGGTCAACTCTCTTGTGCTTTGTGACCCGCTCAGTTTGTACAACTTGCTTGAAATTCTCGATCTCTGCATAGATGCACATAAGACCTCCTATGTTTGCTCCACCAGTCAAGAAACAAACAAGTGGTATGCTTTCTTTTGAACAAGTCCAGATTTTTCTTCGCCAACCTTTATTTCGAGTCCATTTTTATGAGCTAATGTCTGCGCACCTTGATACAAATCGGGTTCTCTTTTTTATGCCATCAGTCTTATGAGCCTCGAACTTGCTGTTGTTTGGATAGCTCACAGGTCGTTGCCTGAGCAATTGCTTACCAGTGGAATACTATCTAGTTTGTAGTCAGTGTTGTCCCTTATGCTCTAAAGTTCAGGAACCGTGCCACAATCAAAACTAGAAATGGATGCCGCTTTAGAACAGAGTCGTTTGAATTACCTAAGCTGCAAACTTGCCGAAATGTTCTCTGCCAAAGAGGACGGAACGTCATCCTCGCCACAGGTCGAAGCAGAGCCTGACATACCTCTAAAGAAGTTCAACGTCTCTGGTCGCCGTGTAAAGTTTGTGAGTGTATCACTCATTTTTTGTCTCCATCTTGTGGTACCAAGCTGTCCACACATGGTTACTCTATCCTTTTCGTAGGTTGATGTATCGCATGTGCTAGGGTCGCATTCAGCCGCTCGGCCTCAGTCTTCGCGATCGATTCTCTGGGCTGTAGAGAAGCCGTTGCGGCAAGGTCTAAGGTGTAGGTTCCCCTCGCCCTTGCTTGCAGCCATGCAACAATATTTTCAGTGGTTACACAATGTGTCCCTCTGCAAAATGCCTAGTCAGGATGCCAACGTACTCCTCCAGGAGCTGCTGAAGCATTTAGGTCTGCTTGAACTTTCTAGAGAGACGCAGAACTACATCAAGCTTAAATTACGTGAGTGCTGATAAGTTATTATCAAAGAAGGAAACAGGTCGAGTGGCGGTTGCTTCTTTCTCAGTGGATGTTCGCCGCTGTGAAATATCAAACACCCACTTTGAGTTAAAAAAGCACGAAACAGCTGTTACTGAACCTCTTTTTTGAGAAGGTGGCTTGTTTGATGCTAAAAGTCATTTTGTCAGAACGAAAGGACCTTTAATATTACACTAATGGAGTTTGTGAGCTAGTCCTCCTCATATTTCGCAAAAGTGCCTCAGATTTTTTCATACAACTGGCCCAATAACAATGCTTGGTCATGCTCAAGGGGAAAATTATGTGAACGTGGAGAGGCAACTTGTTATTGGCTAGATTTGAATTACTTTGCTTGGAGAGTGGTTAATGTCAACATTCAGGCTCTTTATGCGTCCTTAGAAATGTTCGTAAGTACATTTTTTGGTTAGTTTGCTACCACTTAACACAGGTTATTTTGTTGAGTTTGCTAAGATATAAAGAGGCCTGCGTTGTTGTCCTTTCATTAAGTCTTATGACCAATAACATTCTCTTGTTGGTGTAAATGGATCTACTTTCAGACATTCCGGTACGGCCTAAATGTGTAGGGGATTCAAACATAAATTCTACCTTTGGATCAACTTGGTCTGCTGTGGAGTAACTCCCTTTAACGAGAATCACCTCTTGCATTTTCAAGCACTTGAATATTTACTAACACGTATACACTGAGTATAGAATTAAGGAAATAATTTGATGCATTTTGGCAGTCTTACCAAGAAAGTAGCTTGTAAATCCTCTTTTTGAGGCAAAATTTGAAGGCTTATTGTCATTACTTCATGGAGGCAAAGGCGAGGTGGAGCATACATTTGGCGCAGGAAATGAGGTTGATGCATATATCCACCCCTTATTGCGCCCCTTTTTGATCTTACCATTTGACTTGCCGTAGGCATTTGAAAAGCTCTCAGGATAGGTAGTCGACCCGCAGGACTGATTGATATGAGGTTCCTTTGACTTGCTTAAGTTTTAAGCAGCTTAAATTGAACGTGACAAGCTCACACCGAGTCGACTACCGATATACATTTCATTGTCCGGTAAAGCCACAGTTGAGGGGAAGCTGACAATTAATGTGGGTGATGTGAAGGATTCAATGTTTCATGTGTTGCGCAGAATTGTTCTTGGACAATAAGCTGATTGCTGCTTCGCACAGACGGACTCATGGCGAGCGGCGGCTGGAGGAGTTGGCGGATCGTCAGCGGCGACGTGTAGAGCTAATGGAGCGCCAGGCGGTAGATGCAGAGCGAATGCTCAATTTACGGGACTCGAGAGCCTTTCATCGCCTTCTTCTCAGTGAACTGCGGGAACGCAGACGTATGGAGGTACTTGACCGATACTTCTGTCTTCGTCACGACGAACATCTCCGTGCGCTCGCAGCAGCTCGCAAGGCTCAAGAGGAACATGTATGCGGGTTCCAGACGATATCTGTCTTGCCATTGTGTTCGTACCGATGGGTTAAACTATAAACATTAGAGTAAAGCACTTGAAAAATCTGGGGCATGTATACAAATTCCAATAGAGCAGTCCGGATATAGTAGGGAAGGCCTATTATAAAGCTAGATAGGGAGTTGATCTTTTCACAGCGCTAAGCATATCTGATGCAAAATGGTAGATTTGCATGATGAAAGTACTCAATGCCACCTCAGATGCACTTTGTGCTAACTCGCTTCCTCTGATGAATTGAAAAAAAGGAACCTTCTGGAAGTGGGTCATCATTGGGCTGTATTTCTACTAAGATTATCAAAGAGGCGTTCGACGCTGCCTTGGAGAAAGCACGCCAGAACAGGATTGAGAGGAATAATCTGATGTGTGAAGCTAAGAGAAGGGAGCTTGAAATGCAGGATCTTCTCATCACAAATCTCGAGAATCGGTAATTTTTTTATCTGTTTGGTAATCTTATTGAGGTAGAAATAGGGTGCAGATTTCTCTGCTGATAAAATTTTCTCTTGGAAGTCTCTGTGAAAGCATGATTGTTGAGGCAAATTAAACTTAGGTCGGCTATTAATTTAACGGTAAGCTGCTAAGTCCATCTTTTCTCGTGATTTTATAACTGTCCTCTATAATATACAAATTTTTAGACACAAAGAATGCATTGCGCTTTTACAAGATGAACAAAGTAAGTGTTTGGACGATATGGATCTCCAAGCAAAGTCCAACAAATTGGTATGTCTCCGTATAGCAATTAGGATTATGCTGTTATTGTTGTTGATTAGGATAATTTGCGAGAAAAAATGGAGCTCCGTCGACAGTTAACGCAACAGATTAAGGAATTGGAAGAAACTCTTCTAAGTCAAGTGGAACCGCGAGGCCTGCGGGAGCGTAACGAAACTCACGGTCACCGCAATTGGTCAAACTAGGCAATTGCCCTAAGCCTTATTTTATCCTACGTGGTTATTATCATGGTCATTTGTATCTTAATGTAAATAAGTGTGGCAGTACGCTTGCTTGTCAACCTCAATTTCGATGTGTACACTGGTTTTAAGTCGTGTGAGTAGCTCGTTTCATGAATTTAGGCTTTAATCAAGGATTTAGTTGTCCTCGGCGGTGCTGTGGCAAGGCGGTTTGAGGGAGATAGGGTCTGTTTTGTAGTTTTGGTTGGTAGATAGGACTGATAGGAATGGTGGCAGGTCATCGATATTTCAGCGCAACGTGGGTATGAGGAGAGCGAATTTGGCTTTTTTTCAATGAGGCTTTTCTTCGCATAGCGAGAAATGAGCTACGGAGATAGCTCCTCATTACCTTGTGCCTTGGCGGTATGCCAGTTCGCGCCATGTTTTATTGGGATTATAGGATAGTTGGAGTCGGGCTGTCTTTGCTAAACGAAACAAACGTGATAGAGTGGGTTGGGAGTCTGCAGGTGGTGGCTATCTTGCCAACTGCCTTCCTCATGTGTGGTGGGTTGGAATTCAAGTCATGGTGGGCTCTTACTTCTACTTGTAGCGCCCAGAGACTTAGCACAGGGTAGGTAGTAAGTGGGTCTGAATTAATGAGTTCCAGAACGAGTGGGGCGTTTAGTCCCGAGGATCGGCTTGCGCGTACAAGAACCAGACGATCCTTAAAAGTGATCGGAAGACATCACATGATCACATAAGGTATTGCACCACTGCGAAAATACAGGCACTAAGCTGGATCATAATGCTTGGTTCACGTGACTATCTGGTACCCGGTGATTACTTTTGCAATCGTCTTGCTCTTGTGCGCGTAAGCTGGTCTTCTGACCAAGCCAAGGCTCAATCTGTAGCGCCCTAAAAATTCTCGCAGGAAATAAGGTATGAAGGTGTACCGAATGGATGTTTTCTAGAGAGGGAAGGGGTTTAAGTCTTAACCTTAATTAAAGGCTAGATCACGCGTTCAAAGGCTGAACGAATACCGAATTAATTGGTTGGCATCAGAGGGTTGTATAAGCGGAACATTACACAATCTCTTTTTCCATCTGAAGTGAATGCATTCAACACAGTTTAGATTGGAATATAATTTAAATTGTTCATTATTCAACGTCAATAAAGGCGGTGAGAGAGTACCGACTACTGGTAGCAACTTTTGCTCAAAACAGATAAATGTAAATTGTGTAATTTCGAAGGGCGTTTACTTCAATTTTACGTAGTAATCGATAATTCGTGCAGTTGAAATTATTACAGAAGCTCGCAATTCAAACATATTTTGTTGTATAAACACAGCATTACAATAATAGTTCGTGCGCGTTTATGCGAATCCCATAGTAGGCGAAAATTTCGGAGGAGTGTACCAGGCGAAATTTTGTAGGTACCTCCTAATCCCTTCCCTGTATTGTGATTGGTATTATTCTACATTCCAAAGTTGTTATGACCTATTTAATTACTCGAACCCATTAGTCTGTCACAAGTCCCAGTCCAACCCTTGTCCAGATGGATTGATTTACGGTAGATTTTCCGGTTGAACCTTTAAGTTAATCGAGATTCCCATTCCTTGGCGCACAACTTGCTGAAATATTGTGATCTGCTTTTAATTTTTTCGTCAGAGATGCCAGTACTGGTTAAGAAGCCTCCAAAGATGGCGTCTAGCGTATATGACTTTTTCACAAACACAATCCCGATCGATCCAGCTGTTGCAGCAAACACTAAAGATGAGCTTTATTCTCTCTGCGATGATCCCATGACAGAACCAATGAAGTTGATTAATGAGAACTTGAAGTTTGAAGACAATCGAAAGCTACGTGGCTGTTTTATCGAGAACTCCGGTTTCCTTGTCGTCGGTGTCATTGGTCTCCAGGTGGGCAAAACGAACCAAATACTTGTCAACCACTGGGTTTTTTTTATTTTTTTTCCATATTTTTAGGGTGTTGGCAAGTCCTCTGTTGCTAACTTGTTTGCGAACAGGTTGGTTGAGGGGCCCCCGTTTGAGAGTCCCTTCCCGGTGCAAACATTGGACTCTTTAGTCGAGGGTTACCCCAAAACTACAGCTGGGGTGGACATATATATCACGCAGGACCGCGTTATCCTCCTGGACACGCAGCCTCTTATTGATTGGTCACTCACTGATCTTCACATACAGTGTAATCTTCGTACTCAAAAGCAGCAACGAGATGAACATGAGGAGGTAATCGAAGTTACTGGATGCTCCTCGACCTCGGGAAAGTGGTCTGTTGATGGTTTTGCCGAGATCACTTCCCTCCAGGTATTTGACTATCCGCTCTTAAGTGGTTGTCTTCTTACTTCCATCAACTACCTTTTCAAACAGTACTCAAAACTTGGGACTTAGAAATCCAAAAGAAGTCAAGGTCCTATAAATCGCTGGTTTATTTGTATAATAGCCTAGTTTATATTCTAGAGGAAGGGGTTTCACTGAATGTCATTTTGTTATGAGGGATTGAGATGGAATATTGGTACTTTGCACGAAGTATTTGGTTTATCATGATGCGGATACGAATTCTGCCATTTAGCTGGTTTCCTTCCTCGTGAGTGTGTGCCACGTGGTCGTGTGTGTGCAAGATAATCTCAGCAATCCATTCTTTCTGCGTCTGATTGATCGTGCTTTCGGCTGGAAGCCTCTGGTCTTGATTGATGATATTGTAACCACACCCAACTTTGGCATGGGTCCGTCCATCCTGAAATCCAGTCGGAGGCAGCCTCATCCAAACCCACTAGCGGTAACAGTGGAGTCCGAGGTGGCGGATGTGAAGGCAGCTAAGCCAGAAGTCACAGCCGCGGAAGAGGAGGAAGGAGAAGTGGCAGTTGATGAGGAGGAAGAGGAAGGTGGCGTAGCGTGTGAAAATGAAGCACCTGAATCGAACGAAACAGGTCTTGGTCAGACGCCCACTACAGCCCTTAAGGTCTGCACCTCTTCTGACGCTGTCGTGGTCGCTGCTGCAGCCGCATCTGCTTCGAGAACGGGAATGGGTGCTGTTGAAGAAGTGGCAGAACAGGCAGAGGTGCGGGACTTTGTCAATCATTTGCTGCGTACGTATGACTTTGGTGCGTTTTCCCTCGGAGTAGTTTGAGATGTAGTATGTTTTCACGTTCGAATCTCAGGACTGACTGACTACACGGCTAATCTGGTGCATGTCTACAACTGTGCACCAGTGGAAGCCTTCTTAAATCCTCGCATTACTGACGACCGTTTGTCGGCATATCGCCGTCTCCTCACCCAGGCATTTCCTGCGCGTCTGCAGCTGGCCTCGCTAGTGAAAATGGGTCCGCACATTCTTCAACGTCACATGATTTCTCAACGGAAGCGCCTTCATGAACAAAAGCAACAGGTGGCTGCCACTGCAGCTTCCACATCCAACGTAGACATGGGTGGGTTGATTAAATATATGCTGGCTCTCCGAAATCGATGTCTGTTTGGCTTTACTCAGGGAAACAAAACAAGCTTCCTAATTCTCACTCGATCGGTAGCTCCGATAAAGTGGCATTTAACTTTGACATGGAGGTCATGTGTTTCTTTAGCAGCATGGTGAAGCTACACCAAATTTTTCTCTGTAGATGGTGAAATACAGCTGATATCAGCACTTGATTTGACAGAACAGAACACGCATGAAATGTGAGTGCAGCCTCATTACTAATCCTCAGTCACTGGTATGTGCTCTTTCAACACAGTTTTACTTAAGATCCGCGATGAAAAGCGAGGCTTCCATGGAGGCAACAGAGGCGGAAATAATAGCAGAGTGCTGTGAGGAATTGGAAATTGTGGCTAAGGGAGCGAGGAGTCCTCAGAAAGGCACGGGGAAATCCTGTATTACCACCACTGCCACTGTCTCACCCTTATCAAGGTCGATATCGAAGGCGGTGTCTAATTGCGCCGCAGGAAAGGTTTTTAATGGTGAGGACCGAGTGGCGGCGCTCAAAGATTTCTCACGTTGCGTTATGGAGGGTCGGAGAACACACCTTGAGCCTTCCGCGTCGATTTCCTCACCCCGCCTCTTCCTGCTCCCTGCAACAAACGAAAATGGTTAGTTGAGAAATATTTCTCTTGATCTTTTCAAATGCGTAAATGTAAATTCGTGCAAATGAGTATTTTTCCATGAGATGTGAACCTAAAACGGATTCTGGAATTTTACTCTGATAGGTTTGGCAAGAACGTGTGATAAGGGTGCTAAATCCTCTTAGAGTGCCATAGTATTCAAGGAAAAGTTGATGAAGTGCTGATCTTATTTTTTGATGACTTATGTTTGTCTATCGATTTGCGGGATGCTGAGGTACCAATGCGCTGAGTTTTTAATGTCTTTACTGAAATTAAATGAGTAGAGTGGTGTGCGCTTTGTCACACAGGTGAGGTTGCGTTCGGTAGCCCAACGTATATGCAGTGCGCCTACCAGCTTCAGGAAGCCATTCTTTCCACTCCAAGACATCACCCTGCACCCTCTCGTTCGAACATGACGGAGATCCAATGGTTTGACTTCGCTCGACAGACTTGGAACAGCCTTGCCCCAACCAGCTCGTCTTCATCCTCCTGCTCCTCCTATCTCAGTGACTATCACCGCCTCTTTGTCAGCAACTCCCTCTGATGTTTCTTTCATCCAAACCCAGTGTTATTCATACATCAGAGGATTTGATATATAGTTTTGGAAACTCCGTCACTGTTCAACTTATATATGGTATCCTTGTATGTTCATTCTTTACGAAATGGAAGGTCTGCGGGCAACCATTTGAAGTGTATCTCATGATATTTGCAAGTTGTCAACTCAATTTTGTCAGGCTCCTGCCGAAACGACTTTAGTGGTGGTTTCAATCAAACGCCTAAAGGTTAAGCATAAAGTTGCTATGGTTAGTTTTTTTATAGTAGCTGTTACCAGGTTTGGGGAGTTGGACGCAGGAAAACAGTTCGAATTAGATGTACGATAGACTGGAGCTATAACTGAGGTTTTGGAAACGCGGTGACCTTGTGGTATTGTGATGATCGGTCATTAGACGAGGATACTATTTGGGCTGTTGCTGTTTCTATGCATTATTCGTTTCTTATGGATTATGTACTTCAGTATTCAATGTGTGGAATGATTTGCATATCCTTTGTTGGAATAAACGGCGTTATCGTTTTAGCACCATTCCGTTTGCCTGCGGTCATGATCAGTAAGCATATTGTGCTTGTATTGGGTTCCATCCCCTTTTTTCTGTAAAACCCATATATAATAAAATTCGATTTGTGAAGCAATTTAAATGTGAATGTAGACGACTTAGGAGGCGCTAATTTGGGTAATGTTTCTACTTACACGGTGTGAAAGGATCAAGAAAATGGGAGGATGAACGAGATTCCTCCAGATTCAACCGTCAAATTAGCTATTTGCATGGGCTTCGGGGTTTGATGAAGTGCAATGCGGTAAAAGGTCCTAGCTCAAGGGATGAGCACCATCATTCCATTTATTTTCTCGTAAATTTTAGTTCCTCCTACATTCTACACTTCGAGTATGCATAATAATGAGCTTTGAAATTAAAAGGCTTCCCACAAGCCTCCTATCGGTTGAATACTAGCTATTTGTCTTAGCTCGATAGAAAACTACTGCTAGTCATCAATAGGAGCTGGACTTCACATATGCCAAGCATCGACATTTTTCACCGTGAGCTTGGATGGTGAAAGCTCTCAGTACCATAGCCATTAGCAGTCGGCTAAAGCAGCTTGCAATATTTTTCTCTCTTACACCTTTCTTTGAAAAAGTAAGTCGCACTGCTTCGCCCTATTGTGACTAAATTGTGCCTGCTTTAATATCACGGGCTCATTTTACACATGGTTCTGACATTAAAATGCTTTATTAATAAGTATCGTTTAGGTATCGAAAAGACCCAGAACTTTGCAGCAGCCCAAAAATAGTGACACGTACTATTAAGAAGATCAAGGACGTAATTCTTTTAAATGCAATAACGATTTGTTATTGTTTGGTTCCAGCAATGCCGAGTTAATTCGTTTACAATAGGTGGCAAAATTATGAAACCATTCCGCCTACTTACTTCTCTACGCCTTCGGAGGGCTTTTAAACTGACTAAGCTTGAACTTCATTTTGAGGAGGTCTGTGGAGTAGCATCACACTTTGCCCACCAATGGAAGTGCAGATGTAATGGCCTAAAAACTGTCTCATCTGGAGCTACGTTGAATTTAAAAGATTAAGCCATGGGAAGCAGAGCAGGAAAAACATCTTCCTCGGCTAAAACCTTAACCTCGATAAGTGGAATTTAGCCGGCGTAGGTGTCTCAAAGCCACGTGATGCTTGCAGCCACGAGGGTCGTGGAAGCATCAAGAGGGAGGGTCCCATGCATTTGTGCTGACTTCGATGCGACATCACTTACTCACCTCTACTCGCATCTTTATGGACAGATATTAAAACCACCTTAGCTTGCAATTCCACCCCATCCTTGAACGGGTATTCAACCTTGACCTTCAATTGCACGGGTCAATAAATGATGCGGAGAGGCAAATTAATGTTTCTATCTAGCCTCTTATTTACAGACTAAAATCAATGACAAGAATAGGACACAACCGTTCCGGTGGAGTGGATTTGGAAAGCCTTAAAAGGAGTATTTAGTGAATGGAAGGTGAAATAGATCAAAGTAGTAGAGGAAAGTTTGTAAATTTCCCATTTCCAAGTGTAGACCTTCTGGAATTCAACCATTGGTTCGTGCTTACTAATCCCCATTGCTCACCATTGACCAATGAGTCGGAAGAATTGAGACTGATGCGAATCAAGAATGCGATATAAAAGGGTAGATATTGATCTACTACTCATTCCTCAAAGACCCTCGAATCATGAAATACGGTAAGATGCCAGGTTCCTCTCTGCCTAATCCAAATTGATGCCAAATTTACGGCAATCACCAGCTTATTTGCTCAATTTTCTTATACCACTGGACGATTGGTACTTTCTTGCAGTAATATCACAACTTCTTCCTCCCCCTACAGACTTCTCCGTAGCAAGCATATTGGGTCTGTCGCCTTCATCAGGAGAGTTGTCAAAGCGTCCCACTTTAAGCGCCAAGTTCGAAGCTGCGTACGCCTGTATAACAAGACGCTTCAACTCCTTTGACGTGGCTTCCATACTGTCATCACCGTCAACAGCCGCAACAGTGAATTCTTCGAGCATGTTTTCAGTTAAGCATTATAACACATCGTTAATACCACAGCTTGATGGTGGGGACAACGAAAAGGTTCTATCCATCGACACGTCCACACCTTCCTCCTTCCAACCCGTTATCTCATCGGTCACTTCTTCGTTTACTCGAATCGTAGCGCTTCCAGAGTCTTGTGCTTTACCAGTTAGTTGCAACACCACCATGCCTCTTCATCCTCATCGGCACACTCTACCTTTGCTGTCTAGTGAATTTACTCTGCAATCTCCTTCTTACACTGATCACAATTACTGCTTAGATTCAGTAACTCTTTTTAACGTGATAAGTACAAACGCAAATACAAACATCGTTAGTCCTACCAATACCGCTCTTAATTTTCCCGCTGTAAGAGTTCCAGGAAATGCTACCAATGATGGGACGAAGTATGAAGACGAGAACAACAAACGAGTTCGTTCTTTCGCAAGTTCTGATGAGGTAGTTAACGATGCAGAAGAAAAATATGGGGAAGTGGAAAAAGAAGGGCAAGCTTTATGGAGATGTCGGAAGTGCGGGAAGACATATAACAGCTCCTCTTCACTAAGAATGCACAAACGAAGTCACTCGCGCTCGTGGAAATGTCGGTACTGTGAGAAGGCGTTCTCGCGCAACTGGCTGCTTGAGGGTCACGAGCGGACTCACACAGGCGAAAAGCCCTTCTTCTGTCCCACCTGCCAACGTGCATTCGCGGACCGCTCCAACATGCGAGCACACATGCAGACACACCTAATGGTAAAGCGCTGTCGCTGTCCTCACTGTCCCCGATCATTCACTCGCCGCAGTCTGCTCTACCGACACGTGGAAAAGTGTCCCCTCTCTGCCTTTGTTACAAATAAAGTTCCCGCCGCCTCCACCGTCAAAGCAGCAATCAACCTCGACACCATCAACTTAGCCAATTGAGATGAAGAGCTGGGAGTTTATTTATGCCGAAACTTATGAGTCTTCTATAAGCACTTTAACTTTCGTACTAAGCTTTTTTATTTACTGTCAAGAATTTGAACTATACTTTTAACACCTGTTTTAGCATGTCTACATTATGGTGAAATTGCTGAATTAAAAGTCTATAGAGCACAACGATGTTTTGGCTGTCCCAGAACTACGACGCACTGAAAATGAACAATTGAACAGCAGTTTTCGCGCTTTCAAATAACAAATGCATTTGCTTTTCCCCTCCCATGTGAAGTCAAAAGCATGCTGTGCTCGGTAAAAGGGAAGAGTAAGCTGCGGCCTTGGTGTTGGAGTGTTACAGGCGACTGGCACGATGTCATCATGTGCTGCCAATGTAGACTGGATTAGAGGGAATAGAAAATGACGATTGTTGCTAATGCGTAATTACCCATAATCTCATCCCAAAAGCATGAAGTAACTTGCTGATAAGACGTTGGAAATATGAGATGATGCCTTCGTTAATGATTGCTGTTACACAATTGCATTGCTTTTATCACTTACATGGCCATGGCTGTGAATTGAGCTCCCAGAAGGGCGCTGGATATGCCGTGCAATTTGTCCACGCTTCCTTAGCCGAAGCCGCTTTCTGACACCTAATGGAGTCCAAGTGTGGAACAGGACAGCAATAGATATCCAAACAGGAAAGGTGAAAAATCTTAAATAAAGATGTGGTATTTTATGAGGCAAGATAAGGATGCAATCAAAGAATCTCGAGGTCTTTGTTCCACTTACCCAAGGTAACCCCAAGAAGCGACCGATTGAACTCCTTTGAGAGGCAGATCACTGTATTGAAGATATATTAAATTCTAACAGAGTCTACTCTTTGGCGTCATCATGAGCAAACGAGGGTGTCGTGAGCATGGCAAGGCTGTGGATAGGCGAGTGCAGATTGCTCAGCGACTGTATGGCGATGCGGACCACTGCTTGTCAGTTTTTCCATGTCAAATGATCCACTGATTAAGTGATTGCGTCTTTATTGTGGCCTATTTGAGCATGGAGAATTATTTTTACGTGCCATAACATCCTACCCAATGTTTTTACACTAAAATGTAAAAGCTCGATTTCCCCTTTTACTACGCCTTTCCGTTGGCCAAAACTAAACATGGCGCCTTTGTGTGTGTCGCGCTCCTGTCACTGCTGTGATGTGATGGCGGTTTCCAAAGGTCATTTCAAATGTACTGCTCGTTTTTATTGTGCTCTAAACACCTCTTTTAAATCAAATATTTACCTAGTGACTCAGTTTCAACTGAAAATTTATTCGACAGCATAGCAAACCTAAACCAAGTGAATGTCGGCTGTTGCTTAAAGTAATTCAAGTAAATCAGTAATGGTTTTGGCTGCTTATGAATACTTTACTTTTCTTTATTAGCTTTAGCATGAAAATAGGATGTACAGCTTCCTTCATTCAATTCTTTTTCCTTACTTATAACTGCGCATTAAGCAAGGTTTAAGCTTCTGTGCCTGTTATCCGTTAATACACTTCTTGTAGGACAGGTTGTTTCTTTTCCATAGTTCAGTTAAATTTTTTACCCACGTCACTAGACCACTCACGATGCATCTTATTTCCTGAGAAATAAATCTCCCGCTAGTAACTCCTAAACTGCTGTCAAAGGTTTGCTTTCCTGTTGTGTCGAGTTCAACCACCTCATGTGCAACACGAAGTTGCTCTGAAACATCTCTGACTGAAGTGCTCTGACAGAATCGACACGCACGGTGAACAGAGCTACGGGATGAATACTCGCACTTTTCTCCCATCAGGGTGCCGATTTTCACTTGAGGTGAGAAGTTAAAGCAGAGTTTTACTCCTATTTGTCTTCAGTCGGTTGAAGTAAATTTTTAGAACTGGAATAGACTAAAAGAGTTTCGTTAGAAATACCACCCCAAACTCCATCGGTATGTATGGAGTAGCACTTAAAGAGGATGAAATGACGCATTAAAAGCAAGCTGATAATACAGCATGAGGTAATAAGAGTGTAGAGACACCTTCGCATCTCCAAAGTACTCTGATGAACACTTATTCTTCCATTTTCAAGCACTCCCTTTCCACTGGCACCGTTCAAATCCATATGCGTAACTAAAGTGTCGAAACCACTGTTGGACAATTTCCAAGCTGTGTGCTGACGTGAGAAGTCATCGAAGAAGTATAAGTGAATGGTGTTAGCCCGTAGAGAGATTAAGAACCTGTTGATGGAAGATGTCGCAATATGGTGTCAATAGTCTACAGCCATCACCCTATCAAATGCTTCCCTTTTTGCTTGTGCGTGCTGCGACGTCGTATGCGTAAAAGGCCACCCAACGCTCCTTTTGCTCCAGCAGCTAATTGGATGAGGCCTCGGGTAGAAATACTGTATCAGAAGATTTACTCCATATAGTCTACCAAAAGTTGGCAGCCCAAAAGTCGATTGACTTTCCAGTCATTGGTGTGGTCGATGTCGAGATTCGATAATGCCATGATTTGGGAATGGTGTGTTGGGTCGTCTGGGTAATGATATCTTGTTTTGGTTTTCTTTCTCAAAGGGGAATGAGTAAACCTTCTAACAAGCTGAAAATGTTTAGTTTTGTAAGAACAAGTTTTTTTGCACATTTTAAGGTTGTCAAAACAGCAATTTGTCTCTATTGAAGTTTTAAAATTAGAGTCAGTAAATACATTTCTGCTTCTAAAATGGGTTACGTATATAAGTCCAAGCAACCTCAAATTAAGAGAACGCAGATCCTATTTTTATTCTCTCCATCAAAAAGTGATGTCTTCGTTTGGCTCCACCATTATCAGTGAAAGCGCGCAGAAGAGCCTTATTTGGGCGTTATCATCCTGGTCTTTGGCCTTCCTGACTATCTTATCCTCACCTCGCTCTACACTTACCAATGACCGTTAAATCATAAGAAAATGGTGTCAATTTATATTTTGCTTCTCGGCGAAGGTCTCGATTTAGCCACAGCTCCATACAAAGACCAATCCAAGTCGGTAGAAATTGTCGTTTGCTTAAACTACTCCTGCTACGATGTTGCTCAATGATGTCTAAGAACGGACTCTCATGAGTTCGATTTCAGGCTGCTTTAACTAGCCACCATTGCTTACAGTTTGGATAAGACCAATGAAAAGACGGATTTTCAAAGGGCTTTTAAAAATTCCTTTTTTGTTAATCATCATTTTTTGGTTGCTTGCTCAACAAGGCGTGAGCAGACATTGCATCTTCTCTTAAACTCCTCACAGGTCACTTTTTGCCATTCACAAAAGACTAGTAAGTAGCCTCGTAACTTTGAGATGCCACAATTAATTCGCGTAGATTTTACCTGTTTTAATGCTTTCTTCACTAACCTCCGAAATTAACAGCACAGTGGCCCATGGGGTGCACCTCAAATAAGCATTGAATGTGAGCCTTGCCAGCGGCATAGCGATTAATAACCTCACTGTAACAAAAACAGTGTTCGACTAGAATATTTATTCATCCAACACTTGACAAATGAATCGCACGAGTTGTCTGTGCATTTTATACACAAATGGAGTGATGTCAGTGTACTTAGTGGAACTGAAGCTGTGATTACTGCATGCGAAAATGGTCAATGCAAGTGGTCTTACCCATCGAACGCAAGTGCAAGTAGCATCACTACATCACGCTATTAAGTAGTGCGTTTACATCTGGATACCAGTGGTTTATTTCGTTTACTCTTATATCATTCAGCTTGCTAGCGTTACGCAGACGCAACAGATTGCATTGAAGATGTTGCCAAATATCACTGCAACAGTTGTTATCTTCACACCAGAAGGAACTTTACATTGAAAGCAATAACTGGACAATTGACAACAAGCTGGACACTTACTTATTACCCTTCCCAATTCATATTTCAAGCCCATGTTAAACGCTCTCAATCGACGGGCTTCTCAGGCCCACGTGGAACCTTGTGTCTCCTCTAATCGTTTTATCGATTTTCTCACAGGCATAATTTCGACTGCTCTCGACTCCGCTAATAGCCGCACAAATCGTTAAAGGGCATGACCACGCCGCATCCCCTTCACTTGGACTCGTATCCAGACTGAGACGGGGGGTGGGAGAGAGCCGTATCCTCGCAACATTTGATTGCATGTGTTGTTCCAAATGGTGCACTCGGATAGCCAAATGCATTTATAAATCTCTCTTCTTAAAAAATCGTAAAAATTTTCCGGTGGACTGGAATGATCTTCAAAATGAATGCCGAATAGCTATTTACAAATTTTGTTCCTGTTGCGGCAGCGTGTGAGCCAAACAAAAGGGGTTTTGTTGTTCGAGCAAATATGGTTTACAATACTTCGGAAATCATTGACGCCTTTTGCTTCCTGTCCACATTACAGCAAACATCTAAATGCTACCTTTTTACAGAGCTGAACACCCGCTGATAGTTGTTTATTCATTATTGTCTTCGCGACACGTAGCCTGGCCTCATCGAAATCATGCTTATTTTAAGGACTTTTATTCATCAATTCACCATTTCTTCTCTCTTGGCTTAGTCGAACGTCTTTCCTACGTCTCGAGACTATTCGTGATATTTTATCTCCTAAGATGTTAATTGTTTTACATCCATTATGGAATTGTGGGTGGCAAAATGCCCACGTAGCAAGCCCCAAATGTGTGTAAATTACTGTTTAAAACAGCACCTATTTTTATTGAGGTTGAAGCTGATGGGGCAAAACTATGACTGGTACCCACAACTGCATTGCTCTTGGTCATTGAGCCAAACCTGTGTCGACGGTTTACCGCCGAAAAAATTGAATAAAGAGATTACTACCAACCCTTAGCACCTTTCTTGCTCAAGTCCTTGTTTTGGATGTGTTCATCTACCACTGTTGGAAGCGATAAATTTAAAATACCTATAGTACAAGGTTAGGTAAAATGGTTTGACGCATTGGGCTTTGTGGCTGTTTATTAGTAAGCAGAGAGCCTTTAATAATGCCTTTTTTCAAGGCAATTGGCGCGTCTGCCACCGCCATTCTGAGCATTGTAAGCAATGCTTACTCGGGGTGTTCCCTTCTGCGCCAAGGACTGTGGAGCGCGTGGACTTCACCCAGGATCCCCTCAGACGACCACTCCTTCTGGTTGATGACTACAATCAGCCTACAACGACATTCCCCTTTTAGGTTTACTTTCTAAGCCTATTTAATATGCAACTTTAATTGAGACGCAATGGGAACCACCTCCAGGCTGAACATTACGCAAGCATTTTAATAAAGAAGGATAATAATTGGTAAGCTTTTGACAATCTATCTTTGTGGTTGTGTCCAGATGGCTGGAAACATGACTTCAAATGATATTCATAAGCCTATCTTTAGTGCCGTGGGATACAAATCGATGTAATCTGCGTATGCTATTGGAACGGACAAATAAAATTTGATCCTTTGAAGGCCTTTCAAGCATAAACTACGACGAGACTCAATTTACCTGCACTCTATCACTATTTATTTCTCCACTGCGGCAAGACTGATGAAACAAAAATAGTTCAACAAGATCAATCGTCGAATACGAAGACGACCAATTCCACTTCCATAAATAACTTCTTACTTATCCACAACATCAACCTCTTGTGTGATATTGACTTTCAAAACTATTTGCTCCTTCTTGAGCATAGAAACGTTTGTTCCGAAACCAACTCTTCCTACTAAGAAATCATAGCAAAACTCCCTCATTTACACTCAACATTTAAACTCCCGTTCACAATACCGCAGATGAAGTAGCTGTTAGTTCGCAAAACTGGTCCCTCAATGCTATCGCTTGTGGCACTGTCAACAGCACCAATAAAAATTACGATTGGAGTGCCTAAAAGGGTCCAACTCCCAAAGAAGTGGGCGATGTAGGTGAGAGAAACTGAAAGTCATCGGAAAGGCTCCACCAGTGAAAACTAATTGAGAAGGCATGAGCAAGTGATAATCGCCCATAAAGATAATACTTATGCAGCAGTTCATTTCTGCTCAACTGGGCTCTTGAAGGCTTCCAGTAAAAGTACATGATAGAGGAGCCATATTCCAACAGCAAACTGACTCATGACCACCAGTTTTCATCGTCTATACCTCCGTCATTCTTTTAGCAATCACTGAGGCCACTGACAGCAAGTTACAAAGCTCTCCATGCCCTCTGAATCAAATCCATGCTTCTCGAGACAGAAATTGTGTCAATCGACAACTCTCCGTTAGCAATTAATTTTTAGTTTTTGATTAAATAATCCTGGTGCTTATGTTTTTATTATATGTTTATATTATATGTTTATTATATGTTTTTATTATGTTTTTATTATTAAGAAACCTTATCTTTAATAGTTAACCAGTCATGATAGATCCCGAAGTGCGAGACGTTTATAGATAGGACCGTGCTTCAAAAACGACAGATTGTTTAGCGGCATCAGTTGTATATTTTCTTTCAGCTTATCTATGGAACATAAGCACGGGTCTTCGTGTTTAGATGTTCCAACTTTTCAGTCATTGTAGACTTAAAAGAATTGCTTCATCATTCAAATATCTGCGCCCCGTGTGGTTGGTAGCCAAAGACACGACTTGCCTAAAGTTTTACACTTATAATGCATTTGATCCACAAAATGTCTCTCTTATATAAATTTAGTCCATGAACACATTTTCCTCACTTAAGCGTATTATTGCCGTTCTCCCCTCCCCTATGAGCCACAGTAGTGTCAAACGTACAGTGATGCACCCGTCAATTGGCGTTGCGGGGGGAAGAGACTCATTTTGTGGTAGCTCCTTTCAGTCCTCCATCCCTAACCGTGGGAAAGCCAGTAAATCGATTGGGGGAGCCACGTGGTTGCAAACGGTCTAGGGAGCTCTGCTGGTTGCAGTGAAATTATACTATACCTTCTTCCCCTACCGAATTAATACGTAATCTCCTTTCCAGTGCTCAGCCTAATCCCAATGAGGAGTGTGCAGTTTTGACAGCGCTTTGTTTAGTCTTTGCTTCTACCAGAAAAAAGTCGACGACCTTATCTTAAGCTATTTATGCGGGGAAGGGGGAATCGAAGTCGAATGTAAGAGTGAGCCAAAATATAGTGGTGCAAGTACGTGAAAGATAGATCTGGGAGCAGTCGAAGTTAGTGAGGCAGTGGTAGCAAGCGCTCACAAAAGTTGCTGGCAGTTTTAAAGAAGGGGATTTTGGCCTGAACAGTTTTGTGCTTTCGATCGCCTGACATCAAGTCCTTTTTGCTTCATCTTACCTGGTTGAGCATTCTACTTCACTACTCAACGATGCCTACTATTCTTGCAATAGAATTCCCGTTATAAATTCCCAAGAATTAAAGTATCAGGTCATAGGATGTTCAGTCTTTAGGACACCGAGGTGCGAATTCATGCCTGCATGGAGCGTGAACGATCGAAGGTTTTAATAGATATGCGCGGTATGATGCACTGACACCAAGCCGCTAAACGGAACGCTGCATGATTTTTGCATTAAGTACAGAGGACGTTTGGTTCATCGAAACTAGATCAATAAAGAACGATTACTGCCTCCTTACGGTTTAAGAATATGCATTATCTTTAAGCACTTTCATGCGGCAATTGCGACATTAAGCCTATTTAAACGTGCAACCCGTTTAAACGCATCGCAGAATCAACGGTTTGAGCTGTCGTTCCACTCCTTCAATGCGTTGCTTATGTGTTACTTCATACTACCAAGGTCCACTCTGACCACAGGGAAGACTTAAATCTTTAGTCGACGTTAATAGCTGCATTGTAAGAGCGTGCTAGTTCAACTATCTGCATGACTGGCAGCTGCCTCGGTATTCGTCCTGTTTGTGGTTGTGTGTTCCAGCCGCGGACCAAGACAAAGACAAACCTTTTTCCTTCAACTGGAATGTAAGCATTCGGCTATATCCAAAGCATTCTATCACCTAATGGGAAATGTCGAATAAATAAAGCCCCATGTTTAATTACACTTGGTTCAAGTTCCTTTTAATCCCACTTTAGCGAAGATCTTTGCAGAATCATTTGTGTTACTGTAATATGTATATCACTTGTTTAAATTTGGTATTGTTGGGGCGAAGCGGGAATCCAACACAAACACATTGATGGGGTCTGTGCTTACCTTTTCCCACGATAGCGTGAACGATTTCCAATTCGAACTTAATTTCCCTTATTAACCTGCGCTATGTGGAGGCGCTTAATAAACCTTCCCAGAATTGCCCTTTAGTTATGAAGCAGAGAGTAAAGGGCCAGAAGAATAGGGCGGGATGTACTACCTTACCACTCACTTAGGAAGATATTGGCGTCCTTTACATTCTGCTGTGCGGTATATGATGCAATCAGCGATTCCAACGAAATAGATCTCATCAAAATATACGAGTTCGCAGGAGGTTTAAAATAATCCCTTTTGCTCTTGTATGAGTTTTACAGACTAAATGCCATTTCAAGTTATAATTCCCTTTTTAAAATGATGCGCGAATGAATGAGCAAGTGGTGAAAACAGATGTTTGGAAGAGTTCGCTGCTGTCTATAAGGGTCAATTGTTTTATCGGATGATCTTTTATTTAAGTCTATTCCATTGACCAATTGCAAGTGTACGCTTCCGTTTCGTTTGGTACTTGTCTGCGTGCGGCATCCATAGTATGGGGCTAGGTGTATTTTTGAGCATCCACTTGCTTAAGTCGATGTGATCATTTAATTAGAAAGCAAATGTTTCCTGAATTCGTGTCCTTTTGCAGATGCCTTGCAACTTTTGAGTGATTTTGCAATCCAGCGGTTACTTGTGTGTTACTTTTTAGCAATGACGGCAATCGCAGAGTTCGAACGCAGTGTTGCCTCCCAGCGTTTTGACTCTTTCAAACAGCTACAGGATAACTTAACCGTCTTCTCTGATGTATGTCTTCTCGTACTCCGTAACTTAGTTTACAGACGTTCGGCTACCGATTTGTCAACTCGAAATTCAGCTACTACAACGAGGGAACGCAGAATCGTGAGCGGTTTGTGTACAAATACCTTGATTTGAAATGTGCTTACGCTAAGAAACGTAACTGTGCTGCCTACTGTAATGTAAGATGCCGCCGCAACTTCATGTACATTCGTTGTTGGTCGATGGAACACAATCATCCACCTGATCCTCCAGACACTTCTACTCTAGTCGACTGCACTGAATCCTTCAAATGTACTTTTACATCTATGGTCTTCGACAGCTTCCAAGATCTTGAATCGAAAATACGAGAACTGGAGAAGGTATTCATCGTCGTAGCTTTTATTGTCGACTAGGTTTGTCTATGTAGATCGTGTTCAACCTCCCATCATTTAGAGAAGGTTAAGCTACATTTTTTCCTAGTCTTTTAGTTTACCGTCTGCTGTGTTGCCGTTGTTCAGCACTTAAAATTTGGCTCCCAAAGTAAGGCTTAATTTAATAGTTACTGCATTTACTTTTTTGATCAGGCGACGGGGACGAGGTTTACCAAATATTCGACCAGGATGCTTCCAGAGTCCAGTGAGCATAGGCAGCGGTTGGTATACGAGAGGGTCAACTATGGTTGCATTCACTCGGGTAAGACGAAACAGAGGAATTCCACGTACATTGGGGTCCGTTCGCAGAAAATTGGCTGTCAAGCACGCATTCGGGCCTGCATAGCGAAGGACAAGCTGAAGGTGATGCTCTACAGCATGAAGCATAATCACATCGTCTCTAATACTTGTTTGAACCGTGGGTCCACGCGAAAGTCCCTTGTAAGTTATGATTTCATGGTTTTAAATGGATTTACTCGCAGCATTGGAGATGATCGATCTCCTTCGTATTTTGAAATAGATTAAGCTCTAGCGCCAAAGTTCTGTGCAAAAACCATCAAAAGTCTCTTTCAAGTTAACCTTTCATTGGCCGGCTTAAGTGACTATGTACGGTTTTAACACGCGATTCATGCTGATGGAGTTCATTACAAGAATTGAAACTAAATTGTATTAGCTAATGTATTTTATTTTGAGTAAGGTGGCGCGAATGTATCTCGTAGAGCTGACTTAATTTTTTTTTAATTTTATATGCGTGCGTCAGTTGATGTTACCACTCTATTTTAACGCTTGAACTTGAATGATTATTCCACTTGAGCTGTGGAGCTTAACTTTCTAAGGCGGAATGAGGAAGAAGATAGAGACAAAAAATGTTCAAAGTTTGATATACAAAGTTGGCATTTTTGTATAGTTGTGATCCTTGAAATTCTCGCCGTCGTTGTGTGGGGCGGATGGACCCATACAGGTCGGAGGGTTTCTTTGCCAATAATCAGTCCATTTTCTTTTGTCTTGCAATCACATGCAAGAAAATCGATTGTTGTGTGCCGCTAGGACAGTTATAAACCTGATAAATGTTGTAACGATTCTTTTAAAAGACCAGGTTTGGTAGTTGGTCCATTTCTTATTTTGCCAACATCGTAGTACGATGACTTCATTTCGTCGTCGGATCATCTCTACGAAAAAATGGACGCTGAAGACGCCGAGGTGGATTTTGAGCTTGATCTGCCTAACTTGGCTGCCACGGCTGCCAACGGATTTCGGGATGACGACCTACCTGCCATGCCTATTGTGCTCAAAAAGACTCGTTCTTCGCATTCGCAGATTTCCGTGAGTGTAACTGCCTCAGTCTCCCAGCTATTACAGTCTAGTTGTGGTAAATGAGGTTTGAATGGCAACCTTTAGGTGATATGGGGGTTTCACTCAGTGCTTTATCCTAGATTTTTCACTCCACACATAGGGCAGTAAAAATAAGCGAGCGCGACGGCCCTGTTCGCGTGACAATGACGAAGTGAGAAGTGAAAACAGTGCAGTTCCCGAAGTGAATACCCGTGAGTCTGCTATCTCTGGTGGTGCGCCTTCGTGTATTAAGCAGATCTTGTTCATGAGTTCTTTTAACCCCTAGTTCCGTTTTACGAATCGCCTACCAATTACTTGCGAATTCGAGACCCAAAATTTCAGAAGGATGGATTTTACAGTAACCAAGTTAGCTTATTCTTTTATACTCGTCTTGCCCTCGACTGTGCTGAGGTATCAATTAAGCCCTACTATTGGCGTACCAAGTATTTTACTTCAGTCTATTAGTGCTTTCATAATTAGGTTAAGTTATCTGCTAACAAGCTGCGTGAACGGCAGAACTAAAGTTGAGTATCCAGTTCTATAGCCTGTCACTCTAAACAGTCGAAGGTATCGTAGTTTTTTGTATCACCGGCACTTCTGAGGCTGTAAGCTTATCTGGGTGCCCAAAGTTAACAGTAACTGATGTCGCTATCGTAGCGTGCGCTGTTATCAGCGTTTACACCGGTCAAATCCGCTTTCTAAGTCAAGAGCTAATCTGTCTTAGAAAGGAATAAAGAAAAAACACTGGAGGGGTAGTGGGACACCAATATCTTCATTCGACCTTGAAAGACTTAAGCCGAACTCTCCCCAACAACATCTTGCTACAGACTGGGATTCAGCGCGTCACTACCTGCGGGAATATCAACAACACTAGAAGGCACAAAGCGAAAGGCGATGGAAGAGATATGAAAGATGGTGAAAATTGCACTGGAACCGACAATTGCACTGGCGAAGGCGACGATTGCGTCAAAAGTGTTGTATCCTCTTGTCTCCATCGGCCTGTTTCTTGACGGTACCTTAATAGTGATCATCTTCCTGATCAATTCATTTTTTTCAACTTAATTTCTCCTAGGTTCTGGACTTTTGTTCTTGTTTTGCAAGTGACACTTCCGTGCAGAAACCTTCTCAGCAAATTATCTGTGATCTTAATATTGGCTTCGATTTGCTTGTGGCTGTAAGAATCTTATGCATGTCAGGGATGTGAATTCGAAGTGTTGGTGCATTTTAGCTACCACTTTGTTGCCACCTTATGATTCACAGAGGCCCTTCTCCCTGTAATAAGTCCAGTTCTTAGGTTAAATTACGCTATTGAGTCTGGTTACGTTCGTTCATGCTTCCCTTACAACCACTGGTTTTTTTTATTTTAGAACATTTCAAAGACGAGTTCGTAGATGTACGTCATTTCGATGCCATTGTAAATATGTATACATATGCATGTATTTAGGAATGATAATTCGTTTCGTGTTTAGTTTTTTTATTCTTGGATTTCTGCGGGACTACTGGGAATCGGAGGCTGCGCAGAGCCCGGGTGTGACTGCAGGCTATGACTAAGGGCTTGGGGTCCGTTACGCTAAGTGGGTCGTGTGGAATTCGTAGGCAGTTTGGGGTGGCTGGTTTGTGTCGGCGCCGGAGTCGATGTTCCTTCAGAAGTTATCGATTTGGACTGTGGTGCGATGCACTAGTGGATGTTTGTGCGAATTGGGACGAGAACAGTCAAATTGAAAATCTTGCCATAAGACGATCACTGTTATAAGCATTTTAAAAAGATATAAATCTAATTTGATGTCATGGCTTCCTTGTTAAGGGCCATCTATTGCAAGCCATTGTGGCAGGCGTTTGTTTTAATGTTTCACTTTTTCGGCTTTGTATCACCGCCTAGTAGGTATCGTTAGACGTTTGCTTCGGTGGCTTCGTTCCCGTGCATCTATTTGGGTATCACACTTTATCGGTGTGTATAGTTCCTTGGTTTGAATTTGTATGCGATTCATTTTGTAATTTTGGAAAATTCTGTACCTGATTCGTTTTTCATTCGTTGTTATATTAAACACTGGTTTGCCATCTACCTGCCCTAGGTGGATTATATGTGCCTTTCGCATTTTGAAATCATGCTTCTACGTTTATGGGGTAGCAATTTATGAACACAAAGTTCTACAACAGTTGCATGCTTCATTTCGCAGGATAGCTTTTTGCTTCAATTACTTCAATTACTTCTTTCTCAAGTCCATTCTGTATTTTCGATGTTGAGAATACTATGGTATTCTTATTTTAGAATACAGGCAATTTTTATTAAAACCCGCTTACAATCATGAGGAAGACTGTCGGACCAGACCGCACGATTCTCTACAGGTTCTCATATCCAGTCTACCAGCTGAAGGTGATTGGTCCTAATACTCTTCTTGCAGCGGGGGGAGGCGGGAACTCAAAAACTGGGGTACCCAACAGAATCGATGTGATTCAATTCAACCGCCCCGCCTACGCCCCTATTGGCCAGGCTGCCAACGAGGCACTTATTCCATCTAATACTACGGTACCTTCCACAGTACTTTCATCACATTTCTACTAAAGTCCACGAAACTTAATATATTTTGTTACTCCAGCTCATTGGTGGACTCGACACTAAGCACAAAGCAATAATGCACATGACGCTTGGGTGTCAGTCTCCCGGTGCGGCCTCAATCCTTGCGCTTGAGGGCTCCACTTGTCAGGAGTATTTCCTTCACGCTAACGATCTTGAACCGCCCACAATAGCTGATGAAATTCCCACTGAGCAAGAGTCATCTATATCATCTACTGGTCTGAGTCGTCACTTTCAGCATCAGCACACACTCTCCTCTGCTTCTTCCTCCTCTGAGGATAGCCATTCCACTACTGGTGTCAGTTCTACTAGCGTGGTTCGTAGACTTCCGGCACGAATCAACCTTTTTGAAGTGTCCGAAGTGGCGAAGAAGATACCTGCTGATAGTAGTGGCGAAGAGCAGCTACCATGGACGTGCGAAGCATTGCGCAGCATCAGCGTGGCACCTACCAAAGCTCTAATAGAGCGCCGTCGATTGGACAGCTGTAGCAGCACAGGTAGTGTTTCTGCAGTCCTTGATGATGACGACGAATTAACGTGCATTACTTCGGGGGGACCGGCGGGTGGCGGATGGTGTGCAGTGGGCACTGTGCATGGTGGTGTCGCTCTCATCGATCGCTACGCTCTGGTGGAGGAGTTGCGTAATTGCCACTCTTCTCGTTCATCCAATGCCTCTTATTCTTTCACTTTCGACGATGATGCTGGAGACGCCGTCTTTCCTCTCCAGGTTCGTTGGATTACCCATCATTTTTAGTTGGTTAGGACGGGTTCTAACATGATAATAATAATGGCAAAAGCTCATATTCAAACAAATTTTATTAACCTGTATCGATGTGCACTATATTTCGTAGTCTTAACAGTCTGCTTTCACAATCTTCACAGATTAATACACTGGAAGTTGTATGTCTCAGGACTTAATTACAATTCTTCCAAACCTTTCATTTGAACTGGCAAATGAAATACCCTGTTAAAACATAAGGCTGATCACATTTGTTTTTCCTGATTTCGTTTACCTTTGTCACATGTGTTTCGCTGAAGTATTGCTCCATTTACACTGAATTTTGCATGCAACTCCCTTTTGTGATCGTGGTTGCATTCCCTTCCGTTCCACTTTGTTGTCAAGTTATCAACTTTGGTAATTGTCTCGCTTTTTGCATGGTGCTTAGTGCTCATTTTATAAATCGAACGTTTACTTATATGTGTTTGATGCGGGTAGAAGGAAATCACTTGGCCTGCCCTTCACAGTTTTAATCGAAAATTGGCATGCGGTACCGCTCTCTTATTAATGTTGCTATGGCTTGAAGTTTCCCTTGCATTTCATGATGTTAGGTTTCCAATATGCTGCTCTTTGCTCGTCTGTATGGCTAGTAGGGTACTGTAGATTAGTCTTCTTATTTACTTATCTTTCATAGGTATGGCAGGTGTATTTGTCAAAAGCTAAGAGTCAGGACGAAATTTCCAAAGGTTGTCGTTGCATGCATTTGACGTAATAAAGTTGATAAAATTGCACTTCAAATTATGCGAAATTGTAGCTTCCAGCTAATATTAGCGATTCTCCTCTCCGAGTCGAACTGTGGTTGGAATAAATAATGTGTAAAGACGATTGTTTTATTCCAAATTGCACCCATAATAGCAAACGGCATCTATTATTATTATCTCATTGTTTTCTTGTTAATTTATGGCACGCTTGAGGTATAACGGTTGTGATCATTTATTGTCGTCGTTTGCAAACTTTGTGAGACAGCGATTTCATCATTAAACAGCTTCTGGTAGTCTATTTTGCTTTCAAGTATTGACTACTAAGTGCTTGACCTCAGCCTATTTGCTTACTAAAAGTAAAACAAAAATCAGTCCTTCTTTGTGGCCGCATCGCTTTGATGACTTCTAAGTCAGCATTGCGCCAATGTTTTAATGATACGCTTATTTCACTAGTCTCAAGCCATGGTTTTCCCTATACAAACAATATATTTCACTCTGGTTCTTTTAAACCCCTTACCCATAGATCTTTTTAAGAAGTAAATGCATACTTTGATCTGCACCAAGATTGTTGGCCACCAATTAGGCTGTGGAGTTGCGCTCTGAGATTGTTTATTGCACAGATTTTCCTCACATTGCTCAGTTTGACTATAATTTCGAATTATTAGCAAATGAGTTGTGTAAAGTCTCGTGGCAAAATTGACGTCGTTTTAACCGCTTATTCATGTTGTCAAATCTTTCTAATTATTTTGGCTTACTTTTGTATGTGAGTAGCATGTGTGTAAATGGCTGCCTTTGGGTTCAAGTGCTTTGTGAAACAGTAATCATCTGGTGGTTAACATTTTGAAGGCGAAAAAGTGCATAGATTTGAAAGTCCAACGCTTCCTAAACATTTTTGTCAATGTTCTGCACGTCGTATGCATTTCCTGAAAGTTTAAGTTTGTAAAATGTTCTATGTGTAGGCGGGTCTATTCACTGTTCTGATGCTGACTGAATTCATTGTCTTTTAAAATTATAATAGTAAATCCAATATCACTGACATCCGTGAACTATTTACTTAGAGACAAATTCGATTTTGGGTAAGGTTTGCTCGAATACTCTTGTTACATGCTCATGTTATACTGCAGTTTGAAGCCTTTGCGCATTTTTTTGTCGCTTAACAATTAAACTCGCAAACTGAAGCAAAGGTAAGAAGAGGAGCTCCGTTACGAAACAGATTTTTATCAAGGAAAAGTTGGTTAAGGCGTTTTCTGTTGCACTAGGGTGCTACAGGGCTTGCATGGAGAAGGCCAATAATGCATTGTTGTAAATACACTCATTATTCGTCAACGATTGGTCGTTGATGTTTTATTATCATTTGGAAAATCGGTAGATTTGCTTAACACAGTCGAATAGTATGTCAAGAGTTCCTCAATAGATTCTGTTCCAAGTCTGTCAATGTGGGTTCTAAGTACTTAAATCGATCTCCCAAATCCTTTTTTCCGTTTACCCAAATCTATTCTTAAGCTATTGTAGCACGACGCACCGACTGGACCTATAAACTGTTAAATTATATTTTCGACATTTAGGCGGCTTATGCGATCGCTGTCATGAGTTGTGGGAACATCATGGTCGTATGGCATCAATTTTCAGCTTAGCGATCCATCATTGTTATTCAGTCTCACAAGAGAAGTACTTGCGGTTGCTTAGTTCCATTTGGGTCTGAATGGTGTGTAAGGCGATCCATTTGGTAGTCGCCCGAGCTACCCCTTGAAATCTGTTCCATTGCATTTGCCTTATCGTTTAACTGTCATTTCATTTGTCTGTTTCTCTCTGCCACAGCCGTTTTGTACCCTGCCAGACGTAAGTGGTGGTCGATGCGCACCTGTCTGTGATGTGGCGTTGTCAGCTGCAAAGTTCGTCACTATTACCACCACTGCCACCTCGAAGGAAAGTGGGTGTGCGCAGCATTCAGTAGGTCCCTTGCTAGCTACCATCAGTGGTCGACCTATGGGTAGCCTGCTGTGCATTTGGCGATTGCCTGTCGTCCAGGATCTTGCCACTGCCAAGAAGGTTAAGTTCTTGCCGAATACGGAAGGCGAACCTGAGACTGGATACGCGGTTGCAGCCTCGCCCATTCTCTACGCCGAAGTGAAGATGGAGAATGTGTGTATTTCTGTGGATCAGAAGGTTTGTTGCAATGGCTTTTCTCCTTGTATGTCTTCAATCGGTCGTCCTTTAAAATCCCATTTTTCCTCATTTTAAGTCACGTTTTTTTGTGTTGGTGTTTTTTTAACAATTTATCACCTATAAAAGAAACTTTAAACCCATTTGACATTATAATGTCTTGATTAAAATATGCAGCATGATTACTCTAATCAAGTAGTAACAGGTCATTGTGTTGTTCTCATTGTTTGATGCCTAATGCATTCTTTTTAAGGATTTGGTGAACGTCTCAAATGCACTGGATTCATGAAACACCGACACTGTTCAAAATGTTGTGATACATTTCTATCAGTTTAAAGCCGAGAGGTAGCAACAATTTAGCTGGGTTGATAGAAGCATGAGGTATTCTGCCATTGTATTATTGTTCTATCGATTCCACGATTTTTTTGCATTCATGAAAGTCTTGACAACGTTCAGTTGGTATTTCCAAAATTATATCGTCCAAATTACGGGGAAAAGTGAAACATGCATTGAGAGGAGGTCGGAAGCCAGAGAAAATTTGACCTGATTTATTTCCAAGTGCTCATGTTGTCGCGGCTCCTAAACGCCAGTACCTCCGATCGGTCATTTGCTCCACCAAACTAGATGTAGTCACGCTTTGGATTTTTTGGTAGCTTATGCTTACGGTAGCTGTATTTTGTTATCTTGCATTTGCTCTTATCCCTTTGAACGCTTCTTTTTGTCGGAGGTGCTGCTTCAAACCACTGTACGGTTTGGGTGAAGTTGCACACGGCAACATTTGATGCATGTGACAATGGAAAGGGTGTCAGATGGGCCTATTGTTCCATAAGCACCAAGTCATATGATAATGAAGGTAATCTTTAAGGCTTGCATTAAATTGCCCTCATCGTCTCTCCGCTTATTCATTTACACTGGCTTCGTATTTTTTTTTCGCTTTAAACAGAAATAATAAGTTTCACGCGAAGATAAGCAGTTTTTTACCCTTGATTTGTTTTTATTGGTTTTGCCTTTTGTTGTTGTATTTAGGAATAGGAGCGTGACCAAATTACAAAAATGTTATCCTGGCTTATTGTAATGTCAGTTGTTATGCCGAATTACTCTTAAATTTTGGCAATATGAGGCCAATTATATAAAGTGAACAGCACATACCTTTGTTAACAGCATGTTTAGGGTTTGTGGAATCTAAAATGACCTTAACACATGCTTTATGTATTATAGGCTTTTGGGTGGTTTTGCCATCCGTACTTAACTCATTACTTTTCTGTTATCGAAACTATTTTTACTGCCACAACCACAACACGACTCTGCTCCTGTCCTGTTATTTCATTGTCTTCATTCAACATGGCGTATCTACATTAAGAAATATAAGTAATGCTGACTAGCAGTAGCTAGATCTATCTATAATCGATGCATTGGTTCCCACCTGTACGGGCAGCCGTGCGGGTAGTAATTCCGTAGGTTGTGTTCTGACCACATTGCAGTCGGGGTCATCACGATCAAGGCGGTCAGAAAATGGTTCCCGCTTCCGTCACTGCGAGTTCCTGCGTTGGACACATAGGCGCCCCACAGAAGAGGGCGAACTCTTTACCTTTCTGGTAACCACCGAGCAGCCAGTTAGTCCAACTACACGTTCTGTATGCCATCTCTCGGTTTGGCTCGTCCCACTACCCGCCTCCAATTCTCCCATCTCTGTCACAAATGGTTCACAGCCAGTACCGGGCCTACAACGCTTCGCGGCAGTACCTTTGCCACCTGGCGAAATCCCAGCCTGCATCGCCGTCCACCCTAGCTCTCAGCGTGGAATCATCGCTCTTGGTACCATGGAGGGCTCTGTCGACGTATTCATGTAGGTACACTTAAAGCGAGTTATTTGTTTAATCTAGGTCCATTTTAGAGTTTATGAGATTTACGTTTTCACTCTCAAATATTGTGAATTCATTTTGAGGCCTGAAGTATGTTCCTGCAGGACGGAAGAAATGAGAGACAACTCTTCTCGTGTTTCTTTCATTCCGCTCTCTTTCCAATCCTTTTGTCGATACATTTGTACTGACTTTTATTTGAATGGTTTTGTTGTGTTAAGTTCTTATTAACTTACAAATGTTTCTAATTCGTGATTTCTGGGGCAGATGTGTACTTTTGATAGCTGAACAGATTCTCCCATCATAAAAATACACTCATCCACACTAGACGGGGCTCATTCTTTAGTTCGTTCCCTTATAATTTATAAAAAACTATTTATGTAGGAGGCATAGAAGACACATCATTGTTCCCTCCTGGATGCCAAAATCAAACTACGATGTTTATTTCAACGTAAGGTATAATGTCGTCAACCGGGATATCTAAACAGAACCTACGTTTACCCGGGCGCACTAGCTCATGTTACTTTGAAATAAATCAACGCTTTTCTTCCTTCGGTTTGTTACTGAGGGACATGTTGGGATGACCGAAAAAAATTGTTTTAAACATGGAACAGGAAGTACTTTTTTTATTGAACATCAGTTACTGTTATTGTCGAAACATTAACTACCTCTCCTATGCAGGATATCCCTGTGCGATCGTAGCTTGGTGCGTGTCTACAGCATGCCAAAAGCACACCCCATTTTCGTCACTAGTCTCACTTTCCTGCCTCCACGAGATCAGCAGCACGACGCCCCCTACAATGGCAAAACTGAGCGACGTCACCTACTCCCGCCGCACTACGAGCTGGTGAGTTCAAGTGCGGACAGACTTATTCGGTGGCACCGCGGTCCCTCTTTGCAACGCATTGCTCTCCTTAGTGCGTCCAGACGCTCCCCCTGTCCTGCCATTGTTACCTCCCTCATCTTCCTTCTAGTGTTGGCATTTCCCCTTCTTTTTTCCCCCTTCACGTCCTGTTAGTGACGCTTTCGCTCCCGTTTTAGATTCAGGACAGTTGCAAGAACTCGTCTGTCTTTCCGTTTCTTCCTGCTCTGTTGAAGTGAGACAGAGTGTAAACCTACCTAACTTGGATTTTTAATTATCTATTCTTTCTCCTCTCCTTGATCAATCATTAGTCTCACCTATTTTGTACTTCTTTCAAACCTCTGGTTTTGTTGCTATTTCCTCTTTCGTCTGCTTTCCTCGGATATGTGGATGTCTGCCAATCGCCTGTTGACGGTGACTGCTTCCTTCAATGACATGGTACCTATTTTTTACACTTGCTCTTCCCTAATTGTGACATAATTTAGAATTAGCTAAGACTAGTTCTAAATTATGCCGAGACCTTCCGTAGTGGGTCAAATTTAACTCTCCGGGAGAGATTCAAATTGAGAGCGCATCTTTAACTATTACGATTGCTAATACTGGTAGCACGAATTCCATGATTGAGACAAACGCAATTTGACAGCACCTCAACAACAGCGCTCGAACGCCAGTCTCGTCAGACAAAAAAGTGCACTATTAGTGAATGATCATTGCAATGAAACTTGGAGTCATAAAATGGGAAGTTACAGGAGGTCTTGCAGGGCTAGTCCACTACCGTAGTCACGGTCCCATTAGTAGGATGAGTAAAGGGTAAACCAACGAAGATCTGTCCCAAATCCACCATGGCAAAAGCCGACTGGGCCAAGTAGCGACGCACCTGTCGCAGACCCGTTTCCAGGGTGTCTCTTATGGATGGTGATAGGTCAGCTGCAAGAAAGAGACCAAGTAGATTGAATTCTAGGAGGAAGTTGCAACTCGCATTTGTATTCCAACTTGACTTTGCAGTCCAATAGTAGAAAGAAGGAACTCATGTGATATAAATGCTTAGAAGGCGAAAAGTAACGACTTGCTGTTTTTGCAAGAAGCATGAGAAACGGCTAATGTTTCACTATGATTAATAAGGCTAAAAATTTAGGATGCTTCATCCACCTCTGAAGGGCAGACCTGACTGAGAAGATCACTTCAGTGATATCGCCGTGGAAGTGATAATCCGCGCCAGTTAACTCAGCACGATTTCAGCTAAAATCGAATTACACCAGTCAAAGTATGAAGCACAACCAACAGGTAATCATTGATGATTCGCCTCGGTGAGTGGTAAAAACGATTAATGCTATATCACAAACATCAGTCTTTGTAATCCCTTGGGAGAACGCCAAAAGAGCTGCATAGGGTAGCTCATTTTAGCATAGACGGTTGAAGATGTAGTCGTCTATCTAATGCTTGTGCATCCATATGGCAACTAGCAATTCATTTGAGTATTCATATAAGTAATCGGAGCAGACGTGAAGACTAAAGAGCCAGAGGAGACTGAAAACACATTATGCCAGACATGAAAAGTAAGAAAAAGACATGACGACAGAGTAAAATGCATCTATAAGCAGATTTGGAATGACGTAGCAACCTGAGGGAAAAAAGCGCCTACCAAATGCAGTTTGATCGAGATTCCTCTTTAGTCTCTGGCAGTGCTCATCAGCACCCTCATGTGATACTAGCAACGTACCTGACGAGGATAATTCGGGGGGGAGGAGGAGGTGGCGATAGAAGAGGAGTTGGCGGTAGAGTTGCATCTCGGAGTGTAAAGGACGCAGAAGGCTCTGGCCAGTCCCACAGAGTGGACATATTGGCTGTTGTTGCTGCTGTGTACCTGACGCCCAGAGGCCTTCGCCGGCAGAGGCGGACGCAGTGGTACTGGGAGGACAGGAAGAAGTGCGAGTGGCAAGGGCGCAGGTGGGATCCTCACATACCAACACACCTACTTCGTAGGCAACGATGTGAGCACGAGCTTGCAGCACCAACTGGTTTACCGCTGCGATCGCGTACCTCACACTTCCTAAAAGACCTTCGCCGCACTCGGGACACTGCACACCGATACAAACAAAAAAAAGCGTAATGTGTCAACATCTAATAACAATTTTAAAGTAATTAGCTTATTATATATCCAACTACTTCCCGATAACTTATGCTCAGAGGTTTTTCAAAAAATTTGGTGATATTAAGCTCGAAACGCATCACTTGTACAATAGAACATACCCATACTTCGATAAAAATAATGGCATCATAGATTACCCGCACTTAGACGTACGAAACAAGGTAATGGAAAACGTGGCATGCAATAAATGGTGACCTTTGTCTTGAATCGTTTTGTTATAAGTTTTAACGTGCCCGAGACGTGCAGTTGCATGCCCTATATAAACGCAAACAAAATTAACGATTAAAGAACATTATTGCGACGGGAGATTGTTTCCAGATCAGTCGATTACTGATTTTAAATTTAAAATCAAAAACAGAATAGAACTGTAAACCCGATATTCCACTAGCAATCAGTCAAAATTTAAAAGATTAATTTCTGATATAAATTGGCGGAAACTATACTCGGAATTCTAATTCTGAGGAGTAGCAACCACAATTCATTAGAATCCTCGGGGTAAAAATTAGTCAAATCAAAACACGCTTATAACAACTGACACAGAAAAATTTGGAAAAAACCCAACCCAGTAGAACGGAACCTAGTACCCAATAAAACAGTCATCGTCAGTAACTTACAACCCACGTGGCAAGACCAGATTTTGTGAAGGGAGAGGTGCGAATGAGGGCCTTTCCGGAACACTGTTTGCCATCGCGATAGGCGAGGCAGGACAGAGTCAAAGGATCCACGTCAATGAGAGAGCTGGGAGAGAACATTGAGGCAGTGCCAGTAAACTGCAAAAATACAAACAAAAAATAGTGACCTGTGAGTAAATAAAAAATGATAGCGATGAGAGGGCAGCAAGACATGCCTCTCCATTGTCAGCGAAGGCAGTGGCAGCGGCAGCGGCTGTCATTGAACGACGATAAGAAGCAGGATCGAGACCCAGACAATCGGCAATATGCGCCGGTGAAGTGCCTTCAATAGGAGCAACGAGACGAGAAACCACGGGGTGAATCTGACTTGCCAGGTAGTACTGTATATCGATAGTGAATCGCTCCTCCTGATGCTTTTGGCCCATCCCCAAGGTCTGATCACCATCGTCACTGTTAAGCTTGGGAGGCCTCACCCCAACAGAGAGCTCGGTGGGGGAGTAAGCCCTCTGCACAGATGATCTAGAAGTGCCATCATTGCAGATTATGTATTCCACTGTATCTCCAGCACGAAATCGATGACCAACAGCGCCTCCAGCGCCGCTGGAAACCATTTGCTGGTTGAACCGCAGGGCAACTTGAACGTGCGGTTGAGATTTGGCATCAGGATAGTCTTCCGGATTCTTGGTCAACATCTGATGAAGGGAAAATTTTTGCCTTAATGCCGAGTTTGTTGACAACAAGGAATTCATGCATGTGATCGGAATAAAATTCGTGCATAACTGCACAAGGGATGACTCGTGATCTAATTAAAAATAATTTATAGCAGCCGACGACTCTAAGACCCAGCCGATGATCCACACACTTTTGCCGAATGAATATTACAAAGCTCAGTTTAGCATTAATCGACGATAAGGACTACTAAATTAGAATCAATCAATAAGTGCTATAAGCTGTGGGGATCGAATAGGCTATTCATTGGCTGCTTCCTCCTAATCATAGCCAATCTACAACAAAGCAGCTTATTCACTCACGAGTATTAAATCTTATTTGTCAAGAATGTAAGTTTTTGGTCATCGCAGACAAGTATGCTAGCAACAAACTCAAGCATACTGCAATCGGTAGTAGCTATACCTGGGTAAAGCTTTTCTGCTTTAATTAGGTGTTGCATCCTAAATTCCATCAAATAACTTCATGCCAATCTATAACACATCATCAATTCCCAAAAATCGATCCAAGACACTTCAAATTAACCTCAACTACGTCTAGAACAATAACAACCACAACTTGAGCGACTAAAAGGTGAGCAACTTAATTTGCTCATGCAACTTGCAAGACACGCTTTCCGTTTAACCACAATTCCTGACTTCTTCGAACTTCCTCAGTGCTGCAGTAACAACTTGATCAGGAAATAAGCGGGCGGTCCAAGTGTCAAGTGGAAATGGAACATGCACTCACTTTGGTAATTACAAAGTTCGTTTTCGGAATACTACCATTTCGGACCTGTTCAGCAACGGTGCGCAAGCGCTCATGGATTTGCTCGATCGCAGCTTCGGAGGTAGTGCAGCCGGAGAGAAGAGTAGTGACACAAAACTTGCCAACTTCAACAGCCAAGCGACACCAGTCGCGGCGGACAATGTCAAGGCCCTTCATTTCCATCTTGGTGGGCGGCAACGGCAGCGTCTGCTGTAATGGTTGTTGCTGTCGCAGCCACTCAACGTACTGGAAAGGATGTTCAACGACCAATGCAGCATACTTCTTTTTTGCCAGTAACAACATCGCCGCAAACACTCCATCAATGTCAAGCTCCACCAGGCGATAGCGACGGTTCACTTCGTGCTTCACCTTATCCCCTATAGCAAGGGCTGAAGAGAGGTCCGTAGAATTGGTATTCACCATTATGGAGTCTGTGTCACCGTATATCACCTGTGGAAGCGATCAATCCCGAGATTAAGACCAGGGGATAAAAATAAATAAATTCATAGCATTTTTCAACAAACGTCTTCTTTATCAGGATGATCAAGGTTAAGTTTATACCCTAATTTAAAAAATAGGACTATCTGGATTTCTATATGATCATTATTTTCTCTATAGTGGGGTGAGTACAAAACCTGCAACCTTTGTCAATGAGCGTAAGTCTGTGATGTAAGACAACCTCGAAGATGATTATTAACATAAAATTATTCCAAAAGACTCACAAAGAGACTGGTATAGGGACAATTAATGGGTACTATCAGAACAAAAAAAATTACCTCGAGTTTCATATTTTCAACGAGTTCTTTTGTATTGACAAGGAGAGCACGTCCCAGTCCAGTGACGAGAGCAGCAAGATTGCGTGCACAGAAGCGAGAAGCACTGAAGCCGAGACATCCATAGACGGAATTAGCGGTAATTTTGAGTGCCTGTTGGCGAATGTTCCACTGGGCCACCGCAGCCGCATTTGTGGCATCGGCAACAGCCGAGGCGGCAGCGATAAGCTTCTTAACTTCCTTCCGACTCTCCACCAATCGCCGCACCTCGGAGGGTAGAATGCCAGGTGATCGAGATATTGGCAGATGCTGCTGTAAGGCCTTCGTTCCATCCTGCTGCGTTACACTCGCTATCAACTCTGAAACATATGTGTCCTCGTTGGTCGCCTGAAAACGGAGAACAGTGTGCAGATCTAATGAGGTCTAATTTAAAAATACAAAGTTGGTTTCTGCGGATCTTTGAAGCCAATTTTAGGAGTTTCTACGATCTTCGATTAATGGACCGGCTTTTACAATAACCAAATATGAAATGCAGCTATGCAATGGAGACGCTTACCGTGTTAGAATCAGATGGGTCTTTGGCTGCGAAGAAGGAACGCTCCATCGTGGAGAAACAGAGATTAAACTCTTGGATTATGGAGGGGTACAGTGAGTTGAAATCCAACACTAGAACATAAGTGTCATAGAACCCTAAAAGGACGCAAAAAAGTGTCATTTTTGGAGCCCTTTGTTAGTCAGGTCGACATGTAAGCACTTTGCCTGATCTGGTTTTTGTTTGCTGGGGCGATAGCGATTACCAAAATACCCAGTAATACACCTTGCTCCACAGTGAAGTGCAAATATATCCTCGTATCATTTTTACATTTTGCAAACACCACCTTTAATACAAAATATTATTATTAATAAAACAATTTTAAAACCATAAGAATCTTGGTGTTTGAAAAGCGATCCTTCATCACGCCTCTCTGCCAAATACTAACGTGCTGAAAGAATAGGAGTCAGGATTTCCACTAAAGCTAAGCATCTCCCACAGAAGTGAGCATCAAGTTAAATTAAAATTCTTTGGCAGTACCATAATAACAATGACGCACCAACTTTAGGATCGAGGACGAGACCACCAGTATAGGCGGGTTTGCGACGCCCCTCATGCTCGACATCGACACAATCCAGGTCGCCTTTGACGCTGCGGGCGGAATGGGGACGTGAAGATGGCTCAGGTGGGAGGTAGCCCTGTTGCACGAACGCATGCAGTAGCAACGCGTCGTTCCGCTCCGAACGACCACCTGCCAATGTGCGACTCAATAAGTTGCCACAGATTGATGTGATCTGATGAGCCAGTGGCACTACCTACGCGCAGCAAATAACTACGGTCGATTAGAGAAGTTCAACTGTTCACAGTACCCTATAATTTTCAAGACAAGCAGTGCAAATATGATACACGACACTGAGCAATTCCAATTCGCTCTAACCCAAAAAGCAAAAACATTCCTTATTAAGCTCGAAATCATATTTTACCGAACAATGAGATTATGCCACACCAACCTGCAACTGGTGAGCTATTCGCAGAATAAGAAGGGCATCAGAAAGACAAAAATCAACAAGATCCTTCACGCCATCAGCTGAGAGGAAGAGGCAACCCAAATCCACCGTGTCTACTTCCAAATCAATGCTGGAGATAAGAGCTTCGTCGAAACAACCGGCCGGGGTGGTGGAGGAGACGAATTGGCGAGCTACAAGAGCGGGAATTTGTCGTCGAGACTTTGAATCCCCCCCGAGGATTTGAAAAGCTAATTCGCTGAGGCTGTAGGTACGCAACCTCATCAGCTCGCGGGCCGAGACTCGCATGTCGCATATCAGCCGTCCAGGAAGGGCATGGCGCATAAACCAAGACTAGTGAATGGGAATAAGAAATCGAGTAGATCCGAGGGGAAACTCGAGCAGGCATAAATGAATAAGCTACATCTACTGGGAGCGGCAGTCGAACACCTTAAGGATGCCACTGACACGGAATAATGCAGAGAAATCACTTAAGTAGAATATAAAGTTATTGCAAACAGCAGCATGAGTTGCATGATTGTCTTTTATCGAATGCAGCTCCATGAGAAAGGACAAGAGCCCATTTTACCTGATTAAACAACGTTAAATCTTAGTCCTATTGACAACTACCATTGACAATCTCGAGTTCTGTTGATCAAAACTTTAAAACCATGCATGAGTAAATGAGACTTAAAAGCTGGCCTAAATTGTGCTGTTTTAGGCAGTGCAAGAAGCAATCCCGTAAAAATAAGTGTAACTGAAGGGCATGCAAGGAAAACAATCACAAATCATCACGGTGAGTAAGTCCATACCCGGAGCTTACTCTCAATCTCGAAGCAATTAACAATAGATTTTGTGCTGAGAAACAACCCTCAATAGAGACAACTGAATATAGCTTCAAAAATGTTCAGCAATTGTAGATTATAAATGCAAAGACGGCGTAATACCCTGTTAAAGTTAACAGCAAAGTGTTGTGAGCGCCGGAGACGGCCAACGCGATGCCAGTGGGGAACTTTGTGGGAAACAAGGCGATGTACCAAGAGGTCAAGTTGATTGCCCCAAAGGTCGTGGCCTACAAGAAGATCAGGGTCGAGGCGATGGATGCGTGTCAGAAATCGGCCGAGAAGAGCTCGCTCATTGGGCTCCATGTCGATGCCGTAGGGTATATCGCTATCACTACCGCTACCACTGCTTGAGGGTGGCTGATACTGCCGCCCCCAAGTTGGAAGCCGCTTCGAGAGATCGTAGGGCAGCACTGAGTCCTTCGGTGGTGCAAGCACTAGAAATAGATAAGTTGCTTGCACCAACAAAGAAACGTGACTCCTGTGACTAGATTCAGATGAACCGTCGATGCAAAAAGCAGTATCTTATACTTGACTTGTAATGTAAAAATTAGGATTGTTGTGCGAAATTTCAACAAGTAACGGATCGTAAGAGGAAATACTATGGTAAGAAGACGCAAAGAGATCAAGTGACAGCGTAGTAGGGAATTTCGATCATCAAAGTCGATAGTGTGATGGAGGCGTTAACATTGTTTTGCTATAGGTTTTGGACTTCGCGCAAATGCATCAGAGATAGCAGCATTTGAATTTCGGCATCACCAGAAGATCCGAAAAACTAGTAACACAGTGAGACTCCACAATTTTTCCTCATCTTCAATTTTGGACATACCAATAAAGAGTGCCTGAGTCCATGGATTGTCGTACGTGAGTAGGGAGTGAGTGGTAGTTAACTAAAAGGATGGCTATTAAGATTGACTAAACAGTGCCCATATTTTAATGCCTACACAAAAATAGTGCAGTAAGCCCAATCAGTTGAGGCACAAAACTTAATAAAATGCGTCAGAATGCAAAAAAAGAAACATTCTAAATGAAAGTAATCCCATCCAACCTAGACCAATTGGTTAATGTTGATATTTACCCAAACTAAATATTCTCCTCATCTTCCGAGTATTGAGGATTTTCACAGCTTAGCGTCACCAAGGGAGAACAAAAAGGAGATAAGAGATTATTTTACCTTTTAAACTTCTTAATGACCAGTTAAAAAAGAGAATAGAAAGCAATTAAAATAAGAGTACAACATTAGAAGATTTACCTGAGTTTAAAAAATTGGCAACGCGAAGCCAAATAGCATAATATGAGCTGGGGCATTTCTTCCAACGGTTAACTACTACTTCTTAAACTGGAAATTACCATGAGAGTGCAGCGACATCAGAATGAAAGAAAGTAGACAGTGAGACGACTAAACTTACCAAGATAATGTGAACGAAATGTCCTTTTTCCATTGGGTTTGTCCAGATGAAAGTGGTTGTCAATTAAGAGACCCACAGAGATAATCTGAAGGGTATGACGATTTAACAAAAGCCAATTCCAACAACTAAGACTAAAAAGTTAACCAATCTCCAACAAAGCTCGGTAAAATAAATCAGAAACAAGCCAAAAGAAGCGCACAATGCCTAACAAATCATCAACGCGAAACCTCATGCTCTTTGAAAAATCCTCCTACTGTAAATTACAATTGGCGTACTAGTGCTGTAGGCTCCACATTTAAAAGAAACCATACGTCTGATGAAGACACATTGTGGTCATTTCATATGAGGCCATCTGCTAACAATGGCACACATCTGATAGTTTTAATAAATTAATACATTACAAATCTAAAAACAAAAAGATGAGGTGAAATGTGACTTCGATCAAGTAAACGGCTCGCGGAAGTAACTGCAGTGGAGGCGAATCGATAACGCATACAGGTACAATTCAAAGCATAGCTTGTATGGGGTAGTTACAAAACTCAGACACGGAAAGGTAATTTTAGACGTAAAAAACTAGGTTCGATAAAAACCGTTTCTGTTCGTACAACGCGGTTATGGCAGAAGACAGAACCTAGAAACTATTCCACCATCTCGGAATTAGGGCGTCAAACTAGGTACGACGATGTACGAGTTAATTCACAGTAGAATAATCTATGTAGTTTAACAGAGAGCACAACTCAAAAAAAGCACGCTCTAAAATGGAGGAACAAAAATAATTGCAGATAAATACTTTAAAGAAATTAGTGTCAGAAAGCGGTTGCGTAGTCAAGAGAGATGAAATCAGACTGATTTTGACTTCATTTGAGGCGAAGAACCAATCGGGGTTTCGAATAAAAAAATGATAGTTGAATCACATCATATATGACGAGAAACAAGATGAAAATGTAGTTAACTCGAATATGAGTTATAGTTACACCTGCTCAGAACATTCCCATTCAAAAAAGGGATCCTCGGAGGTTAAAAAAGACAGGCAACATACCTCAGCAGAATGGCCCTGCTTGTGCACAACTGACTTGATGTCCAATGCCACCAATCGAATGGGCGGCGCAGGTGGGACCGTAACGTTACCCCCACGAGCTGCCAGAACATCCGCCAATTTGAGCAATTTGTTAGGTTGCTGGAAGGAAAAGTCGTAGTCCACCTTGCACCAACTCAATTGTGGCTGAAGGAGTGCTGAAACGGATGCCAAGAGGGAAGACAAGTGCAAAGAGAATCAATTGGGACCTGTTCAAGCCGTTTAAATGATAAGGATTGACACAAAACCGATTCTACTTTAATTTACTGACGACTTCAATTTTAGTAGAATTCGAGGGAGAGGTGAAAATTGGAAATGGAAGAACTGGTGACCGCAATAGATGGATCCTTGACTGGTGAATCACATAATTGCATGTCGCCTTTGGGGACCAATAAGAATTGGGCGGAAAATCAGACAGTGTACATAATAACCACCTATGTTTACCGAGCGTACAAAAGTACATTCACGCTATTAGCAAAATAACCAATACAAGAAACAAATCGAAATCTAGGTGTAAAACTATACAAGCAGCCACATAAATGAAGATCGCTCCTAACCGATAGAGTTGAAACGTAGAGCCACCATGAGACATCAAATTTTAACACAATCCATGTTCCACCAAGCCATTCAATAGCACATTCACAAAAGTAGCATTACGCAAGCAAATAAACATTCTCAGCTACAGTATGAGGGCCTATGCAAACCACTCCGGAAGAAAGTAAAACCACCTATTTTAAACAATGAAGTAACATGGGTACTCAAACGTCCCCAGAAAATGAGCACCCATCGACGTCAATGGCAGAGGCTCAACGTATAGAATGAAGACATAAGAGAACGTAACCTAAATCATTTGTTCAAAAATGCATTGGGCTATTTCGACGAGCGTTGACAGTGAAAATCAAGAACTCCAAAATCTACCATTGTTCCATTTTCACAAATCAATCTGAACTAAAAATCAAAATAAGCGCAAATTTACCATGAGGCAATGAATTGCTACATACACTACCCACTGAAATATAGAAAGTAGCAGGACGCTTATCGTGGAGACGATAACCATTTCTATGAAGTTCACAACCCTACGAACTTATGCAACTAAATAGTCACGGAGAAAAAGGATAGCCCAAATAGGCGATACTCACTTGCTCCTCTGATCTCTAACCAGCATGGACCGCGCAAATGCAGGTCAAGAATTAGATTTTCCAGACTAAAACGAAGGCAGCACAGAGAATTGGAGGAGTACTCATTGCAATCTCAATAAAATAATCAATAAGGCAGATAACAGCTAAAGACGGTCGACTCAAATACAGCTATTCGAAATACAAGATTTACAATGAAGTAGTTGAACCCAGAATTCGCGAAAACGTTTTCCCCTTAAGGTCGGCAGGAAGAGATGGATAGGAGGCTGGATAGCGAACCTCAAGATATTCAGCTTCGCTGGGAACGTCGACTGCCTCAAAGCAGTACTTTTTTGTCGTTGGCTACAAGAGAAACAATTGACACGGATTGGAACGACACGGGAATATCATTTGAATATAAAGTACAGAAACATAACCCATGTACAGCCAAAACAGACAAGGAGATACGTGAATGATGATAAAACGAGTCTCAATCATGAGGATTAAGAGACCATACATTGATATAGAACATCCCACTACGGCATAGGCTTCAAAATTCATGCGTTTTCGCGCGTATAAACGTGAATGCTGCGTCTTAACGAACAAGAGATGAGATCCAATGGCAATAATTGGAGAACCTACTTTACATTTAAATTTACCGATTTTCCATTGGCCACTGAGTTCCACAATCTCTTCGTAAACATCTCTAACTGACCATTCCTAAATGAAAACAGCAAAGCTGGGTACAAGGATGGAAAAACCGATTAAATTTCCAGTAAGTAACACCCACAGTTGCTGGACGGGGTAGGAAGAAGACACGACGTTCCAAATCTTTGACGCGGACACAACAGCTACAAAAACCAGACTGTTCTTTGCATGGAATTTTGCCAAAGAGAAAGACCACACCTATGATTTGCAAGGTCATAGGATTAAGGTACAGTTCAAAGTGTAAGTGAAGTTAGCTTAAAGGCTTGTACCCTGCTGGTTCGCCAAATCCTCGTAAGCATCTAACCAGAAGAATCGAAGACCGCCAGAATCATCGCATGACGGAACCTCAGAAAGATCCTCATCAGCACGCGACACTTCAGCGTCATCACCTTCATGAAGCCATGGCATACCACTAGTCAGTTCCGGTCCCGGGATCTCCACTTCAGCTGGCTTCCCGTCTTCTTCACCCGCATCTACGTCATCGACTAATGGAACATCGGTTGATTCCACGATAAGTTCGGGCCTCGGTTCAAGTTCAACCACGGGACCTAGGAGCCGGTAGTTAACATGACTAAAAAGACTAACTGGGCTTAAACGGAGATTTCCTTATTGGTCCACTATCTTTTGAGCGGATTGCCGCGCAATCCATATTTACAGACGAATGAGATGATCGATATGGAGGCTGCAACGGCCGAGACCCGATTGTATGGGAGGTCCGACGATGGGGATGTGGTGAAGGAAATTGTTCTAGAGTTCGTTTTTCAGGAAGAGTCTTTCGAATTCCATCCATTCTTGGTTTCTTAGCCGGCATATTCAGAGATCTGACCACATCCAGTTCGGCCAGCAAATCATCCAAAGCTGCATCTTCGGCAACAGTACCAGCAGCCTGAACGGTTAATCTGACTTCAAAAAACCACGTACCCGCTTAGACTGACGGGAAGCGGAAGTTGCAAACATGAAACGAATATCCTTGGAAGAGTATTTGGGAGGTGAGGACGAGGGGCGCAAGTCGGGATTATGACGCTTCTTCACTCCAGTGGACCCACGAGTAGATTTCCTAAGAGATTCGCTTCCTTCAAGATCACCATCATGATCATCAAATATTTCTCGACCATCGTCCACATAACCAAGACCATCTAAAGGATCGATAAATTATCCATCCGTACTATCGTCCACAATCCAATCATCTTCAATGCGTTCTTGGACTATCTTGGAGTAGGTCTTTTCATCTACTGTTTCATAAACAGGCTTCTCAGTGGTTTCCTTAGTAGTAAAAGCAACACCAGTGAGCAACCTACAACGATGTAGCGTTCACCGCGCTCTCTAGCTTCCCGAATTTTTCTCAGTAAATCTGACCTGCTCTCATTCTTCTGGCTTATTCGGCGGGGTCGGGAGGAGGCTAAATATTAGTAGGCAGAGAACCAAGCTTACACTCCATATTTGAATTCCTCAAAGACAAACCGCGCGGAAAAAGCCTACTCCGACAGTTAAACTGAAACGGTACCAACAAATTTATAAGTTAAAACAAAGTATGGCATATTAGTCCAAAGTTCTGTGCTTTTTTGCTTCGTATAGGTCAAGCAAATGTTCCGACGTTATGCTCTGTATATGTGACCACCTGACGGGCTTACTCCCGTTGTTTTCCTTGTAATATATGTATCGACCCACATTTTATCTCTTCTTCGACCTGGTGGGATGTTTTAGGACGTTACACCCAAAAGATGTAAAATTTTTGCCCAATTTTACTTTAATGATAATTTAATCATTTTCTATTTACCCAGGTTTTGCGCCATCGGTAGTTTTAACTGTGCTTTGTAGGAAGGAGGCGACACTTCAATTCAAACGCCGTATGGGTAGGGCTCAGGAATTTTTTCCAAGACTAGCTTGTATAACGCTATTGTACCTCTATTCCTGCCTGGTAAACCTTTTGTGGGGTTCTGAGACCAAACAACACAATTGATAAAGCGATCGATCGTGTAACTTCGATTCCCGTATTACAAGTGGTTAATGCATTGCATTCAGCTTGCTTATCATGCAAGTGTTCGCATGATCTCGCCTATGGTCTTTGCTGAGGTGTCTTCCGACGAATATTTACTGTAACTCATCCAGCTATCGGTGCCAAGCTCTAACTTTCACTAAAGGATGCGGTTCAGGGGTTTGTTTTCCCCGTGAGCGCTTGGCTGAAGTAGATTCCGAGGGCTCTGTAATTTGTCGTTGAGATGGGAATATCATCATCACAAATTTGGGTCACTAAGCCATCTGAAATTTCGCAGACCAGTCTGAAACCGAAATTGGCGGCTTGAATGCCATGGTCTATTCCCAAGGATTGTTTTGTCATCTAAAGATTCTCATGATCTGACCCAGAAAAACAGACGCTCAGGAGTGCGTATGAAATCCTAGCCAACGATACTCTAGGCTTGGTATTCCTTGCAGAGTAGGGCTACAAAAGGTGAGAGATTTAAACTAAAGAGTAGCTTAAAGACAAATAAATCGATGGCTCTGAAAGACACAAACAAAACTCTGGTGATTGCACATATGCAACAAAACAGGCACGAAGAAGTCAGAACATTGTGCTAGCTAAGATTGTTGCCATAAGTCAACAATTTTTGCGCCAGCTCGACTACTATTGCAGCAAAATTTCAGAGCATGCATCAGGCGCTCCAACGTTCCTCTTGGTCATATCGTTAACCGAATAAGTTGTACTCAGGCTGCTTTACCCCTTAAATGACGCAAATGTATTTAGAATTGCGCTTACTTTCAAGCGCCAATCACTTGTACGAATGGGTGAGATCCACCGTCCAGAGTGACCCCCTTCCAAATTCGATGCCCCACGCTCGACTAGCAATCATAACAAGTCAACTTCCACTATATTAAAGAAATTTACACAGTGCCGCAGTGAATACAGCATCGACCAAATGCATTGAGTCAAGTCGATTAATGCAACAACTCCACCAATTGGCAGTAATATTTCAGTTGTACTTTCAGTTGGTAGGTGGTAAATGTGCAACCAAACAATTGTACTTTGATAAGTTCCGCTGGTACTTAAATACATTCAATTCCATTGTTAAATTTGCAGCTAGGAGGTCACCTCTTGCGAATAACGTTTTCCATAGCAAGTCATAACTGAGATAGCGTCCCGACAAGTGCCAAAGTTCTCACACACTAAACAACACCAAACGAGATGACCGCTTCTCATTCTCTTGCTGAGCCAAACTGAAGAGCTAGAGACCCTTAGTCCTTCATTACTTGAGCTCTTGTTTTGAGGATCACATCCACTTCCGCATTAGGAAGGCTTAAAGAAACCCCTACTATTCATCTCTCCATTAGCAAAATAAGAGTGTTTAACTGATTTTGACAAGATCTAGTAGCCAAGAGAATTCGGGTTCACATCGAAACAGCATAAAGGATAAGGTAGTATTTTGGTCAGGACTAAAAAAGGCCTGAATCCATAGGAAAAAGCGATTGTCAAAACATTTTTAGTGGATACTAAGACCAGGTCGCCATTTCCAAGACCAAGCAGATAATCAGCTATAGGTCCTCAAGAAGTCCGAATGGAAGTGGCCAAGGCGTTCCATCATGACATGCATTCGGTCCACCGTTGGAAGAATTGTCGTTCTACAGGGGAACAATTGTTTATCACCTTATAAAACAACCTAAGTCGACATGGCAGTGTTGGTGCATCCACTTTGTCTAGATGAGTGATGATTAGAGCTACAACTAAATCCCGCGTAGTTCGCTCCTGACAATCAAATCATATCATTGAGTGCGCGATCATAGAAAAGTGCATGAATTCATTCAGAATGGGAGGTTCATTTCCAAATGGCAGACCTACGGATTAACATGAAAAACTAAAGCTAATGACGAAATTGGAAGTAAAAATGGAAACTGCATGATCGCCAAGTCCATTTCAGGAGTCTACACAGCAAAAGTTGTAATGCTTGTTGTAAAACCCTGGAACGAGCATTAAGGTCACCAACCTCAATCAGTCTAACAACCTAATATGATAATGGTTTTGAGGGCAATACAAAACACTCAAAAGTTAAGCTAAAGGAATATGAAAATGAAGCTATAGACATTACTTATTTTATAATCAGAAGAATGTTAAAATACCCTGAAAAATGATACGAGTTGGGTAATCGCAAAAGTGAATGTGCATTCTGATCAGGACTGCAAGTGAAAATTAGGGATGAAAGGAGTTGGAGATTTTAGTTATTTACTGCAAAAGTCGCCACAAAGCCTAGCATTAGCCAAATAGGTTTCCGTTGACATCCAAGCTAAGGTAGTCGCCGTAGAGTCCTCAAGTCAACCCCCACGAATTTTGGAACGCATCACTGCTTCAGTACCATTTGTCCGGCGGTCTCAGGCCTGCACAATCTCCCAAACTCGCAAAAAGGAAAAACGTGACCTTCGTGCAACCCAACGCGTATACGCATGTAGCCTTATGTCTGGAATGCCAAATGGACACACCTTAAGGACAATGGGGAGAGCGATAGGAGGAGATAAGTCATACAAGCACTCGAAAGGGGTGGTCACACTGTGAGGTCATTATCGCTAACTTCGACGGCATAGCCCGGCTCCAATGAGTCCCCACTGACGGCTAAGCTATCGGCCCATCAACGATTTCGAAGGTTTGCAACATTACCACCAGGCTTGTACACCATATAAAACCTTCGAGGATTATTGGACCTCCCTAGTTTTTTTTAAATGCAATAAGACCAAGTAAATTATACACGAGTAGCAAAAGGGAAATATCGGGTTATAAATTAGCTTTTCAATGGTTAACCTTCTGCCTACCGAAAGTGAAACGTGCCGGGTTTCTGAGAAAAACCACTACCGGGAACAACGCAGACACCGGTCTCCTCCAGCAACTTAGTAACGTAGAACGTGTCTACAGGCATGCCGGCGAGCTGGAATGAGAGAAAAAGAGTAAAATACAGACTGTATTAAGCCAAGCCACATCCGAACATGTATGCCTTAAAAATTCAAAGTAGTCTAAACAGGTGTCTATAGCATCACGTACCTCTGCAGCTCTCATGGCTTTGGGAGGCAGTTCCAGACGAGGGAAAGCGTACATAGCCCCCATAACGGGTTGGCAATGGTAGCCAGGCAATTGGTTGAACAGATTCTCCACTAGTTTTGCCTTTTTTGCCAGGTCGCTCAGCACCTGTGACTTCTCCGCACAAAACTGCTTGTAAGATGGCTCGCCCGGCTGAGGAGGATTCACCACCACATCCATCGCCAACTTAAGAGGCGCAATTAGAGCAACAATTAGACGCCATAATTACTGCAGGACTATTTTGCTGGGTTCTTCAATCAGGCAGACTGGTTGTTCATCTGGGACTCACAGCAACAAACAATGGGTAATGAGTTTATAATGGATTAAAAGTGAGTTATAAGTAGTTGACAATATATAGATCTTCGTGGGCATATTTTAGCGCCACCAAAGATGGTGACTAAGTTGTTTCCTACTGGCTGATCCAAGATATTGTTTGGCCAATTACATCTTTCTTCCATGTTTATGCGAGTCTATTTTCGCATGGCTCACCTTTGTCTTAACCATGTAGTGGCTGCTTATGATTGAAGTAGCTGCTGAAGAATTGTGTCTAGAAGACGACACACGGGAACGTTTGACATTTGTCAGTAGGCGTCACGTTTGATTAAATCGAATTTTAATTTGGCAAATTTAAGATAATTAAGATTTAAATGTGTTCTCCAATGAATGCTCGGCTGACTTTCATTCGACCTTAACTAGCAGATCATAACCAAATCATTAAAGGCTCGTGCAAGTTTTGAACGACCACTGAAGAGACACAAGCAAGCATAGAATACAAATGCTGTAGAATGTATCCGCAAAAAATAATTATATGTCCAAACAAAAACTTGTAATTAAGGGGCCCAAAAGACCTCTAATTTGAGGGTGAAAGAGCAGACCAACAAATTGTCATGTGGGAAACACTATCGCCGATAAAGTAAAGTGGAGTGGAAGCGGGCGAAAACGGAACCTACCTGACCGAGAACTGGGGGACAAAGACGGGCTGAGAGACACTTGTATAGGTGGGCCCGAACTTCCGGGTCAAAGTTTACCAACTCGCAATATCCGCCACGGAATCCACACCTGTAATTGAGGCACACAGATACACGCATCCTGATAACAAGTGATAAGGTGATTTATCTTCCAAATGTGTTATCCTACAATCTTGATGAGCGTTATAAACAGAAAAGGAATCGAGTCAACCTGAACTTTCGACAGCCAACATTTAGATGAACAGATGACTATCATTCGAGGGGAACACCGAAATGGAATGGAAAATCTACTGTTCAAAAATTATTTAGCGTTTTAATTGCAATGCTAAGGATAGTCGAAACGCGGAACACCTCGAAAGATGAGTACCAAAGAAGAAAACGCCCACCAATATGATAGATGGGCGTATCCAGTGCGAGTGATAAGTTTATCTTGCTGGTACGTTTTTTTTTTAACATCGTAATCACAGATGTCGTAATTGCCAATGAAACTGCCATAGTACAAATTGAAAGTGACTGATCCAAGCCGCCATGTGGATAAAGATGATTGCAATATCCCACAAAAGTGATGCGAATTTACATGGCCAGTGAACAGGCGCCGTTCCCTAAATGTCTTTGGAGAATGATTTAATGGGAGCCATAAACTTCGACGACTACGGGTTAATGAAAATGAGTCTCCAGAAATGTGAAACAGCCTAACATTGGATTTCAAATGGAAACGACTTACTATCACTGCAACATACAGCACATGGTAACGACATAAATGACCAGAAGGGGAAAAAATATTAACACGGAGAAAAACACCATATTTGCCCAAATTTTGAGGTAGCAACAAGCTTTTGGCTGCCTGAGGCAGGCGATACAAGGGATTAAAAAAGCGCATAAGAAATCATTCAGTCAAGAGATTAGTAAAAGCAATTGCGCCTTGGAGATGTGTAAAAGATATGGAAGGCGAAAAAACAGCACGTCTGGTTCTATGGATTAAGCCTTCAAATAAACAACAACAAATAAAGCGACCGAAGTTATTTCCAGAGATAGGAAAGTTAGTCACGGTGGAGATGACCCCATTGCTACACGGCTAGCCACAATCGGGACTTTAAGTGATAAAGAAAATTTTGCCTTTCATAAATTGAAGTCAAAGGGAAAAGAGAAAGAAAAGACCGAAAAATACGCACTCTCCCATGAAGCCTTTACTGGCTGACATTGTGCTGGCGAGTTGAACTTCTGAGGCGATGTCACCACCAAGCTCGTGGAGGACACGCTTGAAAGAGTAGAAGCTCCGATCAGGAGCATAAACGTTGTGCTGGTAAACTTCGTCAGCGAGGACAAGAAGGTTGTTGCGATGAGCGAAATGCAGCACTGCGGCGATATTGGCGCGGGTGAGTACCTGACCAGTAGGATTGCCCGGGTTTATCACCACAAGCACACGCGGTTCGCAATGCGCTTTCGCCTCCTCTAGCCGTTTCTCTAACTCTTCCTCGCAAAGGCTCCAGCCGCTCTCCTCCTCCAGATAGTAGCCAATCTGCAAGGGCATAGATTCTGGCCCACTGAATCAGGTCCAGTAACCAGCAGCCATTTGGTGTTATTGCGGTGGCAAGTACCATAGCATGAATGGTGTGTTTTCATTGCTGCCAGTATCCCGCTAAGACTTTCAAATAATTCAAAAATTAAAGCAATCGGCTTAAAGCAAAACTTTAGGTGCCAAGGTCATATATTTTAGCAGAACCTAGGCCTGCATTTTGCCCCGTTGCCAATTAATTCTGCCTAAGGCGGGTTCAACCCACTTGAGAATGTGTGACGCTTCAACTACTGAGAAGTCCCAAGTCAGTGAAGTCAAATAAAAGCGTATGTAGCATCAAGACAAATGAGTCAAGGATCATTGGAGGGAAGGAATATGAAATATCACCCAGAAAAGAAGATGAGAACCAGAAAAGAAGTACTACGCACTTAACCGTCGAATATAGGGAGAGTACTAATAAATTATTTCATATTCGAAACGGTTCGCTCCATTTCGTTGAACCAATCCACCCACATAAGCAATTGGAGTTAAAAAAGCAAGTGTTTATAAAATACCCAATAAAAGAATACAATAGCTCCAGTTCCACTAAATGCTCCTTTGTAGAAAAATAGGCGAGTCATTCGCTGGTCAAAAGCCCAAATAGAACAAAGTCTACAAGGCGTTTAGTTTTCGTATTCGATTGGCAAGACAGGTTATTTTAAGTCATGACCGATGAGCTTTCAGCAACCAGTAGTGTATAATACATAGTCAAAAGATATATCCTTCAAATTAGACTTACTGGAAGTCTTCGTGTTAGTTTTTTTCACCCTCAGAGGCAAGATCACTAGAGGAAGTCAGGAGCGAGTAAGTTTACTGACCATGCTTTCAAAATACGATCTAGCGTTGGCTGGAAACAAGGCCGCACAATCTACAGTCTCGGATCCGAGTTATTTGCACCACTAGCTAAGAATGACACTCCTTCTTGTTATTAAATAGTTGAATTAATACATTTTCAAAGTTGGGGCTTTTGTGGTGCTCCTGCATAACTTATTGGAATTAATTCGAAACAAACTGGATCGCTCAAAACCATGCCAAACAACAAAAAAGTAAATATATTCATTTACATCAGGCTTCAATAGAGACCAACAATAAATATCGAAAATTCAGAGGGATTTGGGAGTGCCGGAACAGAATGCAACCACGTTAATCTTGCGACCTCACATAACGGAAAAATCTAAACAAAAGGATCTCATGCAAAAAGTGAACTCATCAAAACGAAACGCCTGTTACAATTGCGGTCAAAAGATAGGCTATATAGAGATCGGTCTGACAGTTACAAAAAATTGCAAAGAAGGAAACTAGGAGAGGATGCATTGATTACAGCGCTTACAGAACCCTGCCAATGTGACCATCAATGGTGACTATCTTCGTCTACGAGTTGAGAGGTCGAAAACAAGTACTCATCAGCACGGGAGGTGGTAAACTAGGAGACGGAAGTAGGCCTAGAGAACCAACAAACTTCAATGTTATCCACAGATGAAAATAGCTTAAACTACTAAAGAGAACTTGACACAGCCCTTCTTAGCTCTTTAATTCTTAGTTCAACGGTACAATCGAGTCACACCATAGGGAATAATGCACAATTGTTTGGAAGTTGTATAAACAGAAGTGCACGCAGTACGGTCGTGTTTATGTGTTTGACTGCGCTGCTATATGACGCTATTGCAGTAGTCAAGCGGAAACGGGGGCGAGCAGGCGCAAAACGCATTCCACCACATTGTCCGAGCGAGGCCCAAGCCCATACCTCACCGAACGTTTTCAAACATGCAAGTCTTGCTAGCAGATTCTGATGGTGATCCAAATAATTCACCACAAATCTTACAACGAAGTAGATAAGCAAAGAGAAAATGAGGTGTTGAATGCGATGGACTAATTTCTCTCGACATCAGTTAGAAACAAAAAGGATAAGCCGCTTGAAGTGAAAATATAGCTCAGTTGTAGTGATTTCAAGGTAGCAAGAAATACCCATGCTTTGAAAATTCAGTTGAACCAACCAAAACAACATAATACTGCAATTAGAAAGAGCTGATGCCCCAGACTGTAAATCGAGTGATAACCTTTAGGTAACAAAAGATATCTTCAACTCTAGTACCAAAATACGTTAACCGAAATATTATTGTATTGAATATATTGTTAGTCAGCCATCAAAAAATGCAAACTTAACACAAACTTTTGGTTTTCATTTCCAACTTCTTTTGATCATAACCGGAGGTCGCAAAATTTCGCACAAATGCAAGTGCATTTGAAAGAAACTGCACAGTTTGCACTCAATAAGGCATTTATAATGGGTCAAAGAAGTCCAAACCTAAGGAGGAAGGGAATGATTTACGAGTCGAATATTAATTACACACATAGTCCATTTTTGCGCTTGGGTTGACCCGATTCGCAAAGGATTCAGATGACAATAAATCAACTGCCGTGAATACCACATTTTTTAACAACAATTTTCATTACCCTCATTCATGCATCGAAAAAGTCCTACCAAATGCGCATCACGCAGTCCGATATCTAGATCGAATAGACTAAGATCGTTTGAGGAATTCCGCAGTAACACTTCCCAATCATGAGATGTAAAATACATAAAGCTTGACCTTTTACCAGATATCTTCAGTTTAAGCTAATGCTTGTAAATTTTCTGATTAATTTGCCTCAACTTAAAACGATCTACACAATCATGATGGGCAACACTATCCCAGTCGATCAGCTGTAACAAACACATATCGGAGACAGCGCTATGGCGTTGATTGAGATCAAAGCGGAAAACAAATTTGGAAGCGGTAGGTGACGCAGTTGCGGAGCCACACCTACGTTTATTAAGAAACTGGACAGTAATCCAACATTCGAACGATTAACATAATCGAACCGTGATATCTCAATCCAAAGAATTTAACTTATGTACAGTTAAACTGTGTTGTTTTTATTCTTGGAGAGAAAGGCACAGCAACCCACATTAAGAATTAAGGGGTTTTATATTTACTAAGCATGATTAATGAAAAGGTGTTAAAACATAGGAGAATTTGCGTCTGAAAGGGGCATTGATTCTTTGGGTATGCCACCTTTAATGAACAGGTATTTATTTACCGAGGAAAAATGGCCTGACTCCTAAAATGGAAGACCTCAACGAGTACGTGCATTGCGTATCACACATGTATTAGCCGGCGTAATTCACAGGAGTCTTATAAGTGCTCAAAAAAGGTCTCATTCTTACCTCCAAAAGACAATGCAACAAAAGCTTGTAAAACATTCATTTCAAAGATCTGAATGGCTCGTCCTTGAAAATGCTATACAATTTAAGCATCTGCAATTAAATCGTATAAACCGATATTGAAAATAAAATCGACGAAAGGGCCGCTATTTCAGCAAATAAATGCGAACGAAGCACCGAATCGTAGTGGCTATATAACACTCCCCTTAAAAGACGGGATATAAGTACCCACCTGGTAGTTGTTAAATTCGCTTAGTGTAGCGGAGTAGAGAGGATATTGAGGGATAGGAATCATGACTCCAGCTCTCTGTGAACCTCCCTTTGTAGTGGCCACCAGACCGAGAATGAACTGAAATTATGAAAAGAAAAGGCTGAGAAACAAATTTCAATAAGCTTACCGGGAGATATACATGATCAATAGAGAAGAACATACGTAAATCATTTGGTAAGGGAAAAAGAAACCAGAGCGATACTTCAAACCATTGTGTATCAAAGCATGTCAACCAGATGCGGCACTCTTGGCACATAAGGAAAAAAGCCTATATCAGGAACTCGTGAAAATGTTTAGCGACCATTTGACATGGGAGTCACAAAATTGATCAGAAAAGTAACAACACCTTAACGGCCTCCGAAGCGCCAGTCGCTAAAAAAATATTCTCAGGAGATGCGGGAATTCCATCACGTTGCTCAATGTATGCCGCAATGTCTTCACGCACTACTTCAACTCCCGTTGATTGACTGTAGGCACCTGAATTCACAGACCCTTGCTTCAATAACAAATTTCTATTGGTAAGCGCATGAAACACAAAAGTTAGATTTAAAATCAATATATGCGTAGCATACTTTAGAATGATAACACGTTAAGTCGACCAAATATCCAAAACTTAAACTTGCCTACACTACCACCTACGCTTTTAAGAAAGCGTAAAGCCCGTTCCTTTGCGTCGTCAGGAATTGCTGAAGAGTCCATGAGATGCGTATCGCAAGCTACTGCAGTAACTTGGCGTATGAAGGATATCGGGATCTGCCCAGCAAACTGACAATCTCCAATGTTGCATCTGATGATACTGTCAAACGGTTTCTTTTCACCCTTAAAGTAGGTGCAGCTTGATAAGGTGGTGAAGTGACGATACCTTCAGAAGATCCTTTTCGATTTCAATGGCACGCTGAACTATGGGACCTCTGACAGCATATTCCAGTTTTCGCATGTTGGGATTCATTTCTTGCACAGAAATTCTTGTGTAACTTCGAAGAAGTTTGAGAAAGAGCGACGCACGGCCATCAGAAAAGCCGCCGCGAACAGCAAAAGGCAAACCCATCATTTGTAAGTAGCACTAGTTTGAGCACATCAAGCAGGCTGAAAAATGATGCAATTTAACAAAGGTGATCATAACAATTTGTGATTAAATGTAAGAGGTAGCCACTGACAGTAACAATAAAAAATAACCGAACTACAGGCCCTAAAAAACCAATGTTCTTATGATAATTACAATAGCGCTGTCTAAGTATATACATTATGATTAGAGCCAAATCACCTACACACAGTGGGCATTTTAATCAATACTAGCGAATAAGTCAAGAAGATTATTGATTGTAAAGTGTAAATAAGGCGAGAGTATAAAAGTCTATGCTTTGTGTTTGAGTTTTAACCATAAAGGAAAGCGTTGCAAAGGTTTGTATGCCAATAGCTTGTTGAATTGCCAAATATAAACGGTTTTGAAATATGTTGTAGCGTCCCGAGACATCCCACCGGGTGGAAAAAGGCAGTAAGCTTAGCTGGATACATGTATTCTAAGGAGAACAAAGCAGCAACGCCTGAGCATGGCCCAAAGGCCAGCCCACGAGTGCAAGGACCAGACAAATTTTAAAGCCCATCGAGCGTATGACAGTTGCATAAACAACGCATAGCATATGTTTATCTGCTTACACGATTTCTCACATTTGATTTGGATTAGTGGGCATATAGTGTACTTGGATTCATAGAGCTCTTAGCCCCCATTTGACTTGAATAGATTTTAGCTACATCTTTAAAAAAATTATCGACCTATCTATTGGGTTTCGAGTTGCATTTTGCTTTCCTATTGTGCATACGGGGCCGGTTGCTATAGAGTATAGCAGTTATCATACTAGACATCGTGTAGTTCTACACATATTTCTTCACCTGAATACCATTTCTAGGGTAATATCCTTTTCCATACTTCCGCATATCTCGTTGCATACATACAGTGACCAAGTTACTTCAAGCTTGGTTATGTTAGCTGGTTTGGCCGAGTGCTAAAGTCATATCAGCACCATACATCCGGCATATTTTATTTTTACTTATTTGCGGTCTGCTCACCTTATTTTTTTCATACTATACATAGTGTTCGATTCTGTGTGATCGCTTACGATAAACAAAAAGACGAATTAGAAGGTTGATAGATGACTGAAACCTTTAGATTTGTTGAAGGTTTTTTTTGGAAGCCACACTTTATTGGAGCCATTCATGCCACTAATAACCGTGTTGCCAACTTGACGCCTTCAAAATGGCTCAATCGCTGTGGGATCTTGTGCTTAAGCAATCAAGCCAAAAAGAGAGTAATATTGGAATTATTTTGTGGATTTAATAGAGTCTACGCAGCGTACTCCATTCTCACTGGTATTTGCAGGATGTGAGAGTAGCGTTAGTTGAGAAAGTGAATGATTTGAACGTATATTTAGGGCAAATCAACATTAATTAACAACCTTCTTGAAAAGAATGAAGTACCAAGGAAAACATTGGCACTGGAATTTAGTTTTTGCCGTCGCAGTCGTGGATCCTGTCTCCCGAAGATCGTTGTGCATTTATGGGAACTGGGGGGAGGCATGAAATTATCTGATTTACTCGATGTTATTATTACAAAGGACTCTGTAAAGTACGCCTATGAACTACATAACCAATAGAAAATTGTGTATTGTAATTGTTTTAGACCTCTCAAAACCTACTCAACTCTGGGCTCATTTAATTCATTTTATATCCTCCTTAGAATCAAACATTAATATTGCGTTGGAAGAGATCCGGTCTCAATCTAGCAAGGATTCACAAAAACTGATTTTCAATCGCACTTGCCAAATGATAAGTGGAGACCATCCGGATTGTGGTTTGATATCCACTTTCCCTGTTCCACTAACAATAATTGGTAGCAAATACGACACTTTTCTTGTAGGTATTAATTAAGCAGACAGTTTTCAGAATTTCAAGCTGGAATACCGAGATCTAATCGCTAGGTCGTTGAGATTTGTTGCCCACTTTCATGGTGCTGCTCTCTTCGTGAGTTTCGTTTCAGCACCTCATTGATAGTTTACGAATACAACTGATGCCGCCATGACAAAAGTAATCCGGGATTATTTGAATTGCTTGGCTTTCGATACTTCATTCCCAGTAATACCTCCCACCGTTGAAGGCGGACCTCTCCACATTCTTCCTGGACAGGATTCATTTGATTCGATAGGTATCTTTTAAAGCTTTTCCTTTCCAATGAGTGATTCTTGCATTGATCACCTTTCCACCCTCTTTCGGTGCTTCCTGACTAATTTTAGTAGTTTTATACACCTTTTGTGTCGTAATATTTTCATTAACCTTATTTGTTTACGTATAATTATTGAAGTAACAAGCTAACCAGTTCTATTTATATAGGGCCTCCGCCATCCGATTCATACTTGAAGCAGACTAATGAGGGTACGCCATTTCAACTATGGGAAAAGGCTTTCACCAGACGATTTCCACAGGTTTGTTGAGCGTAGTATCAATTATCTGGTTCGATTTATTTGGCTAAATAGTTTTTTTTTTTGAACTTTGCTATGTGGACAAATTACGATCAGGGTAGGAGTGCCTAATTTCTCTAAAATTTTTGCGGTACTTCTGTGCTAGTCACTCCCAAGTTTGAATGCAAAGCTACTGGCCCATGCTGTTTGAATAAAAAACTCCTTTTTAAAGTCTTAGTTGTTTAACTTATTTCGTATTTGAGGCGCCAGTTCCAACACTGGCACAGGATAATGATCCTGGTGAGGATAAACAGTTTGTCGAGCCTGAGGTAGATTCCATCAGACAGAAAATGGATGACGAATTTGAACGCATTTGGCGTCAGCCGGAGCAGTCTGTGCAATTGCGGATGCAACTGTCTTCTGTTGATCAACCCGATTTTAACATTTGATGTTCTGCCTTGTTGAGAAACTTTAGTCGTTACTCATTTTTGACATGGTTTTATTTCATTGAATGTGCTGCAAGCATATGAGTTATGGTAATTCTTAGGGCGCACATTTGTTCTATATGGCATCGGATTGATCAAGATGGCGGGACAATAGTGGCTGTAGTGGTAGATGAGCTATGGAAATGGCCTGCCGTGGTATTGCATGTGGTGAATGCGCAACTCATGGCCAAGTGTGAGAAGACTTATCGGCTCACAGCATTACTTTTCCGCGTCGGGTACAAGCAGAATATCAATAAAAGTGAAGTTAGGAGAAAAAAGTCAGTGAAATCAGCATACGTAAACTGGTTAGGCGCACAAATTAGACATCGTCCGGACATTCACATTCCATCCACTAGTCTCTTCCCCTGGTTCAAATTCGTTGCTAAGATTTAATAACAAAATCCGCGATGAGATCTTAGAAATGACGTCAGGAATGGTTGCTGATTTTGTTAGCAAAGTTTATCATGATTGGACAAGTCATATTCAAATGCCGTTGAAATAGAGGTGCTTGCGAAATGAGAGGAAATGACACGAATCGGGTATTGCTATCTTACCGCATACTCTAGAACATACGTAGTCGAGAGCACGTGACGGCTGGAAACCATGATGGAGGCTGCGGCACAGGTGACGTCCTCGCGCTGAGGGGGGTGATCACACTGGTGATGGTTTTCTTCCGTTTCTGCTAACGAGAGGTTCGTGTCGTACTTTATTACTTATAATACTACCTTCCTTTAGGAGGGTCAACAAAGGAAAATGAGAAGGGAAACTAACAAGGTAGGAAGGAAGAAGTAGAGACGGTGAACACCAGGTACGAAACGAGGCAGCTTCAGGTAGCACATGTGGGTAAACCTGAAGATGGTCTTTAAATGTGTCAGTTCCATGCCAGTCTTAGATGAATTATTGCTGAGAGATCTGATTAAACAGCGTTGCCACCCACAATTGCAGCACTTGGCCGATGCTTTTGAAGCGTTTACAAATCAGCAGCATTAGCCATTTGGCCTTCATGATTTTAATGGAAGTGGTGCACGTTGCTCGTCAAGATGATTTTTCCTTTTATAAAGCTTTCTAACTGGGAAGGAAAAAAGAATCGTACTACTCAAAAGCGGAAGGTGCTTTGCGATGACGTTGACTGGTACATCCACCGCCAATATAAGATGGACAAGAATTAGGATTTTTTAGGAGTTTATGGTTTAGAAATTTATTTTTCATCATGTCTTTGTCCGTGGCTCAGTGGTACCTGGCTTTTTCTCCTTAGGTTCCATTCATTTACTAGGGGCATGAAAGCGTCGTCTACCCACTTCTTTTTTTTGCATAGATGCTTAAGATGGGAGCATGGTAAATTTTTTTGAGCGCTTTTGACCTTTTGTAACTTCAGCTATTTGCTCCATAACATTTTAAATTCCTCTTTAATGCTAAACGCAGAATCACCCGTCAGTTACACACTTCCTACGGCTGTCCGACTGGAGCATGGTTTTGCTGCCAACACCTCAGCACTGAGTTGTCTTTGAGATCGTAATGCGTTCAAATGATTGCCATGCTCTAAAGCAGAAGTATGTTTTGTGGAAAGTTAGATGTTCACACATTGCAGACGTTTATACTGTTGCATTTACCTTTCTATGTGTGCTAGTTGAATAAATAAAAGTCAATGGACTAAGGATTTATAAATGTGAAGCTATCCCAATTTCAACAAAACCAAGCAGTCGCAATAATAGCAGAAAAGATCCGAAGGTGGATCGGCGTGTGCAATTCTTCTGCTGCGTTGCTTAGTCCGGTGGAGTAACACGCGGGCTTTGACACCCGATTGCAGTAGTGTTGCTGACGGCGCTACCTCACACCTGGCCAAGGCTCTCCTTGTCCATAAGAATTTGCTTCCCATTGACTTAACCATAAATAAGAAAGCCACTTTTGTGCTCGATCATCTGCCGTGATACTAATGCACCCGTTCAGTGGTAGGAATTTTAAAAAAACCTTTAATTAAGAATGCTGAAGAAATGAGGAGTGAGCTTAACAGCCAGGACATTGGAGTCTACCCCCCTCCCTTACTACACTTGTCATCCTAACAGCTGCGTAAGTGCCGTCGCCATTTCATTTGATTAGTCAAACTTGATTTCAAGCCCAAAACGTCCACAAACTTTCCTTTTCATGTACTTGAGCATAATACTGAGACACATTTATTGACAGCCAGGCAATCTTCACCACTTAACTGAAGGTTGGCACCCACTGTTTAGTGCTTGCAGTGCAGACGTGTCCAGTCGAATAAAAAATAAAGCTCTGCTTAGATGACGGTGTTATACATTCAACGTCACCCCCACGATTACTGGACAAGTTCCTCACATTTAAGGCACGCATTTTATTATAAGAAGTGAGACTGTGAACTATGTGACATAAGCACGTCAGGCCAGCATCTCAAACACGGCAATGTGGGCTCACTGCTTGCATTGCATGTAGTACTTCTTAAACGATTCTCTGCAGTCCTTCCCCACACGGCAAGGTGACGTCTTGCACTTCTCGAAAATGCATGTGCAGACCTTGGCATTGAGTAGTCTAGATTTCACCATCTCTTCCCGGCAAAATCTGTCGATTGACCTGAAGGTGATAAGACAGTAACAACAATGTAGGGTACGTTGGTTCCTCTCTTTAAAATGGCATAAACCCTAAACAACGATCGGAACCGTTTTAAAACCATTTTCCATTGAAAAGCGTTTCCTGACAAAATTTGTTTTTTTTACATTTTGAAGAGATATGAGTAGGTCGACGGGGCATAAATGGATTAAAAAGCGGGCAATGAGTGAGAGAAGTAGAATGAGAAGTCGGAGTGACAAACCAGCTCACGTGCACACATCCACGGTAGAGCAACCCCACGCTTCCTCCACGACTGCCTCGATGATCAAGAGCAAGCTAGCGATTTTCAATGCAGGGTCTAAAGAGGTTTAGTAGGACGGAAAATATTGGTTACTCATTGTGTAAACCTTAGTAGATGTATTTTGCAACGGAGTGGGCGACACCGCTTTTATAGAAAGATGTCGACTTGGGTGGCGATCTAAATGTACCTTTAGTGAGTTCGCGAAAAATGCACATAAGTTTCCACCCAAATCTTATATTGAATACATAAAATAAAATGCTTATTATCGGGACTTCTTGTGTAATATTACTTAGCGGAAAATAATTGTTCAGGTTTACGTTAATTCGTGCCTATGCAAATTGCGCATAGAAATGGCTAGCAAGGGGCTCTGCTTTTAAATTGTGAAAGTCGTGCATTAACTGCTCTCACTAACTCGGTATTTAGTCCATTTACTGTGAGCCAATACATCTATTCCGTCATTGAGCCGCAAACTAAGGGTAAAAAGGAACTATATGTTGCCGCGGCAATCAAAATGACGATCTTGTCCATCCAATACAAATGACCGGTCGCAAAGATGAGACTTTGCTATGCCTTGATTTTCTGTTTGACTCCTCAGTTCGGTTAATCAGTAGCTTTTAGTCCTATATCATGCCTACAGCACGTATTCTGCTTCTGTATTGTACATTCATTTGACTTCACCAACGACCTTATCGGTAAAACGAACTCCCGGCATTGTATTTCTTTGCGTCCAAGTTCTGAGGAGTAGAATTGTGCACACTGTCGATGGACAAACCTGTTATTATCCCAGATAGGGGTCCTGCCAATACTTTGCAACCTCAACAAGCGCCTCACATTCCTTGAATTAAAGAAATTTTCCTACGGAGCTATCTGCAGCATAGCAGAAATAATGCGAGAAGGGGAGACTGACATGAAACCTTACCATCGTCTCTTGGACTAGTGCTGCTGCAGCTAGTTGAGGACACCTTTGCCGACTCACACCTCTTCCTTCCATAACATCCTTCTCAAACTAAGTTAAACTCGAGGTTTTAGCAAAATAATTAAGGGAGATTTGAGAAGTACGCAGTTCTAACCTTGCTTGCATGGCAAGTATATAGTTATCAGTGAACGCTCATACGATGTCCAAATGATACCACCCACCAATTGACTGACACAAAAGGATGAGCGTACAGAGCTCTCATAATTCGAGAAACTACGTGAGATCTTGATTAGCTGATTAGCTCTTGGTTTTGCCTTTAAAGACACTTTAAATCCCACACTTGCCCTTTGAGTCAAGACTGCACACCCTAGTTGGACTGTGTATGTTCAGTCTTTTTACGAACGCTTTTTTCTCTTTAAAAACAACCAATGTTGAGAATTCGCATTTTAAGGACCTAAGCTAACATTGCTGCAGCCTAAGTGGGCGTAGCTGAGGTTATAATGAGCCTGACCAAAGGAAAGGCTTTCTGCCATCGTGCTCAGGATTCCCCTACTTTGTCCACCATGTTTTGGTCAAATGAAGTCTGCGCCATCTGGCAACGTTGCCCTTCTTCTCTGCCATGATGATTCTCGCAGATACCTTTAATGTAATTTTACAACCCTTTTTGAAAGTGTCCTCATGTGGTAGGCTTGAATGTCTAACACCCTGACGTCCTAGTTTTGAGTGTGGGTGGTCGGATCCCTCGGGTCTTGGGTGGTCCCTGCGCCTACTTCGATGGGCTGTGGCGGAAGTCTGTGCCACTCCAGATATTCATATGTCGGTATCCACTTCTAAGCGTGACCCACAATCTATAAGCTTTTCACAAAGGACAGCATGACGGAATACCCATTATCATCCAGAAATGGTCGAAGAGAGGCTACGGCCCGTCTCAGAGGCCAGTTTAAGAGACAAGAGCAGGATGGACGTTAAAGTGACCGCCATTCATATAGGTATTCACAGCAATGAAGTATTGAGATTGGATCTTGCCTACACTTTGGACAACAACAACAGCAACATGCATCCATGCATATTGATGACAAGTCTAGAGACCTTTTAGATTCCTCCGGAAAATTCGGTAAAATAACGCAATCGATTGACTTCGCAAATGACTTTTATTGTGCTCCTAATTGGCACTTATTTCTATGCCTTCACCTTAAATCGCTGCATGACCCTAGTCGGTGGAAGAGCCCTGAAGGCATCCCAGGATTCCATGTTTACACAGATAACACTATTTGATTGCCTGTATGTGTGATGGTTACATACGCCATCTTAATCATACTTTTTTTATTTGACGACCCGTAGGCATGAGAGCCATGTCAACAGTCATCCCTCTTTTGCTGCGAGGGCCTGTCTAGGGGACAAACCGTAGCCTCACTACTACTCTTTCGGGCTGAATATGAGCATTCAACCATTCTCGATACCTCCTACTACAGGGCGCACTTTGTCACCCATTGTAGCGCTCCGAGACTTTCCATTAATTTTGGCTGAATGCATGTATTCAAGGTGAAAAAGGCAGTGGACTTTGGTTTAGCTCGAAGGCCGGCTCACGTGTACAAGAGCAAGACGAACACAAACTGATTGCCAGACATACAGATGTTCACATAGACAAAGCATTACATTGCCTATCTCGTCCTTTCAGCCGTGACCTCGTCGATCATCAAAGTGTATCTCCTCTGTCATCTACCAAAACATAGTCTGTGCCACAAGGAAACACCTAAGATTCAACCGCTTCAATCATCAACTGACACGAGACTGAGGGATTGCACTCGACCTTCTAAGCAGCTTCAACTCGATCAGGAGTTACATTAGATAAGGCAACAGGAATCAGAGCTGTATAAATTTGTTAACCATAAATTGCTTCCAGCACTAGACGTTGGCACGCTGGTCTAAAAGAGATATTTAGCAAGAAAAGTGGTATACAACAGTCGCATACGTAAGGAGATCCAAAACCTTTGCAGGTATTTCACAGCAGTGTCGCTCCAAATGTTAATAGCTTGTCTATAAAGCACAGAACCGAGGTGGAGCTAAACGCAAATATCATCCCCAACCATTTTAGGAGAGTATTTCAGAGAATCACTCGACCAAAGCATATCCGATGCAGATACATGCCACAAACGAAGGAAACCAGGGTAGAAATCGTTAGAAGAAAAGTCGAGTTCGAATTTCTCTGCCATTAGTGTAGGGCCTCGAGACCTCCCATTAAGTGGAAGAAGGCATGATGTTGGGCTAAATAAATGTATTGTGGGGGAGGAAAAGAAGGGATTAGGCTCGGACTTCGCCCGAAGGCCAGTCTACGCGTACAAGGAATGGACGAATACCAATGCCACAGCAGGCATAAAGGCCACATGAACAAAGTTTTACACGCATCGACTCCTTAAAGCGCAAGCCGTTCGCACATTTGATGTTCTGCTCATTTCGCTTTCGAGTACACAATGTTTTAGCATCTGCAAGCAGATTGTTCAACGCATTATTAATAAGATTTTGTGGCTCTGCAGAAATTCTATGATGTCTCTTAGCACAGAACACAGAAATGAGTCCAATTCCAAACCTGGATTTAAGTTGTGCAAAAAGATTATCGAATTTCATTCTTGAAATAAGGCTAAACGAGCCAATAATTGCCAAATATTTGTGATACTTGTTTTATGCGACTACCTAAAGTTTGGCATTTCCTTTTTGTTCGTCTGGTCCTTATACTCGAGGCCTTTCGTTGAGCCAAGCTTAAGCCTAATCGCTCTGTCCTCCCTGGAATGCATGTATTCAGCTTCACTTAATGTCCCCTTCCACGTGGTGAAAAGTCTCGGGATGCTACACAATTACATAAATAAACTCAAAATTAATTCAAGAATTGCACAAAAAGCAAGGTGGGATATTGGCTCATTTTTTTCGAAATGTGGTTCGACCTCCTTGTCACTTAACATAAATATTTAAACCTTGTCAGAACCTGACAATAGGTCAAAAATAATCAGTTTCATATTATTTGGAAAGAGAGGATACCATAAGTCACTATGCATGAGAAAATTTTTTGGCACTAATGCTTTGTTTGACTAACTGCCTGCATGGCCAGCGATCACTATGGCAAATCTCCTACACTTTTTTACGTAGGTCGGCCTTCAGGCTAATCCAAAGCCTAATTCATCCCCTTCTTCTTTAAAATTCATACATCCCACTCTACCCTCTGCTTTAGTCTGCTAAACGAGGGGTCCTGAGACCTTACATTCACATCTCAAGTGCACGTGCTGGTGCAGGTCTTGCTAGTATAAACCGTTCTGGCGTCAAGGAACTCCACCGAGTGAAAGAAGTCATTAAGTGGGGCTGAATACGTGTATTATAGAAAGAAAGGGGATTAAGCCTCAGCCCGCCCTGAAGGTCAACCCACGCGCACCGGGGTCAGACATCAGATAATTACATAATTCGCACAGTTTATTTAATGCCTTCAAGCATGTACCTGTTTGCAGCTTAAAATAATCCGATTTCAGTTTGATTTTTTGTATTAGTAGTAGTGCTGCGTGTCTGCACATTTTTAAAGTAAGTAAAGATTATTTATGTCAAGCTTATTAGAATTTCATAAATATTTATAATGATTCTTTGATAGATCTGCTTTTAAAATGCTCATTGCGCTAACTTTGTTTATGTCCACCAATTTAACCTTCTGCGAAAGACTTAGTTGTCCGTCTGTCAGGGCGGGTGTCTGGGATCTGGTTGTCGATGTCCTCGATGTTGTTTGAGTATTAATTGTTTCTTCACAAAAAATAAGCCTGCTATTGATGGCTTTACTATGCAGTGCATTCAGAGTCATAAGAACAGTGCATCTGAGCGGCAACCTATTTTTGTATTTAATTCGATTAATTCGCGTGAATCAAGGCCAGTTTTAAAATGTGAGTACGTCAGGAAAATAGCCGCAGACGCATGCATGGTTGGGAGTCTACCAACGCCGCAATCCTCGAGGGTTCCACCAGGATTGATAAGGTCTACGGAGTTCTATAACTGTACTTACACAACGAATTCAGGTTTTGGTGGAATGAGGATTTATCCATACTCGGACTATCGATTATGTGAGTGCAACTACTGCATCTTTGTGTTTTTAATCATTTTAGCTATTACCATCTTTATTGGGAAATGGAGTTTACTTTGTGTAAGAGTTTTGGTACAGCTTGTTTCCAGACTATCCTTCTAAAAATATTATATGATTAGAACGTGGTATTCCTGGACCAAGCTGCTATTGTGATAGTGTTTTTATATTTTTTACAGGCTGTTGCTTCTTTGGGGTTGAATTTGCTGTATTTGCCATTTTACTTAAGTCACTTCGAATTGACTTGAACTTCTGCAGACCCTAATACTGGCACATAATCACTTAGTATTTTTTTTCTTATTCCATTTGTGATTTCGTGCTGTGCTCTAGAAGAAAGTACTGGCTATATGCATACCGTTAATGCACGCTTTATCTTAATGGTTAATAGAATCCTGGTGTTTAGGTGGCGGTTCAATCTTTCTAGCCAACTACGAAAGCAAAACCTTGAACAAGCATCCGTGTCCTCACTCAGATAGTAGTATTTTAGTTCTCTGAGTTGCTTCACTTAAGCCCAGCTTGCCTTATCCTTTACTTCCTCATACATAGTATTTTTGCTGTTCAAAAAATAATGTTACCTGATCCATTTTATGGTTATGTGGAAAGTACAAAGCTCCGTCTTCACAAGTTTTACTAATGATCTCATTTCCGCGTCCTCGTGTGCCGCGTCCAGGAGATAGGTCAAACTCCTTCACCTCTTTCCTAAATGTTTCGCTTAGTCACTGGCATTATCGTGCTTTCTAAAGTCGTTACTGCCTATATGGAGGTGTTTTCAAAATAGCCCTTATTTGTGCCCAAATAAGAATGCTTTTGTGATTAATATCGGACATCAAATGTCAAGCCGATAAAACGTTTTTACGCGCCTTTTATCGCCATATTTGTCGCGGCAGTTTGTGTGTGCGGAAAAAACTCCACCCAAGAGGTTGTCTTCGTAGTACTTTCATTGATGTTTATAACAGAAAACACTTCCAAACACTCTTTCTCTTGCAGTATTTAATCATTTTGCGTCGTCGTCTGATGAGCAAATAAGTTCATAGTCCGGGATTTGAGGCGACTTTAAAGTAATACTGTTTTGGAGCTAGTTCAGCAAAAAATCGGCTATTCTTCCTTCCTTTCCTCCATTTCCATGAAACTGAACGAAGCGCCATTAAATCTGTTACTTGAGGAAAGTTATTTATCTTCTTAACATATGCTTTCAAGTGACTTTTTCTAAACTCTTTTGCTCGTATCTTTCATTGATTTATGTTGCTCTGACGTTAAAAGATTCAAAATGGTTAAAAGTCTTCGTCATTTCATCAATCCTTTTGGAAGAGGCATATACGTTTCTGAAACACAGTCTATTTTCTTGCTACTCCTTTCCTCATAGCTTTCGAAGGAGGAGGGCTTGAAATCACAATCCTCACCAAGAAGTAGCATTTCCAAAACTATTTTACCAAGCACAGAACTTTCATATAAATGATCAGTAAAGAACTCTGATAACTTGCACTTATGAATTGTCTGGAAGTTGCACGCCTTTCGAGTCGCGAAGAATGCAGGCAATCCATCGTTTTGGCTAGATCGTAGGCGGCTAATCGTAACGCTTGCGTGTTTATCGAAGAATGTTTTGAAGTTTTCGTTTTCGCAAATTGGGTAATGTTCACCTTGTTAGTGAAAACGCTAGCTTGGTTAAATTATTCGCTTTGTACCATATTTATGCATGCGTCGCCCGTAGTTTTCTGTAACCTGCTTCCTTTTTTGGCTCTAAGCAAAAAAATTAGTGCTAACCGTTGCTTTGGTGATTCAGGATTTAGATTCTTTATAGGGCTAAGGGCATTTATTGCTTTTGGAACTAGTGTTTTTGATTTTTGATGAGTTTCCAGTTGATGGGCTCTTAATGAAGGCAGTGAAAGCGTCTTATAATGGTGAAATTAAGATGAACATTCCCCACAAATAACTTAGTGTTTGCCAGTGTGTTGCTAATTTAAAAGCGCCTTCCGTCAAAAGTAATTTCCTAATATGGCATAAAACTTTCCTTCTTGTTATACTTTTCAGTTAATGTGGAAAATGTGAGGAATCGGCTCTTTACGAGTGAGAAGCCACCTACTTAGCCACTGACTACTCGAGAAATAGGCGAAACCAAGCCAGGAGAATAATACAACATCTTCATGTCCAATTTATCTTCCCCAAGATTGGGAAGGTCCCCGCTCCGGAATGCCTGTTGTTAGTAGTAAAGACGAGGGATTTGTCGGCTTTTGTTTAACTTGACGATACTCCAGTTAATCTCCTGCACAGTTGGAGAGTTTAGCATGGGTTAACTTACAAAATCACCCTTAATATGTCATTTTCCTTCAGAGTCTTTTGTTTTCTATTTTTCATGCCCTACTTTTTTGTGCCTTGCCCTTAATAGTTGTCGAGAGCCGATGGACAATCAATGAATGAAGCAATCAGGGGCAATTTTGTTTGAGTGTGGTTTTGCATCGCATTTTTTGGCCTAACTTTGCTATTCCAGAACGAAATAGGGCTATTCTTATGTACCCAAATTGGTAGGATTCATCTGTAGTCGCATGTGCAATTTTTCCAACTTGCAACCTACTCAGTGTCTCTAACTTGAGCATTTGTTGAAACGAAGGCTTGATTAGTTTCACCGACCATATCTGGCTTATTTTGCACTCTGCGAATAGTGACTTGTACCGCTCAGGAATACCTTTTTTGATTGAATATAGGCTTCAAGGCCGTTTTTGGATATTTTAAGTGTTTTTATAGGGTCAGATATTTTTCAAGCCACCTTAAATTGGCAATGAGTTCAGTAACATGCGAACTGTTGCCTTATGCGAACGTGAGCCTGGCATCGGAGTTACACACGCCATGCCGTCCTCGAAATACATACGCTAGCTATTTCACTATTATTACAAGCTTTTACTGCACATGCGTGAAAACCTCCTCATGTTTTGTCGAGGAGCTTTTTAGAGCCTCTGACTGACAATTATTTACATACTTCCTCCTATCCTGTATTTTCCACGACCATTTTATTTTAATTTGTCCGACAAGCAGCATCGGTTTTTCGCGTGCCAGCAGCCAAAAGTAATGGCATTTCTCGGTAACCTTGCTAATCCATTCTCTTCGCCCGCAACGGTTGCAGTCTCTGGCACTGGGTGGTGCGTTGCGGGGCTGAATTCCCTCTCAACACATTTATGTGGTTTTGAGCTCTGGGGATCGGGGCACCTTCGTTTTCCTATCTATGATCTTTGGCGGTGCAGCTTATCGCAATTTATTCTAGATTTAGAATGAATACATTTTTCGAATTGGTTTTTGCAGGCATATGCTGCGTCAACTGCACCATTGCCAGTTGTTGTATTCCTTAGTTTTGTCATTGCATTAAGTAAGTCAGGAGCATGTCTAGCACATGCAGAATTCGCCTCAACAATGTATCCTCACTGATTTGGCATTCAATTATCGTTAGGCCATACCACTTGGTTTGCATTAATCAGCCTTTTTCCTGTGTCATTGCTAATGCCGACTTCACTACTTGGTGCGTGGGCAGGCGGGTAAGCAGTCGGAATCATGCCTTCGTGGCATCCATGTTGTTGTGGTTCTGAACGCTGGGAGTTTCTACTCAAAACACAATCATCATCCGTTTTGAGGTATGATGACTAAAATAGCTACAGAAAAATGAACTTTTCCGAGTAAACATTTTGCCATTTCATTTTTACACTCAGAGCTGTCAGCAAAATTTGTTAAAGAAATCAATTATTTTATAAGAACAGTATAGCTGATTTCATAAGACTGAAAAGTTTTCGTCTGATTTTTTTCGCACCTTGTAATACGCCTCATAAACACTCCTTACTACTTGGAAAACTGGTTCTAGCAAGTTGCTGAGCTACAACGTGTGCTTGAATACACGCTAAATGTTGAAGAATAAAGCGCCCTTGTTTATTCTTCCCTTATGTTTTGGTTGGCTGAACTTAGGACGAATGCTGTTGAGACGGCTGAAGTATTGTTTATATGCTGACAAGTTAAAATAGTCGACCCTGAGATGCTTCAGCCAATAGGGATGTTAAATACTTGCCCAATAGGTGCTCACTGGAAAATTTTGTGACTGAAAACAATAACTCCTCCCTCCACTCTCATATCAGGTGAGTGTGCTGTGGATTTAAGACGCAGCCGTCAGCAGCCCAAACACCCGACTCACTGCTGCGCTTGCGTCAATATCTCTCAATCGCTCCTTCACGCTCTACCATCTCAAGCTCTTCCGTCGAGGCAGTCGACTTCGGTATCTGCGGTGCCGCGTCAGCACCCACAACTTCACGTCCGACAGACGTCAGTGGGAGCAGCAACAGGAACGGAAGTGATCCTTCGTCAGCACGTCCATCCACTCTCTGCTCATCCTCAACACTTGAGTCGAAGAGATAGAGCAATGCTAACCTCTTCCATGCTTGTGGCCCCTCAGTCCTCTGCTGCTCCCGTTGTAACCCACATGCAGTCCGCGCAGAACCCCCATCCTTTAGCCGCTTATCATCATCACCATCATCATCACCAACAGCTTTACAGACAATCACTTCCACCGATGCTGGGTAGCACTCAGCAGCGTCTGCAACTGACCTCGACTGCCTACGCGGCGATGCTTAAGGAGGTACACATTCGATAGTGCATCTGTAAATGCGAGCTTCCACATCGCTTTTAACCATAGCCTCTTGACTTGCTTACATCCCACATACATTCCTCTCCCACTTGCGCCTCTTGTCCTGCTTATCTTCTTACCAGATAATTCCTCATTCTTGTGGCCTCTGTTGCGCTTCTTCTGCTTATTTTGTAAATGCTCGCTGTGTGTCACTGTAAAGACTTTAGTCTTTTTCAATGTGTGCAATCTTAGTATCGACTATCAACGATATTTAGTGAAAATTAATAAATTTGCTCTAGCGTTTTCATTGCGGGTTAAAACATCCGTGGGGACTTTCTCCATTCTTCTTGTTAAAACAACATCTGCAGAGGACAGTTGTAAGGGACTAGAGATGCCCGCTCATTTGAGAGGCGATACATGCTTGAGGTGTTTCAACGCCTTTTCTGGTTCGAAGTACATCAAATCCTTATAAGTCCCTAGTTTTAGATGTATTTGTAGATAGTGAGTGGGAGCGGTTTGCGAGTCCAGGCTTGAAGTTGCGGATACTTCTTATTCGTAACCTTAATTCTACTCACGACTAGGCGCCAAACTACATGCTTCAATTGCTAATTGTTTTACTTGCTGCAGATCCTCATACTCAACAGTTAGAAATGTCTGTAAATCTAATTGCTCCTATGCCAGGAAAAATGGATTTGTGGCTGAAACGTCCTCAAAACTGGGCGTCCAAGATTTTAAGGTACGCTTGTCACTCATGCGTACTGAATTTTAGATGTATTCAAAACTGTAAGATTACGAGTAAAAAAGCATCGCTAGTGTCACTTGCCCACTCAGCTTCTGAGGTCGGCTTGTTCGGTCAGGACGATGAGTGGTCTTCGATTCGGGAGCAGTGCAGATGGTGCACTTTTCTGCAACAACGCATCAGCCCCCATTATAAATGTCACATTTTCTATCCACTTTTAATTTTCATGTGTCCATGGTTAAGTGGAGCTAAATGATTCGTTCTCTGACAGCAGGTATCAAGTTCCGAGTAAACTACTCAAATTCCCACAAAACTATCAAGTGTTCAAACACGAGAGCTCTCATTATCAATTCTTTATCATTTGAGGTAGTTATTCATATTTTCTAAACAATGCTCGACATCCTTTTTTTCGTCAAGTGACGCTAGCATTACAAAAAGGAGGTGTTTTTCTCAAACGTTGGTACGGCTGCTGGTTTCTTTTGCAAAATTACTCACAAGGCTCACGGCATCGCTTCAATGCCACCCCATTTTACCAAGTCTGTTAATGAACAATATCCTATCACTATGCTTGTAAAAATTTTGCAGTTTGAGATCAACTTTCTAAAGCCTTACTGAAAGACGCAAATGTCTTAACCATAGATGGTAGAGGAACTGGACTATTCGTTCCCTTCTCGATCCTCTCAGCAAAAGTCTTGTAACGGACCGGTCACATGGAAGTCAAATTGATAAACTGCTCACAACGACCTCCTGATCACATGTTTCTGTGGATTCCATCCGCTGTGTCACTGGTTAAGATGGCGTCTCGCAATGCTCGACTTTTAGCTTTGACACTTGATAGCGACGCGATTCCAAAATACTGTTTGCAGTTAGGACCAGATGCGGATACTTACCTGGAAAGTTCTTTCTGATCAAATGCTTCTGTTTTTCTCGAAGTGGATACAGCCTGCCAACGTTAGCGCATATCGACAAGCCTTCTCACAATGCGTCATGACTTGACTGTCATTTATATAACATCTGGAATTTGTGTTTTGTGAAAGGGCTTGAATTTACTTTTATAATCTGTAGATGTATGTTTATGCCCATTGACTTTCATTGTCCCATCTATTCGCAATTTTCTCCAAGCGGTTGCTCCTTATTTCCGAGATTTATCCTGTGCTATCAGAATTAACGGGTGTGATCACTTCTTTGACAAGACGACAACAGGCGTCACTGAGGAAATTTTAACTCATCTCCAAAAAGCATTACTTCATTTCCACGATTGGAAATGGCGAAGCCAGACGCAAAAGTTGTAACGATTGAAATCGATGTGCCCTTAAAACAGGGAAAAATCTATGATTTTTACTCTCTCCTTTAAATTTTTTGTGAGTATATGAGTTTCGGTAAAGCGGAGAAAATAGGTTCAGTACTTTTCCTCAGTGAAGATGTTGAATGCTCTTTGGTTAGACAATCCAGTTATAAGTAACATTCAGTTCATTCTCGAGAAACAGTTTTTTCATCGCATGTAACCTTGAAGCAAGCCTTTCCCAAATTCAAGGTAGTCTTCTGTCAGTGAATCCCATCTATGAGGGACAAGCAGTCACACCTAACAATACTCACCTTGACCAAAACCATTTGTTTTTCTCAGAGGTCGCACAATTGTCATTCAAGATTTTGGCATTCCCTTTTCTGCTGTCATACTTATGCTGAGTCCGAAATTAGTCATATAGGAGAACAGAGGATTCCCGTTTTTTTTACGGCGATACTTTTACATTAAGGGCATTAGGTTAGCCGTTGTTCACTGATCTAGGATCAAGCTATGATTCATTCTTCTTTAAAACTCACACAACCTCAAATGCTCAACTTTTTGGAGTGCTTTAATATTCACACTTGCGAGTTGAGAGGATGAATAATTTGATGCTCCTTCTAGGCATGTATGCTACCCTTCCGTCTGCCCTAAAATTAGACCTCTTTTATTAACTATTTATGCTCCTACCCAACCGTATTAACGGTAGTTATCCTCTTCCAGATGGCCGAATCAATTATGCAATCAGGTCCAACGGATCTCCATAAATGCCTTTCCTCCGACGGCACTTTAGTGAATAAACGCACTACCCCCTATGGTGCAATAGATTTCGCTAAACTAATCCTTTCTTAAAACAGTTTCTCCCTTCGGTTTAAGCCGATGGTCATTTATCATGATCTTCTTTTTGGAAACCAAGAAAATCCACGTTGAAGTGCTCCATTAGACGCTTTCACTAAGCTTGTGTCGGAGTAAAGAGGAGTAGGCCTAATGGACGACTAGAGAGCCATAATCGCATTTAACCATACAGGCATGGCAACAGCCTATGATTGCGACGAACAAACATTTTTGACAACCTAAAATCGGCTAAAAATAGATGCACTGCAGCGTCAGTGGGCTACACTTTAATGTGATGCTGTTTATCTAGGGTAGAGGTAAATTTAACTACAACCATACGAATCTAAATGGTAAAATTGCTCGTTTAACTACTACTACTACTACTACTACTACTGTTATGTACCCACCTACCTACCGATACGATATTGTATGCATTTTTAAGCGGGTCTTCAAAGATCATTGTATTTGTCGCCTGCAGATAGTACAATTTTAAAACCACCCGATGCAAATTAATGGGCACTAATCCGTGAACTAAGGGCTGCAATTGAGTCTGTTGAACCTCATGTCGAGCACATTTGAACGAGCTATCACCATCACACTGTCCCCTCCATAACTTTTCTCTAACCTTGGTAACATATTTGGAGTTGAAACTGGCCGGTTTTGTCTGAAAGGCGAAGAGCTGTTAAACATTTTCTCCAAGTCAATTGAGGTAGATAAAAGATGTGTAAAACGCCGATAGGAAGGCAAGTCTTTTGGATTTACTTAGTCCACACTGGACTAGACCTAGTCATGTTTGCGTAATGCAAGGGGAATATCAGGCAAACCCACAAATGCTGGTAGTTATGCATTCTTATGGAAGAGATGTACCTAAATTGCAAATCAAAAGACGTAAGGGCTGCGACAGCTCTGTTCTGCCATGCTTAGTCTTGGTGCCTTCGAAATACAATGTCATAGCAAGTTTCTTAAAGAGCTAAGAATTGAAACCTAGGTTTAGTTACAATTTTTGTTCCTTCAAGCCTTTTATGGTACGTCTAAACGCCTTATAGTACATTCGTGCAATAATTTTGAGCGTAAGGTTCCATCAAAACCCCAACCGAAATGTATAGTCAACGTAAAAGCCTCACACAGCCGCTTCCATCGGTCTAATGGCCTACGTAAATGGGCACAACGGTCCCCACCACACTCGCAGTGTTCCAACGTTCAGCCTCCTCATCCCCATTTTGCTGGTCGACTTGCGCTTTTAATTCCCGATCACATCCGCTCAGTAAAACGCAAAAATCTTTTCTTGCGTATAGTATTAAATAAGATTAAAAAGAATATTTTTCCCCACTTCAAAGTGGTTAGCTTTGAAGAAGAATGAGATTGTTTAGCCTTTTCAGAACCCACCTTCCTGTTATATTTTTTATGTCCCTATAAAACGTCTTTTATTCGTGATTAAGGAGAGCTTTTGTAAAGGTCTTAAAAATGAAGACCTACTTATGCATTAAATGCTCCTCGGAGAGGATGGCTTGCAGTGGATCGTATCACACCAAGCATTGCCATTAGGAGAGTGTGAGTGACATTAGTGCTGGGGAGCGACTTGTCATCATTAGGAAGTGAAGGTGGAGGATTGGATTTTAACAAAAAAATCTCTTTGCTACGATTGAGTGAGAACAACTTCCCAACTCTGCAGCTCGGAGGGACAGAAAAAGCTTTCCCGTTCGTAAACGATACTTCTGAGACTTCTCATTTCTTTATTACAAATCTTGATATTGTTTTAAAGACTGATTAAGTGTTACATATTATAGGGAAACTCGTGCGTCATAAATTATCAAAAAGTAGCAATGCAACAAGTATTTCGTATAGGAGACACTCATGACGCCAAAAAATCCATAAGACGACTTCCTTGTCTACCCTGTGCCATTGAATGAGATACAAACACCGTTTAGGGTAAGCGAACTGTGCGCATCATCCACAAAGAAAATAAGCACGTAAGGAAGGGCAAAAACTCTCTTAGATTCGGCAAATCGAAAAGGGACTTATCGTTGCGCACATGGCAAGTTAAATTCATATTCTTGTTTTTGCGAAGCTTCTGCCTATTTTAAGAACTGAATTTATAGCTTTTACAAGACTTTCTCCAGTCGTAACGACCGGGCAAATTTTCACGGCTTTTGCCACAGCCTAAGATCTTTG